TGAGAAGAGGGACTACTGCTGTTGAGGGAGCCATTAGGAGAGATGACGGCACTAAACGACAGAACACCATGCTGCTTCACTGGGGCTCATCAGAAAGGCCACAGTTCCCCAGTGTCACCCCCAGCTCCCCGGAGACGGCCTTAATTAGAACGGGAGGGACCCGAACGGCTCCGAATTAGAGCGGCGAGGGCTGGATGTTGGCTTTATGTGGCTGGGGATATGAGCCTGATCAGATGGCTGGAGCTGAAAGCAGTGGTGGGGGGCTAACGGGAGAGTGTGTGGAGGGGAAATGAGAGATGGGCTTTCAGACTAGCCACTCCACGCTGAGTCTGCTTATTACCCGAGGCAGCTGGTGCTCTGGGATTCTAGTATGGCGCTATACTGACCGTACATAATGATAAAGAGGCAGGAACGTTTGGTCCTTTTTGCTTTGTATTCCAGTGTTTGTAATTGTGCTGTTATTTAATTAATTTTGCCTTTGTCTGTAACATTGTAGCTTACTGTGTTTTCTTTGTGTTTATGTAAAGCAGTTAGGTGTTAGGTATAGTTTTGTGTATAGGAAATGCTAAACCTTTAACATTTTGCCTCGCGTCTTTGTTAACATGCCATCCATTTATCTGATTTTAAATAGTTCAGCAAAACATCAAATATACACAATTTCCCCCTTACCCTAAATGCAGTCGATCAGCAAGGAGATTTGCTGATTTGAAGTTTCTGCTTCTTTAATGTTGCACTGAAGCTGAGCTTATGAGCTTATGCCAGTATAAAGCTGAAGTTGTGTATTATTTTATGGTCAGCGTCATGCCTGCAAAAATGTTCTAAAGCCAATATGTTTTGTCCTGTGTGCATTTTTCCTCTGAATCACCCTGGATTCTCTGAATTAAGAGGTCATTTAGCAGTCGAAATACGAATAATGCTGCATACATGCTACAAAAGCTAACTCTAGTGCATGTTGAAATGAGGCATGAAAATCTACTATTAAACTTAAACACTGTTAAATACAAATACCAGCTACTCAAACTGTAGGCTTCTGCTGCTAAAGCAACTTAACCACCACATTTCACAAAGTTTGCTGGTTTGTGTGGGGTATTTTGGAGAGGTTGCTGGACTTATGATGTCAATTCAGTGTGCAGCAGTGTTAGTTTGCATGTAGCTTAACTACTTAATAACCTTGTGAACCTTGAGGATCCTGTGATATTCAGAGGAAAATGTACGTAGGGCAAAACATATGTGTGACATATGGTTATCTATAAATATGGACAAGATTCAGGCTTTTTGAGTGTTTCTTGTAGTTTTGTCCATTTTTAAAACAAACACTTCTACTGTAACTTTGAACGTCACATATTTCTTGGTGGGTTAAGGATAAAGTGTGAAAACCACCCCTTTAAAGTTCATCTGTTTCGATTCAGTAGCATAAAATCTACAGTGGAATATCCTGCTGATTTTGATGGCTCTTGTAGGCCAGTGCGTTTCTTGGTTTTTCTGCAGTGCTAGTTGTCAGTGCTGCTGCTACAACTGCTCTCCTGGGCTTACTCTGCTTCTCTGAAACTAATCCCGAGGCTTACTGCTTGCTGCTCTGAACACAGTTCAGCTCTGTCCTTTTAAAAAGCGCTTTGTTGGCAGCTGAGTGCTGTGAATACGCAGCGCAATGCATATCTTTCACTTTCTTTCTTTCTTTCACTCTCTCTCTCTCCCTCTGTATCTCTTTCCCTCTGTATCTCTTTTTCTTCATTTCACTTTCTAACTTTCTCTGTACATGTCTTTTCTCTATGTCTCCTTTCTCTCTCTCTCATTCTGTACCTCTCTCTCTCTCGCAGTCTCTTTTTCTTACTTTCTCTCCCGCTTCTCTCCTTCTCTCATTCATTCTGAATTTCTTTCTTTCTCTTTCTGCATCTCTTTCTTCCTTTCTCTGTCTCTTTGTGTCCCTTTACTCTATTTTACTCTCTCTCATTCACTCTTTCTCTATCCCTCCTTTCTCTCTCTTTCTTTGTATCTCTATTTCTCAATCTGTTTTTCTTACTATCTCTTCCACTTTCTCTTTGTCTTTTGTCTCACTCTTTCTGAATATTTCTTTTTTCTTTCTCTCCTTCTTTCTTTCTTTCTTTCTTTCTTTCTTGCTTTCTTGCCTTCTTGCTTTCTCTCTCCCCACTCTCTCTCTGTTTTAGCTGAGTCGGGGCTTTTACACATCTTTCCTTTTTGTTTTTAGTGGCTGCCCCAGGGAGGAAAGGAGGAGAGGCATAGAAAGAGAAGAAAAGAGGAGAGGGGAGAAGGGAGGGAGAGAGAGAGGGAGGGAGGAAAGCAGAGGCGTTTGGAGAAAAGGATTACAGGACGAGAGCAAGGAGTGTTTGATATGAATATTAATGTCCTCTATGCTACGTGGCAGGGGCAGCAGCGGGCATCAATAATGCATAGAAACTGACGTAATAACTTTGCCCTTATGAAGTACCGCAGAAAGACAGAGAGAGAGAGAGAGAGAGAGAGAGAGAGGTGCATACCCTGTACTCTTCCAGTACACTTCAAGCTTTCTAATCATGTTTTTTTTGTGCTATATGCTCCTCATATACACTACATGGCCAAAAGTATGTGGACACGTGACCGTCACATCTACGTGAGCCTGTTGGACATCACATTCTAAACCATTGGCATTAATATGGAGTTGCCCGCCACCCCCCCCACTGGAGTTCCTTCACACCAAACTCGTCAAACCATGTCTTTATGGATCCTGCTTTGTGCACCGCGGTGAAGTCATGCTGGAGCAGGAAAGGGCCTTCACCAAACTGTTGCCACACAGTTGGAGGCATATAAATGTCTAAAATGTCTTTGTGTGCTGTAGCATGAACATTACCCTTCACTGGAACTAAAGAGCTGAGCCCAAACTTTGAAAAACAGCCACAGGCCATTATACTTCCTCCACCAAACTTTACTGTTGACACTACGCATTCCAGTGGGTAGTGTTCTCTTGGCATCTGCCAAACCTACACTTGTCCATCAGAGTGCCAGATAGTGAAGCGCGATTCATCACTCCAGTGAACATGTTTTCAGTGCTCCAAAGTCCAGTGGCGGTATGCTTTACACCACTCCAGCTGACGCTTGGCATTGCACAGATTTTAGTCTTGTCTACAGCTACTCCCATTTCATGAAGCTTCTGATGCCCAGTTTATGCTGTTGTTGATTCCAGAGGCAGTTTAGGACTCTGTAGTGAGTGATGCGACAGAGGATAGGTGATTTTACATGTTACATGGCACTCGCACTGTGAGTTTGCATGGTCTACTGCTTTGTAGCTGAGCTGTTGTTGCCAGAAATTTCACAAAACGTCACACGAGTTCTTCAGTACAACCCATTCTGCCAGTGTTTGTCTATGGAGATTGCAAGGGGTATGTCCTTGATTTTATATACCTTTTAGCAATGGTTGTGGATGAAATGTTTGAACGTAGTAATTAGGAAGGGAGTCCACATTATTCATATGATATATTACATTTCATATTGGTGCTGTCATATTAAGCCCTCTTATCTCCATCAGTTTTTATTCATTTTCTTTGTTGCACAATTTGAAAACACCGTCTGCCATTTACATTGTGAGGAAAAATCATGATGAGTGAACCAATAGAAGTGGTCCAAAATGGCATAGTTAGAATGAAGTCATAGTTAGGATGTTAGGAATGCTTTTTCCTCTTCCACTTGCAGAATGCTCTGAATTTTCTGAGCTTTTCCTGACACTGTCACTAGAACACGCTACTCTGTCCTGCTCGTGTCCAGCACTCTCTCTGGCCACAGGGATTTAAAGATGAGAAGTGATCAAGGACAAGTTAAACTTCCAGTTCCTATATGATTTCTCTGAAGACATGGCTCTCTGTTTTCTGTATAACTGTGTCTCTGTGATGTATACATTATGTGATGTATACATTAGATGAACTAAACTGCACTGTCTAAGTTTTTATTTTAAAATTAAGTAGCATTTTTGAGTCAGGAGGACAAATATGGTGTGTGTGCACTGCTGCGTGTAGCCCTGTGAAGCCTAAAATCATAATTTAAAAGTCAGAGCTGCATAACGCACATAGGCACAAAAAGAAGATCCAGCTCGATGTTTAGGTCTCAAATCCAAAATCAACATTGTACTGATGAGGATATGATGACAATAGTAGATAATTCACTCACATACTTGGTAGACACACCCTTCACCAAGTTTTGACTGAGTTCTCTTTGAATACTCTTCCAACTCGCTCCCAATCATCAAATTCATCCCCTGGGGGGGAAGGGGTCATTACAGAATGTTCTTCTCAAATGTACATTTCCACCAGAGAGGTCTCCTAAACACCCAAACTGTAATGTAATTGGTTTAAGTATTAGGGACACAATTTAACACCACTCTGCATTTGTAAACAAAAACATTTTTTTACATTTCACCACAATTCAGTCATTACGATTGAGAGTAGTTTGGTGTGAAATGGTGCATTATAGAAAAACATACTGAAGGATTTCTTTGCAGTGGTGGTGTTAAGAACCAGGGCTGTTGATATATACAATGCAAATATAGTCTTTTAATCTACTGTCCAAACTACCAGTGTACCTACATGTGTCTTCTGATTTTTTATATGTAATGCTGATAGTGGTAAAATAGTGTTAAATCTGAAATAATAAGCTACTATTTTTTCTTACAACACTCTTCGTGTAAGTTACCACCATGAATGTATTTTTTATATGTTTTAGGCCAAAACGTTTTAGTTTTTGTACTTTTAGTCAAAATAATAAAACAATGCATCATGTATATCAGGCAATGTATATGTAACAGTTTTGTTTAATAACTTAATGTGAGGTAGCTTTAGAGGCTTTGGATGTCTGGTTTCTATCCCTGCCACAGTAAATTCTGACTTTAAAATCAAAATCTAACAAGCTTTGTTTTATTACTGTCAATAAACCATACATTTAAAGGTTAAGCATGAGCATGAAGAGACTGAAGAGTATAACACTTTTGTTTTCCGTCTTTTTCTTTTTTTCTGCAGTGAAGAAAGCCAAGCTTGACGGACCCCAAGGTGAGACTGATGAAAAACCTCCACCACCATTCCTTTTACAGTCATTCCACACTGTGTATGTGTTTGTGACCTCCTGTTGTTACTCTCTCCTGCAGAGAAGTTCAACACATATGTGAGTCTGAAGGTGCAGAATGTTAAAAGCACGACAATCGCAGTGCGGGGCAACCAGCCCAGCTGGGAGCAGGATTTCATGTTGTGAGTATATCTCTCTATCTCTGTTTCTCTCCCTCTTTCCTCTTTCCCTCTCCCCTTTCTGTTTTTCCTTCTGTATCTTTCTAGCCCTCTCTATTGCTTTCTCTCCCTCTCTTTCTATGGCTCTGTCCTTCTTGCTCTCTTTCCCTTTTTCTCTCTCTCTGTCTACCTCTCTCTTTCCATCTGACTCACTCTTTTTCTCTTTCTATCTCTTTTCTTCTTTTTTGCTTTCTTTCTTTTTCTGCTTCCCTTTCTCTTTCTGCATTCCTCTCCCTCTCTCTTTCTCCCTTTATCACTCTTACCCTTTTTCTCTCTTTCTGTCTGCCTCTTTCTTTCTTTTTTGTCTGTTCTTTTTCTCTCTCTATCCTTCTATCTCTCTCTCCTTCTCTCTGTTGCTTTCTTCCCCCTTTTCCACCTTTCTCTTCCCTTTCTTTGTCTTTCTGCAACCCTCTCTCTTTCTCTCATTCTTTTCTCCAGTTTCTCTCTTTCTCTCGATTTCTCTGACTATTCTTTTTCTCTTTCACCCCCTCTCTTTTTCTCAACTGCTGTTTCCTCTTTTCTCCCTCTCGATCTCTTCCCTTTCTTTAGCTCTGGCAACCCTTTCTCTCTTCTCTTTCTCTGACTCTCTTTATCTCTGTTTTTTCCCTTCCTCTCTCTGTCTTGCTCTTGCCCTCTCTCTCCCTCTCCCCCTCTCTTGCTGTGTTTGCTTTGTCATATTGCAATTTAATGTAATTCCATAAAAGAAATATGTTCTCGCTGACGGCAGTGTTATCAAGCCGGATAAACCTCTTAATGCTAATTCCTCGTTAAACATCAAAGCTGTACTTCAAAGCTGTGTTTGTTGTTTTTCGCTCTCCGTTAATTTAATAATCTTTGTTAACATGAATAAATTTTGTTAGTTACATTACAGTCAAACCAATGAGCTGTAACGTAGTTAATGTGGAAAATGAACATTTCTATCCAAACAAACAAAAAGGATAATAAGAGTGAAAAGTAAAGTACAGACATGAGTTCCTCAGGGGTGTATAGGCTACTCAGCCCATTCATGTTCTCTGTCTTTCTCTCTCTTTATCTCTGTCTGCCCTCGTTCTCTCTCTTCTACCTCATTTTGTCTCTCATCTGTCACACCACTCTCTCCTCAATATCTCCTCTCTTCTCCTTCAATCATCTTCTTTTCTCTCTCTTCCCTCCCTCTTCCTGTCTTCCCTCAGTCTCTTTGTCCTCTGTGCCCTTTGCTCTCTTCCCTTCTTGTCCATCTCAACTTGAGTTTGAGCTTTAATTTGTCTTCATTACATTCTAACTGTCTTGTCCACACTGGCTAACTCAGACACTCTCACTAGCACCCACTCCACACTGTGACTTTTCCAGGCCCTACATTCACACACACATGGTAGATGTCCAGATGTCCAGAATATATGCTGACATTGTAAATTAACTTCATGAATGCTATTCTCGCTTTCTTAAGTGCTGAGTACACTACAAATAGCTTTACACTAAAACTGGCATATATTATCATTCAGAAGTTTGGAATCACTTGTCATATTAATGATTGCTGTTATTTTGTTCAGTAACAGTGTATACAGTGTAGAGCAGTCGTCTCCAACCCTGGTCCTGTAGAGCTGCCTTCCTGCAGATCCTAGTTCCAACCATACCTGCTCCAGCGAATCAACCTCTTCCCAAGTCCCTGATTGGCTGGATCAGATGTATTAGAGTTAAGTAAGGGGCGGTGTAGTGTATTGGATACAGGTTGGGACTAAACTCTGCAGGAAAGCAGCTCTCCAGGACCAGAGATGGAGACCACTGGTCTAAAATATATGTACTAGACAATAAAAGGTATTTTAATGTCTTTTATACAATATTATGTTTTGGGAATGAGAAGGTTATGATGTTATTAATAATGTAGATGCTGTAATTATCTATTTATTTTCTTGTCTGCTTCTTGTCACGTTAGCTACCTTGAGTTTTGATCACCACTCTACAAATAGAAGACATTCTGGGAGTTAAAGGGCCTGTATAACTAATAATCATACATTCCTCTTTTTGTGCATTGCACAAAAATACAAACAGTGTAGTAAATTGGCTTTTTAAACGTAAATTTACCTCTTGATGTTATTGTGATGTTTTCTCAAGTATTATGGAATCATCTATAGCTCCATGCATCTTTCTAAACACATGTAAAATGTATTTGAAACCTGTGAAGCTTTGAAGAGTGTCATATTAGAAACATGTTATACACACAGTGATTGCAAACTTTTAATGTATCAGGTCAGTAGAGATGACTTACTGAGTTTTTATATATTTCACATACAGAAAGTGACTCAGCTCCTCCACCCACAGCTTCCCCCTCTCCTGCTCTCTTTCATTCACACTCATGCATTATCTTCAACTTTACTCGCTCTCTCGCTCACACTTTCACCTCTCCCTCCCTCGCTCCTTTCTCCTCCTCTCACCCATTTACTCATTCACTCACTCAGTCATGCTTCGCTCTCTCTCATACTCTCCACCTGCTTCTTTCTTTTTCTCTTTCTTCCCTGCTTTGTCAGCCATTCATTCATGTATTCTGCTCTCTCTCTCATCCTCTCCATCCTGTCTCTCCCTCTTTCTCTTGGCAGTCCCCCTTCTCTTTCTCCTTTATTTGCTTATCAGTACTCCAGCTGAGTAGAATGAGCTGAGTGTGTGTGTGTGTGTGTGTGTGTGAGGTACACACTCATGGTTCAGAGTCCTGGGATTTCAGTGGTGTTGCACCGCAGCTGTTATGTAACAAGGCTGTACGCCCTTCATGCCATCATGTCAAATTCAGAGAATTCAGCCCTTGGCACAGTAATACCCTAATATTTTATTCAATATTTCACAGCGTTCTGGATATTAATCTTATTCTTATTTCATTTTCTGTTATACAGCTTTTTGTCATTCAACTACCCAAATGCAGTTGATCATACAAGACATGTTTGATGGCACAGTTTGCTTCTAAAGGCCAACCCCACTACTTAGCATCATGCAGTTTGCATGCTGTTCTACTGCCAATGCTGTCCTATAGAGATTATACAAGCAGTTGAACACCTTTGTCAATAATGGGTGGACCTTGAAGTAGCTGAATTCACTAAGGGATGTCTGGATACTTTTGGACATAGTGCCAATGTTTATGCTACATCCTGTCCTTGTTTGTCATCTCTTTTCAATACCAAGTGACACATCTAAAGTTTTTTCCATTCGTCCCTTTGTAATCTGTCTCTGTCTCACTCTGCCTGATGTTATCATTCTGTCTGCTCTTTTCTCTGTTTCTACCTCTCTCTCTCCTTAATAAGAGCTTTCATTGTGTTGTTGTATTCTTCAGCGTTACCATTTTGCTATATAACTTAATATAATTACATAAAAGAAATATGTAAAATCCTCAGCGCATGCTGGCTGCAATATTATCGAGCTGGAGAAACCTCCAAATGTTAATTTCTCATTAAACAGCGAAGCTGGGTTTGTTGTTTCACTCTTTTACTTAGTGTTATTGAGCAGCAAAAAATCTATCCAAACAACAAAAGTTATTTCTCTCTCTCTCTCTCTCTCTCTCTCTCTCTCTCTCTCCAGTGAGATAAACAGGCTGGACCTGGGCCTGACTGTGGAGGTGTGGAATAAAGGTCTAATCTGGGACACCATGGTGGGCACCGTCTGGATCCCCTTGCGGAGCATTCGCCAATCAAATGAGGTGGGGGTGTGTCTAGTGCCCATGCTACTGCCTCCGTACACTCACACTGTTCTCTAGAGTTAAAATACACTCCCATACACTACTCTTCCATATTTTAGACTAATAGACATCAACACTGTTACTGGGGGACATTGTTATGAAATATACATATTCAGTGTGTCCACACTTTTGACTTATAATGTATATTTGTCGGTCATTTCTTTATAGATCCTATTGAGCTCAGACTGTATGGTTATGGGCAGACCTAATATATCAGATTGTAGCACACCATGTGCTACCCGGGGCACAGGAAGGACGCTGGAAGCAGGGTTGAAGGTTGCAGCAGCCATTTTAACTTTATTCTCAAGACAGACAAACAAAAACAACTCAAAACCAAAGCTGGACACTTTTCGATGGCTTCAAAACTAGACTTTTCAGTCCTTTTCTCAAAACCAAGCTTTTTAGCTCCTCAGTCTTTTCTGCTGCTGGACTCTCTCCTCCTCTGTTCCCTCTCAGCTCTTTGTAAAGGCACTGACGCTGCCGTCCCCAGATCAGCATCAGTTGGCTCTCATTAAGGGCAGCATGAGCGCTTGAGCCAAGAGGGACAGAGAGTTCAGTGCTCCACCTCCCCCTCACTGGCCCCACTCCCCAGCTTGGCTGCCCAGATCGAATAAGAGGTGCAGTCCAGCGGCCTAGCTGTGGAACAGGAGGCAGGGCCTGGGCGGCAGAGTGTGGGACTTGTGTCCCACCTTCGTGCCTCTTGTGGCCTTCGTTGTTGAAAATTAATAACAAGATGTTAGAATTTGCAGAAATTTTTATCCATTTTTACCCATTTTTAGTTTTGCAGTGACGTTACAAGGCTAATGTAGCTAACCAGTAAAAGAAGCTCAGCCCAGTTAGTGCTGTGCAAACTGCTTGCCTAAGTTAATACATACTTACCTCAAACTAGAGGTCTGCACTCCCACAGGATATCCCACCACAATATCTTGTGGTGCAGGACTAATTTTCAGTGTTGTGCGCAGGAGCGGGTGGGTAGCCTAAATAAAGTAGAACAATCACTAAATCATAACAATAACAGTGAAACAGTTAAGATGAATGAAGTCATTCTAAAAAGTGGCAAAGCAACTGATCATGTGAACAACATGCAAATTCTTGTATCTTACAGAACTGGTGGAGCCTTCAGTCCAATGGCCACAGCTGCCGAGCAAAACACCAAAAATAACCTTTCTGTGCTTTAATTCATGCTTTGTGTTTACTGGGAATAAATGACGTTTGGTGAAGTTACTTCACAATAGGCCAGATGAGCATAACTACCATGTTATTTCAGTAGAGAATAGTGTATTTGTGAATAGGCTGTGTCAAATTTTGAATGTCACTTCACCTTGACGGAACTGCGCGGGTGAGTGGGCCAAAATGTTTCAGTTGCAGGCGGGAGCGGGACAAATGATTCCGATATTCTGTGGGAGTGGGCGGAAGAGCTAATGAGAGCTAATAAATGTTAGAATCCCTCCACTGTATATGCAACACACAGTGAGCAAGACTTTTTTGCCATACGTCACAAGCATGTCACATCAGGTATTTGTGCACAGCCATAGTAGATGGAAACACTGATTAATTAGCATTTTCTTTTACAACTTTTTGGAAATTTGCTTAAAATTTTGAAATCTTGACCATTTTCAATAGACTCAGCTGTAGACACATACACAGCAGCAGCTGCTGAGAGACAGTTATGTAAGCAAACTCTGGGCTCTGTTCAGGCAAACCTTTTGCTGAGTGGTCACCAGTTTGCAGCTCTTAAGTCGTGTTTTATAAATGACCCCAAGGCTTTTTCCCTTGCTTTCATAACTTTGTATGAATGATGTATCACCTGCCCTCAATTATGAATGAGTGTTTTGCCCTCTGATTCTATAAACATGTTTATGCGTCTCTCTGATCTGAAACAAGGGACAAGAGTGAAAACTGTTGAAGTATGATGGGGTTACAGCATTAGTGACAGTGGAGGGTAATATTTGGGTGTTGCCCAAGTTTTCGTTTGGAGAAATTCCAGCTAGAGTAATTGTATTTTTGTGGCTATTTTATGAATGAATGGGCATGTAGTGTGTTTAGTGTATTTATTTCTTTTATTTTAACCCTTAGAATTGACATTTTGATATACGTTCCATTTACATTACATAATGAATTACACTTACATTCTGTTTACATTCTGTTTTGGATTTGAGTCTGCACTTTTCCTCAGTTTTAATGACAAGAATGTAAAGGACAATTATCTTTCCACAAAAGAAGACAGTACACACAACAATAACTTTTCATCAAATTCAAATCACTATGAAATATGTCCTCCACTGGTCCTTAAAAACCAATAGGTGGTGTAGAATCGCTATAGAATTTCCCTGTTTGTACATATGTATTTATTATATTTACTTGATGTTTTATTCAGACCGGTTCTCTATATCCAGACTGAAGCGTTCTAACAGTGTTTTTTACTGAGTGACAGAGAAGAAAGGCCCAAAAAATGTAAGCCAGAACTTGAATGGACCAAAGCAGATATTTTGTGAATGTTGGTCTTCAATCTACATGAACTAAATACCTTTTAAAATCTTAACTACACCTTAACTTATTCCTAACCCTAAACTGTCACCAACTCTAACACTAGTGTTAACCTCAACTCAAAACTTTAACATAACCCGGACTCTAACTTTAATTGTAATCCTGCATTTAATTTAGCATTGTTGGTAATCAGTTTCAATAGATTGTTGTTAATTAGAGCTGTATAGAGTTAATCTATATTGGACTATCCAGTAAAGAGGGATCAAATGTGAAAATACTTATAGTTTTCTAATGGCAGGCCTCAGAGACTGTGACAGACTGTAACATGGTTTTGTGTGTGCTGTAATTGGAAGGTCCAGGAGAGGAAAGCCAACTGTATTTTAGTAATTAGCAAGATGATCTGTGATTTGAATCCAGTATGAATCTGCAGTATATAGTTTTTACAGTTTGACACTAATAATTGTGCAGTGCATGCTCTTCTTTAATTGGCTGAACTCTGGGCTTTCCCAGTAATAGTAGTCCTGTTTCAGTTCATCTCGTGCTAATGGAATAACAAAATGTTTAATAATTATTGCTGTGCGGTGTGTTGTTATTGTTATTGAGTGTGGCACTTGTCATGTAACACTAATGTGCACATCCAGACTTTTCAGTCTGGGCTATCTGTGATAATCTGGAGAAATGACAAAGATTTTTTATCCCGTATAAATCAAATTACATTACCAAACATCACCTAGTAAAATTAATCTCAAATATTATTTAATGTGTAACTTATGTAGTTATGAGTGATGAACTGGGGCCAAAGGTGGGCCAGTTGTTATCAAGAGTAGCAAGGAAGTCTAACATGGTTTTGTGTATGTTGTTACAGGAGGGTCCAGGGGAGTGGTTGACACTGGACTCACAGGTGATCATGGCGGATAATGAAATCTGCGGCACCAAAGACCCAACATTCCACCGGGTGCTACTTGACACACGCTTCGAACTGCCACTGGGTAAGACTGTTCATAATTGCAAGCCTAACCATATAAACTCATTCACATCAATAGTATGCGTTTGACTACACCTAGCTTTACACTATGTTTAATGAGCTTGTGACATTAATTAGAAACCTGTTCAGATCTTGCCATTTTTCTTTGCAAAAGCTTCAAGACTGAAGGGCCATTTGACAGAGGTTTAGCCCAGGAAATAATGCCAAAGCACACACATTTTATTCCCTTGTTGTGATGTCAGCACTCAACAGCACTTAAACCTTTCAGTCAAACCACGTTTTGGCTAAAAGATTTTCTTTATGTGTTTTTAACAGTAGTTTGGAAAAAAAAACTGTTAAATAATTAATTCAGCAAAAGCAACTCTTCATACCAAGAACTATATATATATATTAACATTTTTTCATTAAAAAGCTTTACTTCGGAATGTCAAGGTGTCCCCAAACTTTTGATGGACAGAATATGCAACTTCAATCCTTTAATATGGTGTCACAAACTTGATGTGGACTGCAATAGCCCTGAGTTTTTTTGACTTGAATAGCACTGAAGCAGCACTTTTGAAAGGCTCCAAAGCACACAACAGAAAACAGGACACCCTCAAAATGACAAAAATCTGTCCTGGAGCAATGGGTCATTGGAAATACACAACCTGGGTGAGTGGTGAGATTCTGCAGGAAGAGGTAGACCTACTTTCTCAAACGCCAAGCACAGCACACTGCTATATCCGTTTACTCGGAAGCTCATCCGTTCTGTCTACAGCAGTGACCTATTGTTACTTGGCGAAAAAAAAACAGTACTAACATAAGGTCACAGCAGGTGAAAAGCCATATTCCTCTTTTCATAAACAAGCATAGTGTTTACGTGGGCGTTTGTTTGTTTGTATCTGCCAGTGCCTGTGTGTATTCGCATGCACAAGTGAACCTCTGTGTGTTTTTGGGCTGGCCCAACTTATTTGAATACTCAAGTGTTTGTTCGTTACATTGATATTCAGTTCTCTGTTTAATATTTGGAAGCTTTGTCTTTTGTAAGCCACAAAAAAATGTACCCTGAATTAAATTTGATCAGTAAAGGCCTGTAGAACAACTATGGTTATTATATTGAAAATGTTAATAAGATATAAATAGCTGGTTTAGTTGAATACATCATAACTTCATGCCAGTCATTGGTGGCACCTTGTCTGAGAGCACAACAAACTGCATCCCTTTCCGTGTAAACAGCGTGTAAAAAGAGTAAAGATGCCTCAGAAAAAATCTTGTGTGCCGACATTCCTTTCTTGTTGGTCTAGCTTGTAGATGTAACAGTAGACAGTGGCTCACCTGTTGCTGCACAGTTTGTGTTGGTCATCCTCTAGTTCTTCTGCTCACAGGATGCTGCCCACAGAACACTGTTGGCTGGATATTCTTGGATGGTGGACTATTCTCAGTCCAGCAGTGGCACTGAGGTGTTTAAAACTCCAGCAGCACTACTGTGTCTGATCCACTCGTACAAGCACAACACAAACCAACACACCACCACCATGTCACTGAGAATGATCCACCACCCAAATAATACCTGCTCTGTGGTGACCATTGAAGAACAGGGTAAAAGAAGGGCCAACAAAACATGCATAGAAACAGATGTACTACAATCTGTAATAGCAAAACTACGAAGTGCACCTATATTGTAAGTGGACAATGAGAGTATAAAGAAGGATTGCTGATCGGCGTATATTATATACTTATGTGATTATATTACAATTATATGGTTATATGATTATAAATTATTATAAAAATATAATGTATGACTATGAGAGTGTTTGAGGAGTGTATGAGTATATATGTGTGTATTTGCTGTCTAGCTGAACAGTGTGTGTTTGTGGCGTTTGTCACAGATATCCCTGAGGAGGAAGCTCGATACTGGGCTAAGAAACTGGAACAGCTGAATGCCATGAGGGACCAGGATGTAAGTCCAGGCTGATAGGGTGATTCCTCTCGCACTTGTTTCTCTCTACTCTTCATTATTCCCCCTCTGCACTGAAGCCAAGCACCATGAAATTGGCTCCATGTCTGAAATTTGCCTTTAAGATACTATTGTACTTCCTTATGTGTTGTGGCCCCATAACAGTAAAAGACCCTTTCTATTTGTACTGTAGCAAAAACGTCACTAAAGCTAGTGATAATGAAGTAATGAAGTAAGTAATATTTGGTCACTATTTCAGCTGAATTTGTCATACCTGATGAAATGAATACCACCATGTACCACCAAGATCCATGTTTCCATTATGAACATGCAGTGTATGTGCTTTTTACAGTCTGACAGTGATAACTGTGGAATGAATGGCCTCCTGTAATTGGCTGAACTCAGAGATCCTGCAGTCCTGTTCCAATCCACATCATGCTAATGAAATAACAAAACTAAAAAAAGGCTAATAGATACAGCCGTGTGGCATGTTGTTATTGTTATTGAATGTGGAGTCTGTGATGTGGACATCCAGGCTATCATCTTTCAGTGCCAGCTATCTGTGATAATTTGTAGAACTTACACACATTTTCTTCCATGTGAATATGCAAGTCAAATCACTTACAAATTACATTACATAACCTGCTCTTGTAAAATTAATCCATCTTGAGTAGTGCTTAATATGCAAGTTATGCATTGAAGAGAGTGAGGAACTGAAATATTGGCCAAGTACAGGCCTGTAAGATTTAAGGGATTCATTTATAGAGAGATTTATGGAGGGATTTTTGGACAAATTAATCACCAACTGTTTCTGTCACAGTACTCATATCAGGAGGAGCAGGAGAGGCCTCTACCTGTTCCTGGGACACAGTGCTGTGAGTTACTTTTTTACATCTACATTACAACATCAAAGGCTTAACATAGAGTTAACATGTGGTTTCCTGTCTGTAGTATCATATGTCCATAAAACCTCAATTGCATTCACAATCCTCAACAGGATTTTTTAGAGGTTCTGAGTTAGGACATTATATAACCTCACTCCAACCGTGTCTTGTGCAGTCTCCACCAGCCTTATGGAAGTGTTTGTGCAGTATAATGGGCTCATCTGAGCTGGGGCCTAAAAGACATATATCTTGGAAAAAAATCCTAGATTTGTTTATGTAAATGTAAACATGGTTAGAGTTGCAAACTGTGGTACTCACTCCTCAGTCTACACAGTCCATATATGGAATCTAGGCCACAAAACCTGCTCATTTTGAATTCATCATGGTTGTGTTATCACCATGAACACCACCGACTGAGCTTGCAGCATTTCAGCCCTGCCCATTCATGCTGAGGTGATACGGAGTGTTGTTTCTGCAGACAGTCTATAGCAGAGTTTTTGTAGTGGAAGATGTGGAATAAACAATTAAACGTTGTACTGTTTCCTTATTGTTGGGAAGCAAATGTATCATTGCAGCCTTCCAACTGATCCAACATCCCTGAAGATTTCAGTTCAAATGTAATAGATTTTTGTTTTGTACATTTGGCCATTTACTGTTTTTGAACAAGGCATAATACAGGGTAGCCGGTCCGAAGAGTGGTTTACATTGTAAATGTACAGGAGCAAAAACAGCCTGTATAACTTTAAGGTTAGTTGCGAAATGGCCATGTAAAAATGAATTAAGTCTGTTTTTGGTACAAAAAGCAGCACGAATGTTAAAAGTTGACTTCAGGGAATATGAGCCAAAAACATTTAGAACATGAAGTCTTTCTGTGTTCTCCTTGAAGAGTTACAAATGAGATTGAGGGCAGAGCTGTTAAAGAGTTATGCTCACTGTTCATCTGTGCTTTCTGTGCACTACAGTCATCGTAGATTGTAGTTGGTTAGTCATTGTTTGACGATAGAGCAGTGTGTGAAGGAGGAATATGAATGACTGTCTGGCAGGTACCTCAGTGAGCTCAGTGAATGACTGGGAGTCTTTATGAGTGTGTAACTTTTCCATAACCACACATACACATTCACATACACTCCCCAAGCAGTGCTATCATTGGTCCCAGTGAGCTTTTCTTTGGCTTTGGCATACAGCAGGAATTTCTCATTGGCTGTGGCACACAGCAGGAGCTTTTCATTGGCTGAGGCAAACAGCAGGAGCTTTTCATTGGCTCAGGCAAACAGCAGGAGCTTTTCATTGGCTGAGGCAAACAGCAGGAGCTTTTCATTGGCTGAGGCAAACAGCAGGAGCTTTTCATTGGCTGAGGCAAACAGCAGGAGCTTTTCATTGGCTGAGGCAAACAGCAGGAGCTTTTCATTGGCTGAGGCAGACAGCAGGAGCTTTTTCATTAGCTGAGGCAGACAGTGGGCTTTGTCACTGGCTAGCTGCCAGACCCTTTGTGTTACTCATAGGCCAGTGAGGCATCGCCGGGGCAATGGTCTGCCTTCCGGGAAGAGTCTTAAAGTCTGACTTCACCCATTCTGCCCTTAGCTAAGTAAAGGAGACATTGCTGGCCAGAGTCCAGAGTAGTGGTGACATAACAGTGACTTCACACTGGACGTCATTTCTCAAAGTCATTCAGGCTTGGGGCAGCACACACTAAAACTTTCAGATAAAAGGTGCTTTTATCTAAGAGCAGATAAGAGCAGTGTGCAGTGCCCATTTTAAAGAGCCCATCTCCAAAATTTTTCTTGTGTTCTATTTTTTTCCTCCTGCAGAATAACATATAGCTTTGTTCTGATTGGCTGCATTGTGTGGTGCTTTGTTCAAAGCAGTCTGGGCTGAAACACCTCGTATAACCTCAGCATGAATGGGTGGAGCTAAACTGCAGTAAGCTGAATAGGTGGATAAATCGTATATAGTTTTAGGCACCTGAGAAAGTTGTATTTAAATAGTTATTTCTCTGGTCAGTAATTTATTTGCTTGAAACACTATTATTAAAATAAATACGAATAACATTAATACAGTAAGTAGAAATTCTTTGTAAGTGGCTTAGCTTATCAGTACTTTATTAAGCTAAATCAGATGTGCTGGCGATGGAATTGAACATTTCCATGCAATGGCTCGAGGTTTGGAGAAGACATCTAGAACCAAACTTTGCTTTTCAAACTAGCTCACAAGATTTAAAAACAAGTCCTGTATTTATGTTTATTTGTGTTTATGATATGTGTTTTACAAGCACACATACTGACAAGATAAATGGTTTTAAACAATGTGCTTACATGCCTAAGACTTTTGCTCAGTACTGTATGTCAATATGTTGGTTCTTATGACACCACCAAAAAGATTAATTAAAAATGGGCAGATTAGTTTCTATACATTGACTGTATGGACTGTGTTTAAAATGTATGGTACATTTTAAAACTTGTTTCAAATGTTTATATACTTCCTCAAAGTACTTTTCTTGATATAGGCCCTTTGTTCAAGCTTGTCAAGTCTTAGTAAAAGTGCACTTAGCCTTCTTTACTAAGTCAATGTTCCTGGTGTTCATCTTTGCCTCTTTCCTTTTGAGAGGTAAACTATATGTCAAGTATCCAGACACCCCCTTATAATCGCTGACACAGGTGCTAAATTGTGCACAGTGAATGCAGGGGTTTGCTTACTACTACTGTCCAGTTCCTCTTCCCCTTTCTTACACTAGACTTCTATGCCCTTTGCTCTTTTACAGGTAACTGGAATCTATGGGGAGATCAACCGAGTGAGTTGTTTGTTACTGTCATTTTGAAGACACACCTGCACGATATGGACAAACTATTGTAATATGATTATTATATCTATTATAAATGCATTATCATAGAACGCTTTGTTTAATCCTGGATGCATCCATTTAACTTGGTAGAAGATTGCAGCTTTATTTCTGGCAGGACATATGATCCTTTGTTGGACCACATGGATGCCTGTAATTCATCAGAAGACTCACAGATTATTCATCAGAAACATCTGATATGGGCTTGTGGTTTGTTAGAGTGCTTGCTTCCATATGGCAGCCTTTTGGTGATAATATTGCTGACAGCAGATATTCCAGTGTTGTTTTGTACAAGAAAATGAGACTTTTATGAGAAAATGTAATGGGCTTTTTTTTATATATATATTTTTTCTAATGAGCTCATAATCACATTTACTGTTGATAAATGGACACATAGCGTCAGAAATGTAACCTAATTAATTCCAGAAATTAAAAAGAAAATCTTTTTCAACAAACATTTAGAATAATTATCTTTAAGCTTGGCAGAGAGTAAATATGCTTTTTTGTTTTATACCACCTTTTATATTAACCTTCTGAGGTCCTAAGTCAGAGTATATATATATATATATATATATATATATATATATGTGTGTGTGTGTTTTTAGGCAAACTTCTTTACTTATTTTCTTCTCATTTGCAAATGCCAAGTGCCCCCTAATTATAGACGGGGTGACAACAAGCTTCCGCTTGCTTTACTGTGACAGCCTTTCAACAGACAAAAAGTGGCTCACAAAAAGAGTGTTTATGGATCAGACTCTTACTGTGATACCCTCACACGCTCACTTCCTGCTGTGCGGATCAGCAGATGGGATTGCTGGCGGGTGCCCAGTTGGCCTGTCGGGTGATTTGTCACACCGCCCTCTCGCCTTTCCTTGGCCTTGCTCTCTGCTGCATAATGCTAATAAAGAGTTTAGCTCGTGCTGGAGCTGTGCTGAAAGCAGTCCCGTGCTCTGCTCTTCATCTATGAGTCACTGTCTTCATTTTCATCGTCCTTAAATGCTGCACTCCTGCAGGATTTAGTTCTTACCATAATCTCAAACTTTATTTTGGTGGATAGAATCTGTCCATTTCACATAACATAATCATAAGTGATCATTTTTGTCTTTGTCAGTTTGCAATCATACAATAGATTCCCACAGGGGATAATTTGTCAGAAAAGAACAGAAAACCTGTTGATTCAAAAACACATAAAAGCCAAAGGGCAGATGCTGAAGCACCTACAAATAAATGGAAATTCATTAAAAATATTCATGGTATCTGACAGTGTAATACAGTTGTGACAGACAGAGATCAGGTTGAAAAATGCTAGAATGTTTCTTTATCCCCTTAAATAGCCAGGCCCCACCGATGGGCTCACAGTTCTACTACACACTTCTATAACTGAAGAATAGCTCAGTCAGTTTGCACTGACGTCTATGTAGTTACTGAATAATAAGCCTGTAATGAGGTATGTAATAATCCTGGGATTTTAATGGGTTAATCCCTTGCTGATAGCTTCTGTCTGCCTGTAGATGAAGATCCGGACAGTGCAGTGGATGACCGGGACAGCGATTATCGCAGTGAGACCAGTAACAGCATCCCTCCTCCATTCTACACCACCTCGCAGCCCAATGCCTCAGTCCACCAGTACCCCATGAACCAGCAGCGCACCACCCGCACCAACTACTCCCGCTCCAGCAACAGCTGCGACATCGACTACGACCACCACAGAGCAATCAGGTGTGTTTGTGCAAGCGCATCTGCTTGTGAGAAATCATTAGTTTTGATAGAGTTTTTCTGAATCATTAAGGTTTAGAAGTCACATTCATTGACATCAATAACAAAAGGAAGTTGCAATTATATATTACTTATATCTCACTCTGAGCTCATTAAAGCAAACAGAGAATCTCTATCAAAAGTGCACATTCTAGAGTATTGATTGATACCATCTTTGTGTTTGTAAGTAGAGAAGGAAATATTGAATTTAATGGAAACTGACTGTAACGCTTACAGACTTTATATATTGTTGCCGTTCCTTTCATCAAAACACACCCTTCAATACAGAATGTAGATGTATTTCATTTATATTCTAAGTTTCATTATGGAAACTTACTGTAATGCTTACAGACTTGCGTTGTGGGAAAAAAATATATATATTTTGTTGCCGTTCTTTTCATCAAAGTCAATACAGAATGTAAATGTCAAATTCATCAAAGTCAATACAAAATGTAAATTCATCAAAGTCAATACAGAATGTAAATTCATCAAAGTCAATACAGAATGTAAATGTATTTCATTAAGCAACTAACTGTGTAATTATTATAGAATTATATAATGTAAATCTAATATAGAACATGATAACTCTGCACTGCTAAGATTTAACAGTAGGCCTCAAATGTATGATAGAAGAGATATAGTACAACACAATCAAATGTTTATGCAGTTCTGACACACCTGATTGAACTCCTGAAGGCGTAATTAGATTTGAAATGAGTGTGTGGGAAAACAGGGAGCATTAAAGTGTGCAGTGTTTTGGCCCTTCAGGATAGGATTTCAGTAATTCAGGATTCAGGATTGCCATATAATACTGCACACGGCAGCTGGCGAAGCATAACAGTGCCTGTGTACCACTCCTAGCTTTTCTCAAACGTGTTGCTATGAATTTACTTGATTCAAATGTGTACGTCAGTTCTACTTTAATAAAATACATTAAATCAGCATAGTTCTTGCCAAAAGTAAGTAAAATGAACAGCAGTAATTGTGTCAATGTAATATATTCATTCATGTGGAACCAATGTACACATTTGAATCAAGTAAATTCAAAGGAGCTAAAACTTTATGAGTGAACCTGAATAGTGGTTTCAGTACTCAAATACTGGCAACTGGAACTGGTAACCAAGTGCTCGAGTATCTGTGCATATCTCTAGTGCAGTGCTCTCTTGCCTTATGCTATGTTTCATGTTAAAGCTGTTTTTGTTTTGTTTTTTTTTAATCCTCTGCTACTTCATGCATTATTCAGTAACCAGTCCAGTGGTCAATAGTGCGTGTCTGTCAGCAACTGTGCAGGTGTGTATGTGGCTGTGTGTGTGAGGGGGGTGGGGTGGGGTGAATAGCCTATGCAAGAGTGTGTGTTTCTGTGACTGCATATGGGTCAGATTGTTGTGTGTGTGTGTGTGTGTGTGTGTGTGTGTGTGTGTGTGTGTGTGTGCGTGAGTGAGTTTTCTCTTTCTCTTCCTGGTATTTTAATAGGCTCATTCATCATGTCTGATCTGTGAGTCTTCTCTTTTTTCAGGGATACTTTTTTTTCTCTCTTTGTCCTCGCTCAGGCCCTTCTCTTCTCTTCTCTTCTCTTCTCTTCTCTTCTCTTCTCTTCTCTTCTCTTCTCTTCTCTTCTCTTCACATTCAGTCACTTTTCGTTCTCTTGTTTTGGCATCTGTTCTCTTCTCTCCTCTTCTTTTGTCTTATCTTATCTTATCTTCTCTTCACGTTCTCTTCTCTTGGCATCTATTCTGTTTTCTTCTCCCTCTCTCTCTCTCTTCTATTTCCTTCCATCCATCCATCCATCCATCCATCCATCCATCCATCCATCCATCCATCCATTCTCTTCTCTTCTCTTCTCTTCTCTTCTCTTCTCTTCTCTTCTCTTCTCTTGGCATCTGTTCTGTTCTCTTCTCTTTCCTTAACATCTGTTCTCATTTCTTCTTTTGTTTTCTCTTCTCTTCTCTCCTCTTTCACTTATCTTTTTCTCCTCTTATCTTTTCCTTTTTTCCTATTTTTTCTCCCCTTTTACTGCCTCTTTTACCATCTATTCTCTTCCTTTCTCCTTTCTCTTCCCTTCTCCTCCGTTCTCTTCTCTTCTTTTCACATCGTTCCTCTTCTGCCTCTTTCTCCTATCTTCTCTTTCCGTTACATCCGTTCTGTTCGCTCCTCTTTCGCTTTTTTCTTTTCTCTTCTCTTAGTTTATTTCCGTGATACTATCTATGCTCTTCCTTTCTCTTTTGTTTTCTTTCAAGAGAAAGCTCCTCTAAATGCCATTATTGTGTTTAAATAAACAAGTTAGAAGGAGTTTGTTATGATGATGGTGTAATGCATTGTTGAATAGCTTCTCTAAAAGCCTACCCTTTTGAAATTGTCCGCCTACAGAATAGCACTTTGCCCCATGCTTTCAGTGCATTTCCTGGAAAAGACTGCTGTTATGTTTAAAAATACAGGAAGAATCCTTAATAGGTGCTTCAGTCCAATAAGATATAAAAGCCTTGGCACACTGGAAATGACCTGTGCTTTCCCAGGCAGAAGACTCCGGAGGTGTCCTCCATGTCATGGTGATGCATAAATAGCCGGTAGCAGAGTGAGGGCAAACAGAGATTGAGGTGTGTGTGTGCGCGTGTGGGCTTGTTTGATGAGTCAACCTTGTTGTTCTTGACATTTTCCCACTTTAGTCATCCCACGGCTGCTAAAGATGCTCCATCTTTTTGATGGATGGTTCACTCTCCCTACTGCGTTTGTTTTCTGTTTGGCTATATCAAATATAGCATCACCCCCTCATTCAATCTTTCTCCCTTTCTTTCTCTCTCTTTCTTTCTTTGTGTTTATGTACTTCATTTTTTCATATACATCAACATATACTGTCACCTTCAACTGCTGACATTGACTCAGGTGACGGCTCACGTCACTGGTAGGAATCTAAAACACTAATTTAACAACACTGTCAATTTAATAGGTGTATTTAATACTGAGAAAATGCTGTAAGAATTAATGAAGCACACTTTAAAATTAGTAACCATTAGTAGCCTTTTTACTTACATAGGAGGTTATGTAATGAATTACATTTACATTCAGTTTACATTCTGTATCGACAGAACTATTCATACAGAACGGTTTAGTCATTAATTTCATCAAAAGACGAAAGGCAAAGATTGTTTTTTGTTTCTGCAAAACAGGACTGTGCGCACACCAATAATTATCACCTCTTCTAATTATGAACATTGTTGTGACATTGACTTTAGAGAGGATTGCTCCACTTGTTTCAGAGAGCTAGGAGTGCACTGACTACAACTACCAAAAGTTAATGAAGTATTCATATTTTTAAAAAGTGGTACTTATATTATTAAATAAGTATCGTACTTAACGCATTAGAATTTAGAACCATTGACCAACTGTGCTTGCACACAGATGAATTTGACTGCCACATTTAATCCATCCATGAAGTGAAACACCAACACGCATTAGAGGGCAGTTAGCACACTTGCCCAAAGCAACAGGCAGCCCTATCCATGGTATCTGGGGAACAGTTGGGGGTTAGGTGCCTCGCTCAAGGGCACTTCAGTCATGTCCTGTCAGCTCAGGGAATCAAACTGGCAACCCTCCGGTTACAAGGCATGTCTCCTGCATGGCAGGCAAGAATTCTACCCCTGAACCACCAATGCAAGGACAACATTATTGCCAATACATTCAGAGACTTTGGCAATATCCACTATAACTTGTTCAAATCTACCACCAGAGTAATTTGTTATTGTAAAATGGATCAGCGTGTGGAGCTGAAGCTTTCTGTTTGCTACCATGTTTTCTATGACTATGAAAAAGAAGCTCCATTCTGCCTTTATTGTCGAATATATTGCAATAGTTTGTGAGCGAGCGTACGCACATGCTTACTATTGTGCACAAATGCTTACTATTGATTTTTTTATGTCAGAGTAACAGGAGAAGGTGACTAAAATGTATATATTACTATTCATATGGCTGTTTTCAGAACAAAACCTCATATCTCTGACAACAATCTGAGGAAAAAGAATAAACCTTCTTTACTTTTAATGTAAGTCAATGGAACCAGGCTTTTTTTCCAAGTAATTTTGGGCCATTTCTTTTGACCGTTCTTCATGAAATGTATATACTATGTAAAGGGCAACAGGCATTTTCAAATTATGTCAAAAACTGAAAAACGAAGAAAATGAAGACAGAAGGTTTTGTCTCGACCGCAGTGATATGCTTGCTTTAAAGGGTAGTTTTTAAAATAAAAATCTTTGAATTTTTGTTAGATCATGTTCTTTACATATCAAAATAAATGTGATGGAGTAGATTAAAAGACTAAAATAACTTTTTTATGTTGAACATTCTTATTTACAATTACGTAAGTTTCTTTTTCATATTTTTATCTGCCATTTCTAAGTATAACAATACATGATATATCTGTCTGTTTCTCTCTCTCTCTCTCTCTCCCTCTCCCTCTCTCTCTCTCTCTCCATCACTCAGTCCAACAGGAAGCTATGCATCTTCTGCTGAGTTAAGCCGCTGCAGCTCCCAGTTGAGTGAGGAATATGGTGAGCGGGAGCTGTATGATGAAAATGACTCCTACCACTCCTGCCACTCCTCCGTCTCCTACAGTAAAGGCTCTCCCGACTGGGACCCAGATGAAACACCAGGCGCCTACAGCGACGAGGGCGGCTACAGCAAGGATGGTGGCGAGGAGGGTGCCCTGTATGAAGAGGAGGATGGAGACCCGTATGCTGAAGAGGCTGACCTTTATGAGGGTGAAGAGGATGACTTCAACTATGAAGATGAAGACTTGTACCCTGTGGATGAAGTTCTCAGTGAAGACCAGGAGCCTCCATACACCCCGACCCCAACCAGCACTGCCCCAACACTGGGTGTGCCATCCACCACCAGGCCACCACTGGAGAAGCAGGCATCTCTGCACCAACAGCCACCACCGCAGGGACAGAATGCTAGCCAACCACCCAGTCAAGTTCCAACTCAACCGTCCAAACAAGTTTCTAGCCAACCCGCCAATCAAACCATTCAAGCTCAAGTGCAACCACAACCACCCAACCAGGCACCAGCCAAGCCCCTGTCCCAGCAGCCTCCTAGGCAGAACCCCCAACTCCAGCATCAGCAGTCCTCTTCAGGCCCCATCCCATCTGTCCAGTCTTTCTTTGCCATGGCCAAGCCTTTGACTGCAGTGTTTGGGTTGGGCGGCTCTACACCCCCACAACCTCCTGCACCTGCAACCCAAACCCACCAATCACAGCCACAACCCCAATCTGTAGCCCCCCAACACCAAGCTCCGGCAGTCCAGGCTTCTGCCCCTGGTACTCACCAAACACCTCCAGCTTCAGCCAAGCCCCAAGAATCTCCAACTCAACCCCAAGCTGCAGTGACTGCCTCTCAACCCCCAGTTCCCACAGCCAAGCTGCCTACCCCAACAGAGGAGATCATTGAGGAGCCACCAGTACCAGAACAACCCTATCTGAAGGATGAAGAGATACCTGTAGAAGAGCCTCCTTTGGAGGAGATGGAGAAGGAAAGCATCCCTCCCTCACCAACACTAGAAGAGAAGGAGCAAGTGCCTGAACCAGAGAGGTAATGCTAATTTAAATGTGGAAATTGAAAGTGAGCACATTTTTTCGATCAGGACTATTCGGTTCCATATGAGTTTCCTGGTGTACCTGCCAATAGGTCAATTTCAGTAGGTCAGGAAAAGAAAAACTGAATGATAATATAATACTATGGTTAATGCTTATAATATGCAAGGAGATTGACAACCTGTGGTTCATACCAGTGGTTATCATCGCTCGTCACAGAGATCTGCTTTCCTTTGCGTCCAACCCAAACCCTCTTTGACTGATCTGGATGGATTTAGTTTTGTTGTGAAACTGAATTTTATAGGAAGCTAAATGTTCAGGTAAAGGAATGATGTTCACAAATTTACACAGGCCTACATTATGCAGCAAAGGCAGCCTACATCATGCATTAGTAAACATAGCAAATCTTTTTGATGTGTTTAAAGATTTTGAATGAACATTTAATATGGGAAAGCAAGAAGCTTGTGTGTATCAAGGCCACCTTTTATTTAATTTCCACTTTAAATGGCCATTAGATATAAATTATTTATTTTTCAAGAGATATTTCTAGGGAGATTAGAGAGAAGATAATCTACTTGTATAAACAAGAGGAAAGTCTTGCCTAGCAGAGAAAAGGGTTTCCAAAACTGGGGTTCAAAAATCTATTAAAAGATATAGAGTAAATGGGAGTTCTGACAACCATTCAAGACCTGGTAGGCCACCAAACCAGCACAGGATCAACAATACTTAAAAATTTTATCTTTGTGAGAGAGGAGAAAATTAAGCTCCACTCTTGCTTCAGATCTGAAGTAGTCCACAGGTGTTTCTGTCCATCCTTCCACTGTGAGAAGACAACGCAATGCTATGGGTCTGAAAGGATGTGTAGCTGTAAAGAAGCCCTTACTGAGAAAAAGAAATAGACAAAAAAGACAAAACAATTGCAAATCAAACAAAAAGCCCACCCCAGTTCATTGTGTCTGGGACTTCTAAAACTGACCTTTGGACATGTGGAAAAATACCTCAGATTTATTTGAAAAACTAGAAGCAAGTCTCTAAAAAAATTACAAAAATATTACAACAATTAAACACAATTATTGTGTTTAATTGTTGTAATATTTAAGGCTGAGAAATGAATAACTTGTACTTAATGGTCATTTGACTGGAAATGTATAAAAACAAGCCACTTATAATCTATAGTAAATTTCATACAATCCTAAAACTCCCTAAAATCTTAAAACTTTAAACGAATGTTGATCTCAGACAAGAGCCAATTTAAAGTAAATTGTCTGTTCTACTTAACAAAAGCACCTCACAAATGAATGGATTGGTGCTTTTCCACTGATACCAATAAATCAGTAGTCTTAATATCAGACTACTTATCTGCCAAACTATATATCGGTTTGACCATAGTGTGTATGTATGTATTCCATTTATCTCTGTGTAGAGAGCCAGTGGTTGAGGAGGTGAAGGAGCCTGTGGACCCAGCAGTACGAGCCAAGGAAAACTGGCTACGGCTTTTCAACAAGGTCCGGCAGCAACTGCAAGAGGTAGGTTTCTAAAAGGTCCAGACTGAAGAGTGGTTGTCAATGCTGAACCTAGAATCTGTGTGAAATCAGAGGTGTATGTGCTTTGCTAAAGTGATGCATACTATATGTAGCATTGGATGATTTCTGAATAGTTGAATAGCTGAAACATCAGTCATTTGGGATGCGATTCAAAACAACAGTCATCACAATTCACAACCCTGCTTTCCTCAGGTTGTTTATTTTTTTTAGTTCTGAAATGCTGGCCCCGGACACGCAGTTTGCTTATGAGTTTGAGTTTACATACACGCATTTGCTGACTTGTTTTGATGCTGAAGCTTTGTCTTGCTGATATTCTAACCACAGCAGATAACAGCTGCCATGCTTGATTTGCAATTTTATCACACTGCTTCTTCTTTTGTTTTCTCTGTTATTTTTGGTTGTTTTCTCGTTTGTCTGTGTGTATCCCACCATTTTTGTTTTCTCTCCAGTCTCTTTTCATTGCTATCGCGATTTGCATGTTCACTCAGATGGGCCATGCTTGGACGAGAGTCAGGTGGGTCTGCGTTGGTCGTGTGAACATTGTGTGTTTGTTTTTTCTTGTGCCTTTTTGTGCAGACAAGAGCTAATGTTAACATCAGCTGCTGCAAATATTTCTTCTTTGAGCTGAAGTGCAGTGCAGCACTGTACGCTTATGCCGTTATTGCTTGCTTTTCTGGTCATTCAGGCCAGTTAAACTAAATGCATTAGTCAATTTATGGAAAGGTTGTTGGCATGTTGTGCAAATAATGCACGGGTAGACTTAAGTGCTTTCGCCTGATCAAGCATCTCTGCTAGGTGCTAAATCACTCACAGCTGGAATTCATCACATGATTCTGTGCCAGGAGAATTCATTCACACAGCTGAAAATGAGGGAGCAGATTTTTTATTACCAATCGTAATATTTTACAGTAATGAAATGATGTCTGAGAAATTATGGTTAAACGTGTCTCAGAATTCTAATCGCTGTTTCTTGGATTGCCTGTGCAGAATTTCTTAACACAACGTAATTTGTTTGAAACCTTATTTATGAATGCTGAGTTTTATTTTTTAATTATTCATGGAATTTTATGGAATTCCCAGTGTCATTTTTTAGAATCGCACTATATGAAGACCCACTAGCATCGTATCAGTCATGTTCATTCTTTCTGCTGTTGAACACAGGTGGTTGTGGGCATCACTGAAGGTCAAATGAAGAGCATCGCTGTGAATAAGAGTGTTTGAAGCTCGCTCATTATTGTGATTTGATCAAAATATCCTCAATGAGTACTGCAAACACGTGTTTTGTCTTTTAGGACTGAGCTAATCAGGGCTTGTGAAGTGCTCTTTGAAGACTTGTTCACTGAAGACTCTCTTTCTCTCACTCTCTCACTCTTTCTCTCTCTCTCTGTGTCTCTCTCTTTCTTTCTCTCTCAGGCACGGGGAGAAACAGACTCTCAGTCTCTGTGGTTTGGAAAGGGAGGGTAAGTCACTGTGGTCAAAGTCAAGCACTCACTCTGAATGCTGTTGAGAAGCAGAAAAAGGAGCAGTCATTTAATAGTACACAGTGGGGTTCATAAGTAATTGTACAGTGAAACTCTGTTGTTGTTTTGGCTCCATATTCCAGTATATTGGCTTAGGGTAAGGATTCTGGGGGACCAAAATTAATTGGATGAATTAAGATAATCTAATTTTTTGCTAATCTTGTTAACATAATCTGCCTAAACTCAAACGCTACGTATTTTGCCAATTGTACAATTTCCATTGTTGGCCCTAAAAACTCCGTAATTCATGTAACAGTGTGTTTTGGGTCATATCCGGCTGCAGCGTGTACACACTTTTGCTTTTGGTTTTTTCTGTTTTTTTCAGCTTTATGTTGGCCTGCTTTGCTTGCGTTGACACTTTATTGATTTTCATACTGAGAGACAAAAGCAACAGCTTCCAGATGCCAAATTAAGAATCATCCCCTAGACCAGGGGTCGGCAACTACTGCCCTGTTGTGGCTCCACAGCAGAATAATCCTTCTTTGCAGTAAAATAAAGCTCTGCTGATCATTCCAACACATTTAAAACTAAATGGTGGTAAACTCTGGAGTTAATGTAGCCTATATCTGCTAATTGACCCTTTAACCCTGAAGGTTGGCATGCAGACTGCTGGTCACTAGCAACGCAGACAGCAGCCTCGCCTAGCTAGTAGCTAACAAAAAGGCAAAGAGAAAGATTTAAGACGGACATTGATAATTTAGAGACGAATAGATAGATTTATTTGCATTTATAATCCCTCCTGCTGCTTTTCCTGATACATTAATTTGCAGCGAGAAACTGTCAAACACAAAAAAATGATGAAGCTCAAGTCAGCTCCTTGTTTGAATTGTCCCATTCCACCTTAAATGGTGCCACAGTTACATTCTGGCGCCTTAGGTACAATTTACGATGGAACGGGAAAATTCGAACGAGAAGCTGGTAAATGAGAAGCTAACTTCAGCCTCGAAAAGAGGGAAATTTACAAAAAACTATTCTACTTTTGCGGAAATGGTGCCTGCCGCAGATGCGAGAAAAGCAGCTATAGCCAAGCTAAGGCTTAAAGCAGAGCACAGTATGTCTGCATTTTCGTTTATATTTTTTAGCTTATTCTAGTACATTAGTATATACTGAGAGATATTTACAGCCAAGTTGTTAAAATTGACATAAAATGTTGAGGCTCTCAATTTGGTTTGATTTTTGTTGAAGGGAGAAAATGGCTCTTCTTAACATTTGGGTTGCCGACCCCTGGTTTAGAACTTTTTAGAACTCTTTCTTATGCGTAAACTAACGATGCAAAGACACATATTCCGGCCAAGAAACAAACAGCCTTTTATTGTCTGGTTACATTTGGTTCCCTAAAAGGTAGATAGAATGAGCTATCATCCTTACACAGTTCATTTGATATTGACATACATTCACTTTAATTAAAGTGAAAATATGTACGTCAACGTCATTGTTTTATTACAATTCCAGTGGTATGGAGTACAAAGCCAAAAGAAAAAAAGCTTTGCCCCTGTCGGTAATGACTGTCTGAAAAGAACATCCTCAGACAATCATCTAATGCTAGGTTTTCCCTTACAAATAATGAAATGTCAGTTTGACATTCAGCCAATTTGAGCCAGGTTTGAGAAGAACGGTGAGTGTATAGTTTTCTAGCTCATTTGCTCTTCTCTACCAGGCAGCTTCTTTAGCTCTGAATTTAATGAGCATGCTGGGAGATTTTGCTGAGAAAAGCACTTACAGTTCACACTCACCCATTTGTTCAGGTGTAAGATTTCATACACACACACACACACACACACAGAAAATAATATGTACATAATTAATTACATTAATTACAGCACAGATAGACTGAGGGAGATGTTTTCCTCAGCAATAGGGAGCTATTTCCTAATATACTGCAGTAAGCTCTTTGAAGTTTACAGCAGTGTTCTATTATTAGGACTTAAGGTAGAACAGCATGAACCAATTGAGATATAGTCAGACTTAGTCAAACTCAGGAAACACGTTCTGGTTTAGAACAACCGACGTTCAACCCAGTGTTTAAGTTTGGGCCTGGTTTTATTGAACAAGGAGGCCCAGCTATCATTTTCAGAAAAGGATTTGGCATTTTGTAATAGAAAATTTCCTGTCATGATATCAGCGACCCAGATTATTGTATGTTTATATTATGACATTATTGGTAAAATATACTGGAAATGTTTAAAAAACATTGTTTCACTACAGTTATGATTTTGATATACTTTTTACTGGGTCTAATGTATGTCTATAGAACAATCAATAAATCAATCAATAAACAAATAAATATTTGAATCACCAATTATGTATTGATTAAATGTGGAATGTGTTGTCCTCTTAGATGGGTGAAACAAGTGCTGTCACCTCCTTCTGCCATAGAAGCAAGTTACCAAGCACTCATTACATGTTGTACTTGCGTTGTCCTGGCATCTGCATTGTAGGGAGACTGTAGCAGCAGACTATTTTCTTCCACCATGATTTTTTGAAGGACAGTAATTGTACACACTTATCAGAGCTATTAAAATTTGAAATGGAATAATTTCCTCTGGGTTTTGTACCGTGATATAAAATTGTATGCAAAAGTTTGGTAACCCCTGGCCAAATGATGCATTTTGTTGATTTTTGAAGTGAAAACCAGCAAAAATACCTTGTGTAGCAACTATAAACTATTTTAAAAATCTGCAAAACATTAATGCACACGTACCTTATATTTGATTATTTAAAAAAATAGAAAACTATAATAATATTGAAAAGTCAATGCTTAGTAACACCCCTTTGGCAGATAGCAAATATAAGGTAAGTGTGCATTAATGTTTGTATAGCAATGATATATTTTTAAATAGTTTACTGCCGATTTTTCACTTCGAAAATCAACAAAATATCTAATTTGGCTGGGGTGTCCAACCTTTTGCATACAGCTGTGTCATTAAAACTGGTAATTGTCCCATCGTCCACTCCCTTTTGCATATGTGGCTGTTCGTGACTAGGAAAGTGTCATTTCAAGACCAATGGAAGAGTGAATGAATATTTCAGTGTTCTTGAGCAAATTTAGATCTGATGTAACCTAGAGGTATAATAAGACCTGGAGAGAGTCATTAGCATTAGCGACTATTCATTTATAAGACATTTGCTCTGTGCTGCATGCGCACCCTGAAGTACATGTCTGGGACCCTGCTATTTTTGCTTTATGGTCTTCCTGTTCCAAAATTGGAGCCAACTTGAATGAAGTTTTACGTGACTAATGACGTTAGAAAAGCAGAGAAATGACATGTCAGCAATGCTTATTGGCTGACAGCACTATCTTCAGCTCGGTGATCATGAAAACAGACCAGCGGCATAACTAGGATTTTATGAGCACCTTTGCAAAAAAAAAATGAATGGGCCCCCCATGTAAAAATGACTCCCAGTTAACAAGAAAATAACATGAAATTTGCATGTTTGTTCAGTTGTTATGTCTCAGAGTTGATGCTCTCAAGGCATTCCACTCCACCCGACATGTTAATGTTACATGTGAGAGATCAGGGCCAGAGGGGTTGGGGAAGAGTTTATTGACATATTAATGGATGTTACTGTGTTGTGCGCTAGTTTAGTTCAACTTTAGTGCAGCAGGCCTGGACGGTCCAACTGACAGGTCACACTACTGGCTGGAAAATCTCAGAGTAATCCTGATGGGCAGTCCGACTGGAGGGGCCCCGGTGTGACTGGCCCCTCTGCCTCCCTGATAGTAACGCCAATGAAACAGACGAGGTGTACTGTTTCACGCTTGTGCATGAGCACTAATGTGAAAGCCAGGAGGTAAAAAATAGACTGATTTGTTTTGGATGCTTTAAATGCCCCCACAAACAAACAATCACTGGAAAAAGACTGTAATGAGACAATGAAATAGAGACTGAAATATCGTTTGGAAAATGTTTTTCATCAGAAGGTAAGTTTGATTAAAAGCCTATGGAGAAACTAAACATTCTTTGCAATCAGACAGGATTGATCTAATTTGCCCACACTTTCTCCCCTGGACCTAATTCTGTGCTCAGGTTTGTTGAATGTCCTCTTTTCCGGCAGGATGGGAGGAGCTCTGTACAGCATAGACAGCATGCCTGACCTGCGCAAGAGGAAAGCTATCCCATTGGTCCGGGACCTGGTGAGTGACCATTACTCCATTTCCATCCTCCAATTTCTTTATCTAAAACAAGGTCAAGTTAAACAAGTTCACAATTCTTGTCACATAACCATTCATTGAAATCATTATTAGCACATTCTGTAACTGGACATTTTGTGTATAATAAAGTAAAATCAGAAATGGAAAGTTAAAAGGAAACAAAATAAACTCTAAAATAAGCAAAATATTATCTAAATGATGTAAAGAGTGGTACTTTGCATACACTTTCAGTACAATTTGATTGTCTTTGTTAGTCTCTATGTTCACAATGTAGATTACTGCACCAACTCATAAAAATGAAGTGAGTGTCAATCTCTTGCAGACATGATGAGGTTAAACACAGGCCTTACTGACTCTCTGGGCCAGAGGATCTGAGCAGTTCACAGAGCTACATTACACGCACACACGAAACATACGCATATAACACATTGGCTTCAACACACTCATACTGCTGAGCCAGAGACATGTAAACACATATCCTTCCTGATTTGGTCTTAAAGATTGTTTAACATGCAATTTTGGTTATAATCTTGGTGTATTCTGTAAGTCCTCACATTAAATAATGTTGTCAATTTGTTGAGGTTTTTTAGAATATAACATTGTTTTGTCTTCTTGTCCTTTGCTGTCTCTTCCTCCAGGCTATGGTAAGCATTTTTCCTGAGGTATCATAGATGTATAGATCTGAATATAGATCTGTATTACTTTCATTTAATACTGTCACTTGTTATATTTGTTAATTTTTTTCTCTCCATTTTTCTGAATGCAGTCTTTGGTGCAGAACTCTCGCAAGGCCGGAATCACGTCTGCTATGGCATGTAGCACACTCAACAATGAAGAACTGGTGAGTGATGTGTGTGTGTATGTGGGTATGTGTGTGTGTGCATGAGTAACAGAAATAGAGAGCTATATTGTATTGATTGTTTAGTACCATTTTTCCTCTGGGAAAATTTGGCTGCAACAGTAGAAATATAATAAATAGATATGTAATCACACACACTATGCATATTTACACATACACACAGTGCAAAGACATCAGATAGAACAAAATAAAGCCTTTACATTTAGTGACCAATACTGCTCGACATGGCAAAAGTATAACCGATGACTCAAATCAAAACAAGGGGCTAAGCAAGCTACAAAGTTAAAATTTCAAAGCTGAGATATCAGTTTTCTTTATTTGCCAGACCTTATGCTCAAATGCATGGATACGTTTACCATGTTGAGCTGCTTTTTGAGCTATACACCCAAGCCATGACTTCTTTGTAGTAGTCACTTTATTTAAGACGCAGTTTGAAGATCCCTAATTTTTTATTTTTGTGGTCAGTACTACTTACATACTCACATATCTCTCCCAATTAAGATGTAGAACCTCCCAAATGTACTGTAAAACACAATCATAAGTACTTGTGTGGTTCCAGAGAGACAGTCTAAATTGATTCAGCAAACCACTCACACATATTCTCCTGCACCCACTAACATCTTACATAGATTCCTCTGATTGTAAAAAAAAAACAAAACAAAAAACTCAACATCCCATAATGCACCTCACCCTTCTGTTTCCTGTCTCCTCTTCCACTTCTGCAGAAAAGTCATGTGTATAAAAAGACACTACAGGCTCTGATCTACCCCATCTCCTGTACCACACCGCATAACTTTGAGGTGTGGACAGCCACCACCCCCACCTACTGCTATGAGTGTGAGGGGCTGCTGTGGGGCATTGCCCGGCAGGGCATGCGCTGCACAGAATGCGGGGTCAAATGCCACGAGAAGTGCCAGGACCTGCTCAACGCTGACTGCCTACAGAGTGAGACATTAGAGTTTATAGAACTGTATTGTGATGACAAATTTAATGATCCTCTTAATTGGTTTTCCTCTAAATTAACACTGCCTTCTAGTCTTGACAGCTGCAGTGTCATCACTAGCCACATTGTGTACTCTCACATTGTCGCTGTCATAAAAGGAACATGTGTCTCCAAAATGGTAACTTTATAGGACAATTTCAAGAATGTTTTTTTTTTTATTTTCAAGGGGAATTCCACTGATTTTTCAAGAGTTCTTCATAGTTCAGTCACAGAGATAAACAAAGTCATTCAGAGTGTTTTGATGTGTAATGATTAATTGTAGAGATTTTTACTGACTAAGATTTTCTTTACAGTGGTGGTGTTGGAGCCAGGGATCACAATTCCTGCAATGCAAATACAGCCATTTTATTTACTTTGTAAAACAATCAGCAAACCTAAATGTGTTTTTCTGAGTTTTATATATAATGTTGACAATGGTAAATTTGAAACAATAATGTCTTCTTTGAATGCTACTTTTCATTCATTTAATACATTTTAGGTCAATTTCACATCAAACCAACAACATACGCAGGAATTTTGAAAAAATTGGTGGAACTTCCCTTTAATCCTTTAATGTAACTTTGCATAGTCATTTAATTTATTTTTATGGTTAATTCACAAGATATATTTTTAAAGAAGATAACGGTATAACAAAAGAAAAGTATAACAGACAGATTTTGTTGCCAATGGACTTTAATACAAGGTTTTCTTTTGAACGACAATTAATACAATTATGAATACAATTAAAAATATATTTATGAAAGGCCAAACTTTGAGTCGAAACCTGCTTTTTCCTGAACTGATTATTGAAATCAGTTTTGAGATACATTAGTTTGGATCTAATTTACTAATATTTGTGGACTACAGATCAATCACAGAGGTTTTCCTGGTACAGAAGATAAGAGTTGATTGCTATTCAGTAATTGGCCACGTGACTAAATTTGAATGTACAAAACTGTAAATCTGGCCCAGTATGGTTTAAGTTTACTTGCCCTAGTTCAGTTAAGCCCACCAGATGTTCTGGACTTCTGTTATCTGCGTTTCAGGAGCTGCTGAGAAGAGTTCTAAGCACGGTGCAGAGGATCGCACTCAGAATATCATCATGGTCCTGAAGGACCGTATGAAGATCCGTGAGCGCAACAAACCAGAGATCTTTGAGCAAATCCAGGAAGTGTTTGGTGTGGTCAAGGCGACCCACGCCACTCAGATGAAGCAGATCAAGCAGAGCGTGCTTGATGGAACCTCCAAATGGTCAGCCAAGATCAGCATCACGGGTTCGTGTTTCTGATTGAACTTATTAGAACAGAGATATTGTCATAAAAGCCTATTTATGAACACTCTACGAGTCCTATGGCTTTAGATTAAATTACAGCATTAGTGGAGGATAAATAGATTGGGTTTTCAGCATCAGGTCTGTTTATGTGTGCTGCAGTCTGTCTTGGCAAGTACTTGGCACAGTGAAACAATCTTGATCTGTTGATGAGTTTTTCTGCAAGATTGAATTTTCTGGTCATCCACTATGACCCACAGATCAAGACACAACTAAGCAGCCAGTTGTCTGATTACTTTTCAGATTATATGTGACCCTTTTTATTACTCCTAGTTATGTATTAAATATACAGCATAAAGAGTAGAAACCAGTGAAGGTGATTTTATTTTTTGTATTTGCCATGTAAATTCATAGACCAGAGTGAATTAATTGAAGATTGAAAGGAATATGTGTGTGTGTGTGCCTCTCCCTCAGTGGTCTGTGCCCAAGGGCTACAGGCAAAGGATAAAACTGGCTCCAGTGACCCCTATGTGACAGTACAGGTGGGAAAGACCAAGAAGAGGACCAAGACCATCTACGGCAACCTGAACCCCATCTGGGATGAGAGTTTCCACTTGTGAGCACTTGCCTTCATTTGTATGCCTCATAGCTCACTTAGCACTGCCTGTGTCATTAGGAATAGCCATTTAGGTTCAGTATTTAAAGTCAGTTTTATGGTCATTCCATATATATTTTATGAACAAAATGAGCAAAAAGTAGTTTCTCTAGGACACAGTGCTGCATTTAACTCAGCAACAACAGTACAAGCAGACAATACAGATAATAAGTTATACAAAACACTGTAATGTGAACTATACAATACAACAGTGGTCACCAGCCCTAGTCATAGAGATCTACCCCACTGCAGAGTCTAGCTACAAACACAATCTGCCAGACCTGCTTCAGCTAATGAACCTCTTCCCAAGTCCCCGATTGGCTGCATTAATGTTAAGTATGGCGGTGTGGCAGCTTATTAGGTATAAAATTAAACTCTGCATGAAAGTAGATCTCTAAGAGGATTGGTGACCACTGTTAAACAATATCACAGGACAGTAGAGACTAGACAATGACAGTGACAATGAAGTGAGAGAGTGAGTCCAGCTGTCAGTCTACAGCAGCAATGACTGCTGTCCATGTATCGTTATCAGTGCACAAAGATAATTAGAAACAGTCTTTAACAGGTCTAGAGTTCTTATTATGTTGCTATACTAATTACAGGTAATTACACTGAAAATTACATCATTAGTTACGTGATGACATTTATGATTGATTTACATTAATGGAGAACACGTGGAAATGGTTTTGGAAATGAACAGCTTTTGCCTACTCAGAGGATCCTACACTCAAGAAATATGACACAGTTTGGCGCTCGGCCAAACTGTGAACAGGGATGAAGGAGCTTGAAAAGATCTCTACAAACAAAGATCAGAACTGTGGTCTTCTCTGTGGTTCTTTATGGATGTGAAGGCTAGATAATAAAGAAGCAAGACCGTTGTTTTTTGGTGTTGGCAAAGACTTTTAAGAGTACCTTGGACAGCAGAGAAAGCAAATGAATGAATCCCCCAACCAAATCAAGCCACACCTCTCACTCAAAGCCCATCTTATTTTTGGTTCTGATAAGAACCAAATCATTGGATAAGACCATTATGCTTGAAAAAGTCAAAGGTAAAAGAGGAAAAGGGCGACTATCTCAGCGGAATCATAAACCAGCCATTCAGAAGCCCGAAGGCCCAAACAGAAGACAAGATATTCTGAAGAAACACTACCCACAATTTCATGACACTTAATAAAAATAGTAATCAGCAGATTTGAGTGTTGAAACTGTTGGTTTGATAAACAATGGCAATTTTTTTTTGTCAAATTCAAGTCAGAATAAAATAGCCTGTCTTTAATACAACTGTGATATCAACTGAAAAGTTAGAATCTGCACATCCGACAGGATTTTTCCACTTGTATACACGAGCGATGAGTGAGAAATAATTCAATAATATAAAATTATGAATTACTTTGCTGATGCTGGAGGTACCTGAGACTTCTATGGGTTAAAGTTTTTATTGATACCTTTAAAGTGCTTAGTTTAGCGCAATGAACAGTGTTATAAAATAGATATCAATCATATAGATGTGTAATCTGATGCTAAACTTGTCTCTATTCCGTCAGTGAGTGCCATAACTCATCAGATCGTATAAAGGTCAGAGTGTGGGATGAGGATGATGACATTAAGTCCCGCGTGAAGCAGAGGTTCAAACGAGAGTCTGATGACTTCCTCGGCCAGACAATCATCGAGGTCCGAACTCTCAGCGGAGAGATGGATGTGTGGTACAACCTTGGTGAGCAGTGCATGCGTGTATGAATGTATGTGTGTGTGAGTTTAATTATGCAGATGAAGACTAGAAAGGGGGATCTAAGAATAGAAAGAGGTTGAATTAAGTGATGACCTGTCTTTCTTTCTCTCCTTTTCTCTCTCCCTTTCTCCACAAAGACAAGCGCACTGATAAGTCGGCTGTATCTGGAGCCATCCGGATGCGTATCAGCGTGGAGATCAAAGGAGAGGAGACTGTGGCTCCGTACCACGTCCAGTACACCTGCCTGCATGAGGTCAGCTAAAGGTCACACTCTATGAGTCAGCCAGCGAAGCGTTCTGCTAACATTGCACTATTTACAAAGACTGGTTTAGCACTATCAGAGTCTGATTTCCATTCAAAAATATTGAACACAATTTTCCCCTTATCCCAAAATGTAGTCAAAACAGCTAAATTCATTATTAAGTAATAGAAGCACAAAAAATAACATTAGAACCACTGGTGGTAATTTTCCCTGGTAAGAAGCCGTTGTGGTTTAAATGATATTTTCTACAGTATTTCCACGTTTGGTCACGCGCGCAAGTAGTCATCAAATCACACATACACACAGTCAGCTGATTAAGCAACATGTTTAAAAGATATGCTTTGATCTGTTTGGATGGAGCAGCATAGCAAACCTTCTAACTGCTGTTGTAGGAGTACAGAGGAGAATCTCAAATTGGCAGGTTTAAATGGCAACTCAGTGTTTCGCAAATTCCCCTCTTGTGTGTGGAAAGTAGTTTTAGGTTGTAATCCAAATACGTTAAAAATCATTTGACATGTTGAGATTCCAATTACATATTCAAAATGAATTACCTGCAAGATTTTACAATGAAATTCAATTTACATATGTGAAAATGACATATATGCTAGTAAAAATTCACTTCTTCAATGTAAAAACTAAATTCCATTTATATTAGTGGAATTTAATTTTCACATGTATAAACTTAATTCCTTAGAACAAGAAAAATAAGAAATAAAGGTTAAAACTTAGACAACAACTTAAACAAATTAGAGTTTCAGAAAATCAATCTAATTTTTGATGGTGAAAAAACACTTTGCCAGCACTTCGCCCCTCAAAATCTGTAGCTTTGTGTCTAAGAATTCTGGTTTTCTTTGTTTGTTTTTGTTTCTTTCATATTATCCATTTTGGCAGTCAGTCAGAGATTCACTTGGTGTGGGTCTTTAATATATATGACCTAACTTTCATGTGGATTTTGACACAGGTAAAATACTGTAGCATTAAAAAGACACCAGTGCGCTAATCACCACCATAGTGACTTTATAAATAGGACTTATTTACTTTGCCGCACTTTTAACTGCAACCGCCAAGTTTTATAAATCTGGTCCAAATCTGTTTGAGATTTCTTAACAGCAGCGTGGTTTGAGGCAAGTTTGTGATAATTTGGGCATACAATTTGCACAGTGCTGATTTGTGGGGTGTAAGCTTCCATTACTTGTTAGCTACATCGTCACTTCAGTGGAAAGCTAAAGGTGCAAACATGTCTTGAATGGTTGACTATTTGGGGTAAGGGAGAATTAGATTTTTCTCCAAAGTATCACTTTAAATCTGTCCTAGTGTTGATGGCGGGTTTCTTGAGGGTCTTATTGGCAGTGTTGGTGTCTCCAGCACCTGTTCCACTACACCACTGAAGAGCAGAATGGCGGTGTGGTGAAGATTCCAGATGCTAAAGGAGACGATGCCTGGAAGGTTTACTTCGAGGAGACGGCACAGGAGATTGTGGATGAGTTTGCCATGAGATACGGAGTGGAGTCCATCTACCAGGCCATGACGTAAGCAATTGAGGGAGATGTAAAAAGAATGAAACAAATTAATGAGTGGGGGGGGGGCGGGAACAATGTTTTCCTGATCATGTAATCAAACTACAGATATCTCTTTTGTTTCCTTCTTCCTTCTTTCCTTACTTTTCAGTATACAGTGGTTTATGAAAAAAAAATTGTTTGAACAACTCTAATGGGGTAGTAATAAGGTAGTTGTTTCCCATAAAACATTGCAGTGAACAGAGAGGATAGCTTCATGCATGGATACATTTATCAGGCCTTATTTTGTCTTGCAAGTTGCACCAGAAGTTTTTTAAAATAAATATTTCTGAAACTATACTAAGGTTTTAGAATCTTTTAAATAATAATAATAATAATAATAATAATAATAATAATAATATGTTTAATTTATCTAGTGCCTTTTTTGTTGCCAGTACAGGAAGTACAGTTGAAGTCATAAGTTTACATACACTTAAGTCATTAAAACTCATATTTAATCCCTTCACAGATTCCATGTCAACAAACTATGGTTTTAGCAAGTTGTTTAGGGTGTCTACTTTATACACAAGTAATTTTTCCAACAAATGTTTACAAACAGATCATTTCACTTATAATTCAGTGTGAAATGTGAAATTTTAGTGGGTCAGAAGTTTACATACACCAGGTTGACTGTGCTAATTGACATCTTTTGAGTTAATTGGAGGTGTATCTGTGGCAGTATTTTAAGGCCTACCTTCAAGGCCTACTTGCCTCTTTGCTTGACATCATTGGAAGATCAAAAGAAATCAGCCAAGATATTAGAAAAAGAATTGTGGACCTCCACAAGTCTGGTACATCCTTGGGAGCAATTTCCAAGCACCAGAAGGTACCACGTTCATCTGTTCAAATGATAATATTCAAGTTTAAACACCATGAGACCACGCAGTCATCACACGGTTCAGGAAGGAAGATGAATGTACTTTAGTGCGAAAAATACAAATCAGTCCAAGAACAACAACAAACAACCTGTTGAGGATGCTGGAGGTACAAAAGTATCTATATCAACAATAAAATGTGCCTTATACTGACATGATCTGAAAGCCCTCAGCAAGAAAGAAGCAACTGCTCCAAAACGGTCATAAAAAAAACAAAACAGGTTACAGTTTGCAACTGCACATGGGGACAAACATCTTACTATTTGGAGAAATGTCCTCTGGTCTCATGAAACAAAACTGGAACTGTTTGGCTCTAATGACTTCATGTATGGTGGAAAAAGGGGAAGCCAAAGAGCACCATCCCACCTGTGAAGCTTGAGGGTGGCAGCATCAAGTTGTGGGGGTGCTTTGTGGCAGGAGGGACTGGTGCACTTCACAAAATAGATGGCATTATTAGAAGGAAAATTATGTGCAGAAAGCAACATCCCAAGACATCAGCGAGGAAGTTAAAGCTTGGGCGCAAATGGGTCTTCTAAATGGACAATGATCCAAAGCATACTTCCAAAGTTGTGGCAAAATGGCTTAAGGACAACAAAGTGAAAGTAATGGAGTTGCCATCAGAAAACACTGACCTCAATCCCATAGAAAATTTATTTGCAGAACTGAAACAGCATGTGCGAGCAAGGAGGCCTACAAACCTGACTCAGTTAAACTAGGACTATCAGGAGGAATGGGCCAAAATCACCCAAGTTAAACATTTTAAAGGCAATTCTACCAAATACTTACCACGTGTATGTAAACGTCTGAGCTACTGGGAATGTGAAAGAAATAAAAGCTGAAATAAATTGTCTCTAGTATTACTTTGACATTTCACATTCTTAAAATATAGTAGCGATCCTCACTGATCTAATAGAAGGAATGTGTACTGGGATTAAATGTCAGAAATTGTGAAATGTTTGAATGAATGTAGCTAAGATGTTTGTAAACTTATGACTTCAACTGTACTGCTGGATCACATCTGACGTTTTTATTAAAAAGCTCAGCCAGAGTGCTCTGTACATGTTTGCAGGCACTTTGCATGTTTGTCATCGAAGTACATGTGTCCTGGCGTTCCGGCCGTCATGAGCACCCTCCTGGCCAACATCAACGCTTACTATGCTCACACCACCCAGTCGTCCAACAACGTGTCCGCCTCTGACCGTTTCGCTGCATCCAACTTTGGGGTACATTATTCTTATATCATTATAACAAAGTAAACTTTATAACTCATGTAACTCATCAAATAATGTGACTCTGTACTTCAGCATGTTGGATTTAAATGACTATAATGACTATGGTGTTAAATTGCAGAACACAATCAAGTTTAATTTTGAAGTGTTTACATCTGGGTAAACCATATAGGAATCACTTTTTTATTTGGTATATTATACATTAATTCATGCTTTAAATTCTACTATATACAGTGCATAAAGGTTCAGTTTCATTATCGGGGGTGTTTGTTAGCTTGTTCTTATTGTATGTTGGTGTGTCCTGCAGAAAGAGAGGTTTGTGAAGCTCCTGGATCAACTGCACAACTCCCTAAGGATTGACCTCTCCATGTACAGGGTACAGATTCAATACACACCACCAGAGATACCATAGCAGTCACCTAACAACATCCTAGCATCCATCTTCAATAACATAGCAGCCACATAGCAAAACTCTACAACCACCTGGAATAACATGACCTGCTTAACTACACGCTAGCAACCACATAAGACACCATGGCAACCGCCTCCAAAGACCTGAGCACCTTCCTGGGATAAAATAGCAATCATCTAGCAACACCCTAGCAACCACCTGGGATAACATTGCAACAGGCTATTAACACCTTAGCAACCATCTAGGATACCATAGCTACTCTTCATTTGATACTAAGGATGCTTTCTTCTGTTTGTGTGTGTGTGTGCATTGCAGAATAATTTCCCTGCCAGTAGTCCTGAGAGGCTGCAGGATCTGAAGTCTACTGTGGATCTTCTCACCAGCATCACCTTCTTCAGGATGAAGGTTTGTATTATAGTGAACACACACATAAGTACAGATATTTGAGCCCTAAAATTGTTCTCTGGGTAACTTCATAAGGCAAGCAATGAACATTCCTAACTTAGCATCTGCTAATGTATGTCTTAACCTCTGTGTGTTTGTGTGTGCAGGTCCAGGAGCTGCAGAGTCCTCCTCGTGCGAGTCAGGTGGTTAAAGATTGTGTGAAGGCCTGTCTGAACTCCACGTATGAGTACATCTTCAACAACTGCCATGAGCTCTACAGCCGAGAATATCAGACCGACCCGGTTAGTGTGTGAGACAATGTTTACGTGTGTATGTGTGTGTAATACCCATTAAGGATGACTGCTCAGAGTTGCTGAGTGAGACCATTTATTTAACAAACCTGACTCTGAAGTTTCTCTAAAATGGAGCATTTCACATCAGACCACTCTCAATTACTTTTTCTTTACATTTCAACCATTTATTTAGGCAGAACTTTAGAAAAAAATCAGTTAAATTCCCATTTGAGCCAAAAATAACTGAAAGTATGAGTTCCTTGTATGTACCTTGTACTATTAAGGAAACATTTTCTAAACTTTCTGAGTCATTAGTCTAAATATTTTCTGAATGTATGTTTATTTATGTGTTACATTTTATTTGCTAGTGTTCAAAGCTTTCTGGGGCATGTCATTAGCTTATGAGATATTAATAGTTGAGCAGGAGTGCTTAGTCTCTGTTGTTCTCTTGTCTTGCTTTGTTGCTTATATAATAAATTTGAATTGTTGACTTATTTAATGCAGAGCTGTTTATAGTAATAGTCAATAATTATTTGATGCAGAGAATTATTTAACTGTTATAGTTGAGAGTTATTGTATAGTAATAACAGAGTAATTTAATGCAGGGACTGATTTCCTCTCCTCCTGCTGAGCATATTTAGCAGCAGTAGCTGAGAGTTGTTTAATGCAGGCACGTGTTTGTGCAGGTGTGAGTGGCAGAAATGTTGTTAAATTGCTCCAGAGTTGATTGGTTTTCATGCTGATTCAGGAGTGTGCAGGTGTTTGATGCAGAGTTTTAGAGTCTCATGAGTCGAGCTGTTCACCTCCCCTCCAGGTTACACAGCAGTTTTTCACCAGTTTCATGCTCAAGTTGTCATGGTGATTCCACCGCAGGCGACTTTTTTTATTCAGCAGCAGAAGGCAGAGAACAGGGAGCACTGATGGACATTTTTTTTAAAGAAAATAAAATATTGATCATGGCGGAGGTGGCATGGCAGTTAAGAACAGCTGCAATGTGTCAGTCTTCTCTTCTCTTCTCTTCTCTTCTCTTCTCTTCTCATTTTCTCTTCTCTTCTCATTTTCTCTTCTTTTCTCTTCTCTTCTCTTCTCTCGTCTTGCTTTCTCTTGTCTACTCCTCTTTCCATTTCTTCTCTTATCTTTTTCTCTTTTCTTTTCATTTTCTCTTTTTCTCTTCTCATTTTCTTTCTCTTCTCTTCTCTTCTCTTGCTTTCTCGTCTCTGCTCCTCTTTCATTTCATATCTTCTCTTTTCTTTTCATTTTCTCTTTTTCTCTTCTCATTTTCTCTTTTTCTCTTCTCTTTCTCTTCTTTGCTCCTCTTCTTTTGATCTCTTCTCATTTTCTCTTTTTCTCTTGTTTTCTCATTTTTTTCTCTTCTCTTCTCATTTTCTTTTTCTCTTCTTTCCTCATTTTCTTTTTTCTTCCCTTTTTCTTCTCTTCTCTTCTCTTCTCTTCTCTTCTCTTCTCTTCTCTTGTCTTGCTTTCTCTTCTCTGCTCCTCTTCTTTTGATCTCTTCTCATTTTCTCTTTTTCTCTTGTCTTCTCATTTTCTCATTTTCTCTTCTCATTTTCTCATTTTCTCTTCTCATTTTCTTTTTCTCTTCTCATTTTCGTTTTTCTTCTCTTCTCTTCCTCAGCTCCTTCTACCTAAGAAGGCAAAATGCTAAAACTTAATAGCAAGATGAAAGATGTCTCTGGAGTTTTTAGAAAATGTATTACCTGAGCTGTAACAGATGTTCACACTGTGTGTGTGTGTGTGTGTGTGTGTTTCCAGTCTAAGAGTGTCCCTCCAGAGGAGCAGGGCCCCAGCATCAAAAACCTAGACTTCTGGTCCAAACTCATTACCCTTATTGTTTCCATTATAGAAGAGGACAAAAACTCCTACACGCCTTGTCTCAACCAGTAAGTGTTTGTGTATAATCAGCAGTTTGTGTAAAATATGTGTTGTAATTGATTTAAATTTTTTTGTGTTGATCACTAAATCCTTAATATTGGACTTGATAGGGCACATGCAGCAGCTATTTGTATTTGTTGTTTTGTTTTTGAGAAAACAGACTACACTACCCATAACTCCTTTGTGTACAGGTTCCCTCAGGAGCTGAATGTGGGGAAGATTAGTGCTGAGGTAATGTGGAACATGTTCGCTCAGGACATGAAGTATGCCATGGAAGGTGAGGACCGCTGTAGTCACTGCTATAGACTTTATTTACATCTACAGTATGCACTGAGGATGAGGATGACTGACGCAGATTATGCGTGGAAAATAATGAACTATAGCCTCTAACTGTACATCAACAAAGAGAATCAACAAGGTTGTTGTTTCTAAAAAAGTAGCCGGTAGTACATAATGTGTCAAAAGCCCAGCAATGCTGCTGTGCCTGATACACTTGTGCCATTCCAACATACCAACTTGTTGATATCACTGCTGTCCAACACCCAAATAATATCTGGTCAGTGGTAGTCCAGTTGTGGTCCCGTTTCCATTGATGTACCAAATAATGAGTGGTTCACAAACTGTGCAGTAACAGATGGGCTAGACTCAGTAATTCTATACTTACAAAGTGCACCTGTATAGTAGGTGTACCTGATAAAATGGCCAGTAAACATTATTTTTCTCTTTTTTATAAGGTGACATTCTAAATCTTACAGTAGAATATTCCCTCTCTTATTTTAACAGACTAATGAGTTGTGAAATATATAAGGCATAGAACATACTTTATGGCCAAATCAGTTATAAGCCTTTCACTCCTGCTGGTAGAGATGCATTTCAGAGTGTGCTGCTGCCTGAGCTGATTCCTTTCCATCTGTGCTCTCTTTATCGCTATGCTTTTCCTGAGCATTAAGTGAGATCTGTCCTGATAGACTGATTTTGTCTATGGTATCTTTTAGAGCACGAGAAGCACCGGCTGTGCAAGAGTGCAGATTACATGAACCTTCACTTCAAAGTCAAGTGGCTATATAATGAGTACTGCAAGGAGCTGCCCTGCTTCAAAGACCGTGTGCCAGAGTACCCTGCGTAAGTACTGTCAAATCCTCCTGAAATACTCTACAGCCTCCTGAAGTACTAGAATAGAGAACCTTGTTAGAATAGAGAACCCTACAGGAGGAAGTACAGTGAATCTTGTTGATGGATGTATGTATGTTAGTTTGTTTGTTTGTTAGTTTGATTGTTAGTTTTTAGTAGGTTGGATGGATGGATGGATGGATGGATGGTTAGATAGTTTTTTCATTAGTTAGTGACACTCACATTTAGTAAATTAGACACATACTTACAAACACTACACATATTTGCACATAAAAACAGTGCCAAGACATCAACACAAAACTCCTCACATATTCGCATACACTAGATACACTAGCCCAACTAGAATATAATATCTACAGAAAGTACTACAAATCATAGTCCCATGTACTTCTATGAACACAGTTATTAAATAGGGCTGTTCAATATGGAAATAACTTGCAATGTCCAATTTAACATGCAAAAGTATGGTCAATTTAGTAGATATTTAGTTGAATGTAACTTGAAAGTAAATTACGTATCTACAAAGCATCTGAAGTGGACTATTTAAATAAAGTTACCGTTATACATATTTAATATCTTAAAAAGCTTATTTATGATGATTTAGATTGTTGACAGTAGCCATTATTGCTTCATATATTTTACCATACATTCTGTGTACATACACATAACACTGAGAGTGAGAATGGTGATCATGTTTGAAGCATTTTTACAGGCTAGTATTTGACATGACCTAGTACTTGACCATGGTTGCAGTAGTTACAATAATAATAATATCACTTATTGACACTTCACCGTCCCTAATAGGTGGTTTGAGCCTTTTGTGATTCTCTGGTTGGATGAAAATGAAGAAGTATCTAAGGACTTCCTGCATGGTGCCCTGGTGAGGGATGCAAAGGATGGGGTAAATATCACACCTCTGTTTATTTAACTGTTTATTGTTTATATTTATGTATGATGTGATTTTCATTACTTTGATATTGATCCAAGCAGTTTTATGATTCCTTTAAAGTGTCCTGCTCTAGATCATTCTACTCAATGTTTCTTCGCATATAAACATGCTCCTTCTCTCTCTCTCTCTCTCTCTCTCTCTCTCTCTCTCTCTCTCTCACTCTCTCTCTCTCTCTCTCTCTCTCTACAGTTCCAGCAGACGTCAGAGCATGCCCTGTTTTCCTGCTCTGTGGTGGATGTTTTCTCTCAGCTCAATCAGAGCTTTGAAATTATTCGGAAGTTGGAGTGCCCTGACCCTCAAATTGTCGGCAATTACATGAAGAGATTTGCAAAGGTGCTGCCTTATGCTTCCTTATACAGCAGTGAGCCACAGCATAAATTTAGTTTTAACCTGATTGGTCCCCACCTGCTGTTTTCTTTTTTCTCCCTGCTTTGTTCTTCCTCTCTATATTTATTTTATACAATTTTTAATCTGACACATTAGAGTCACTCATGAGGCTAGCATGTGTGAAAGTGTAAATAGCAGGTACACAGAATTTTGTCAGGACATAGCCAGGTTTAGACTGAATTTGTTAGACTACAGTTACGTCAGGACAGGAAATTTGTCTGTCTACAGTCGGGGTCAGGCACAATTTTGTTGGGCTACAGTCGGGTTCACACCAAGTTTTATCAGGCTACATGTGGGTCAGGCAAATTGTGTTGGCCTACAGTCATATTTGGACAGAATTTTATTGGGCTACAGTCAGGTTTAGACCAAATTTTATCAGGCTGCGGGCAATTTGGAACAGAATTGTACTGGCTTACAGTCATATTTGGACAGAATTTTGTCGGTCTACAATCCTATTCAGACAGAATTTGTCCAGGATATAGTTGGGTGTAAACAGAAAGGAAAGTACCACTCCAGCATTTTAACCTAATTTCTGTTTCCACATGCATATCATGCTGTTAAACATCATGGTCAGTAGTTTTGAGTGAACTTAGAATAGTAGTAGATTTTCGCTGGCCTCAAATCATACTCTAAAAGAATTTTGTTGGGCTACACTCAGTTTAGGACAGAATACTGTAAGGCTACAGTTGAGTTTGGGTACAAAATTAGGCGGTGTTTCTGTAGTTAGACTGGGGCACAATATTATCAGTCTATATTCAGGTCTGGTTCAAAATTTCAGACCTTCTTTCTACTTCACTGCTTGCCTAAGGAAACCAAAGTTACCTACATTTTAATTAGTTGATGAATTGCACTGAATTTTACTGAATTTTACACTTAAAAGGAGAATTCCACCGATTTTTCAAAATTTCTCAATAATTCAATTGTTAAGATGTAAACAGTCATTCAGAGTGGTTTGACGGAAAATGCTCTGTTTTGGAGTTGTGGAATTGTTCACAGTGGTGGTGATAGGAACCTTATGTCTGATGGGTTTAATGGCTCTAAAAGCTAACTCACAAAAGTTATATGTTGCCTGAAGCCTGAAACATTGTTTTATGTTAATTTTGAGAAAATAACTTTAAAACCTACATTTATAAATGCATTCATTCATTAGTTGTTAGGCAAAATAGCACCCAATAAAATGTTTTTTTCAGTTTTACCAATATTTTACCAATGTCAGCATTACATATTAAAACTGTAACAGATGACACGTGCAGGTTCACTGGTCACCTTGGATAGTAAATAAAATGGCTATTTTTTGAGTTGTGGACATCACAAGCCCTGATTCCTATCATCATCACTTTAAAGAAATCTGAATTTCCCTACAATTCAGAATTTCGAAACAAAACCAATTGGAATGAATTTGTTTACATCTCAATCATTAAATTATACAGGGATTTTGAGAAACCAGTCGAATTCTCCTTTAACATATCTCTTACTCTCGTTCTCTCTCCCCTTTCAGACTATTGGAACTGTACTTCTGTCTTATGCTGATATCATTGCCAAGGACTTCCCCAGCCACTGTAATAAGGAGAAAGTGGTATGTGGGTTTTGTGTGTTTGCATGCGTGAGTGTGTGTGTATGTGTGTGTGTGTGTGTATGTGTGTGTGTGTGTGTATGTGTGTGAGTGTGTGTGTATGTGTGTGTGTGTGTGTATATGTGTGTGCTTTGTCATACTTTTTTCTCTGTTCTTCTCTTCTTACTCTACTTTGAAGACAGGAAAGCAGTGAAACATGAAAAAAGTGCAGTTATGTGTGTATATGCTCAGTGTAGTGGTGAAAGAGGTTTTTAGGATGTTACTTTGATTAGTCTGGAAAAGGTATCTGTGTGTTTAATTGAATGGGGATGGAGTAATTAGCTGAATGCAGTTTGCACAGTCTGAGAGGAATTGGCCCCAGTAGACAGACACACACACACACACACACACACACACACACACACATATCGTGTTCAGCTCACACAGCTAAGTGAAACTCTAATTGATTTCCAGCCCACTGTGGTGCATAGGCTGCTGGGAATATGGTCTTATCAGTGTGTGTTTAAGTACTCTGAGAAATTTCAGCAGGACACAGCATGAATTTACTGCTTGAGGTGAATAGTGATTTTGTGTTCCTCGGTGTGTCTCAGGATTGGAGTGTGCTTGTGTGTATGTTTTAATTATGTTTTAATAAGTGAGTTTAATCATTAACATCCTCTGTTTTCTCTTAATCAGCCTTGCATCATCATTAATAACATCCAGCAGCTGAGGGTGCAGTTGGAGAAGATGTTTGAGGCCATGGGAGGCAAAGATGTGAGTGCATGTACAGTGTTCCAAAACCTCATGTAGTTCTCATGTAGAACAATTCTTATGTAACCCACATGTGAAATCTCGAATCCTCATGTAGCACTAAACTGAGATTCCCAGTCCTCATCAACATTCACTTTTCACTGGAGAAAATGTTAACCTTACCTAGCAACGGCCACTCGATTGGCCAAGGGCGTTTTCTCCGGCGTCCTGAACCAGCATTTTCCTGCACTGCTGATTGGCTAATGTGACAAATGACCAGTGTGCACTGGATCTCCTAACAGGGTGTCCAACCACAGCGACAGCTTCTAACGGTTGTAAATTCTGCTTATACAGTGGCATTTTTTTTACCTCCATTTTACAGACATATATCAACTAAAATTAATTATTTCGTTGAAAATAGTTATGGTTATTTATTTTTCACCCATGGTAGATCCTGAATCAATTAAGGGGTGAGTGAATACTATACTTTTAAAAAGGATGGTTCTTCAAGGGTTCTTTAGTAAAGAAAATGGTTCTGTATAGAACCATGAACACTCAAAGAACCCTGTGCATCATGAAGATTTTCTTCAGATTGATGGAAAATGTGCATGAATGTGCTATAGACGGTTCTATATAGAAACTTTTTGAAAAGCTTTCTAGATAGCACCCAAATGGTTTCTTCCATTGTTACAAGCTTGGCATCATAACAATAAAAGAACCCTTTTGGGTGTTATGTAGAACCATCTTTAAAAAGGTTCAAGAACCCTTGAAGAACCATCTTTTTAAGTGTGTGCTTATGGTTGCTCTAGTGTAAAGTTTTGAAGTCCCAGGGAACATAGTGTAAAATATTAAAAATATTTGCATGATGTTAAAATGGCGTGTTAAATTAAACATCCAGTGAAGTTTGAATGAAAAAAAAAACGATGGAAATATAATAAACACAGACATAGATTAAGCCAAAATGATGTTTTTTTTATATAAAATTCTGCCCATGGCATTACGTTGGTAACAAATTCTCACAAATTTTTTCCTTCTGGAATACGAGTCCCATCTCTGAAATAACAATTTAAACTGATTTACAGCTTAATTTACATATTTCTTTGACTGAAGAATTTGGATTGAAGTCGCATAATTGTTTAGAGATAGAATTCGGCAACTGCCCCAAAACTTCTATTACAAATATGTTTTAAGTGTATAGCTTTTCTGTTCTGTTCTAAGGCCAGGAAAACATGTTGAACCTATTGCTCATGGTAGTTTATTGTACCCTACAGATGCAGCAGATACAGTTTAGTTTGAAAAAATCAGGAATGTTTAAATGTTTTCTTAGTAATCCTCATTTCTTTTTTTGCAAGAGAAGCTGTTTCTATAGAAGGTTCACATCTCAGCTCCACTGGTGCACTCCTGTGCTAGGTGTTGATTTATCTTTCACTCCCCTCCATAATACGCCATCACTCCAGCTCCCTGTTGAGCACTTAAATCTTTCTGTCATTTACCAGTCTCTCTCTCTCATCTATCCATCCTGCCCTCTTTCCTGAGTCACCCTACAGTAAAACTCCCACTCAGTCTGCCTCTTCCAAAACCTCTTAGTCATTCCCTCCTCCGCAGCGAAGCCTCTGGTCCACCTGTTACCCACTGACACTTGCCGCATAGTAATTACTGCATGACACACCATTTAATGCCTATCAGGCCCCTCCATGGGACAGTACATTAATTTCACAGCATATCAAAACATTTACAGTGTATTACACCGTTTATGACTGATATCATAATCTTCTCCTGAGAATCTGTTCTCTGCATGCTTAAAATGTTTACTGAATAATGAACTGCATTTGATGGATGACACATGCACATGCACTTAGACAAATAATGAATATTCAAAAGCACTCTCAGAATAACCTGTAACTTATTGATATCGTGAATGTATACTGGGCAATTATTCATTCAGTGGAGAGCAAACAAATGCATGGTACTTCATCTGTTTTAACCTCTCTTGGCTAACTGGACATTTCTCGTTCGAATTCCTGGAAAGTCAGCAAAGCCTGAATATTTAGTACACTGACGGGAATCTGTGGCTGACATGCTGAAGAGCTTTACCGTTGCTAATGTGCTGTTGCTTCCTGAGAGTGATGTGCTTTGCATTTCAATGCCATTTTGGCAGTGGCCGTGATGCCATCTGTGTGTGCCTTTTTCACAGCTGAACGTGGAGGCCAGTGACTTCCTGAAGGAGCTGCAGGTCAAGCTCAATAACGTGATGGATGACCTCAGCAGGATCTTTGCAGTCAGGTGGGTCCTGCTATAAAGCTGAGAGTAGACTTCACAACTGTTAGATTCTTAACAAATTTCGAAAATAGACAGCATCACCCACTTAACATCAGTCTTTAGCAGAATTTCCTGATGGTTTGTTGTTTTGTTGGCAAGATGAGGGTATCGCACACATAAAGCAGTTTAGCTACAAAAGAGTCTCAAAACCCCAAACCCACAACGTTATTACGTGACACAAACAAAGCTGGAACCAGACCTGTTTGTGCTTTTATGCACACACAAGAAGCAAAAGCAAAAGCACAAACTGGGATGAATATGTGGTTGAGAAAGGCAGATACCACAGTGAGAGCTGGAGAAATATTTCCTACAAACTGGCAGCTGACTTTAAACCGTAAAGAGAGAGACCTGACATCTGGGTCCATACATTGAAAACATTATAGTAGCTCTTATTTGTGTGTGTTCTGCAAGCAGCTCCTCTGTCTCTGTGGTTTGCTGCATGAATTCACCTACGTCACTGGCTATCTCACACTACAGGACTTGTAAATGTTTCGAGTCGTAAAAATCAAATGTTTGAAAATATCGGACGGTCTCTGATTACTCTGGAGCTAGATCAGAAGTCTAAAGATTGAGTCGTTACCAGATCATCCATACTGTCAGTCACTTCTAACTGAGATTTGTTTCCAATTGTGAACATTTGTCAGAAGGTGCAAATCCTGGTTAAAATTGGGCTTTAAATCGTTTATTGTAGGCATGGCTTAAGAGACACTTAGTTTTAACAAATGTGATTCATATAGGACTGTCACAATTACTTGACTGAAAAAAATGAGGGCCCATTTAACAGTAAGAAACTGTCTTGTTGTTGACTTGTTGCTCTGTTAAGTGTGCTTTTCTTTATTGAAAAAAATCACACTATATTTACTAGTAAATTACATTTACTGATATAAATAATAATGTCAGCCCTACATTGATGTACTAAGCAGTTCTTTGTATGCTGTAGTCAGCTCATCAACTAAATAAAAAGCACTTCTATATCAGTGGTGACAGACCAGCAAAGCACTAAACCATGCAGTGAATGTTTGGTTTGGTGGTCCTGGACAGTTTGAAACCCTAAGAGTAATTAAAGCAGTAGATCAGCAAAAAATCAAATGGTAAATGTAGTTGATCACCCAAGACATCTTTGGTGTTTTTGGTGTTTGCTTCTTTAGGTTTGCAGTGGAGATTCAGTCGAATATAGCTAACAAGTTATGGAACGTTATACCCTATCAAACAGCATTGTTCAGACTATATACTCAGGCCACACTGAATAGTGAAATAATCTCAATTAGACTTGCTTACATGGCTTCTGACACTGTATGACATACCATCTATAAAAATGGACAAATGTACACCCAAAATTAAAGCTTCAGGGTGGCTGCTACTGCTGTTACATAGTTTTGTCCAGTAAATGTGTGATGATTTAGGAATGCTGTTTGTACAGTGCAAATTAGTGACGTATAAGCCTTCATTACTTTTTAGCTACATTAGCCTCAAAGCTCCTGTGCAAAATTATAGAAGCACATCAGACACCAAACTTCAGACACCAAACATGTCTTGGCTGAACAGAAATTGGGATAAGGAAAAAAATTGTTTGATCTTTTGTGAAACTATTACTTTAATGAAAATACATCTTTGTTTACTAATAAAAATCTTTTCCATACAGAATCATCCATGTTTGTTTCATGCAATGAGAAGTTAGTCAGTCTAGAATTACCCGATTATACACATCAGTTGGTACCCACATCCTCGACCTCACACATCCAGAGCACTTCAGTTAGCTGTAAGACCTCTTGCCATAGCGGGTAAGTCAGTGTGACCGTGTGTGTGTGTGCTATAGTTTCCAGCCCCACATTGAAGTGAGTGTAAGGCAGATGGGGGATATCCTGAGCCAGGTAAAGGGGGCCAACGTTCCTGCTAACGGCAACGGCAGCCTCACACAGGATGCCGACAACGTCCTGCAGCCCATCATGGACTTCCTTGATAGCAAGTGAGAAAGTACACACCCACATAAACTAGTGATCAAGTCTACAGACTTTAACCGTTCTAGGTTCCTCCCGGTGCGTATATCTTGATACGGCTATTTACATTTTGATTATTCATTCTAATAATTATTCCTACATCGTAGCTAATTGAAACAAGCAGAGACATTTTGTCAAAAATGCAGATCCTTCCTATGAATACCACATTTGCTTGTTCTACAAGTAGAACAGGAAATATTTTGTTATGATTTTAGTGTGATGAAAAAGTAATGATGATCTTTAGCATTTGTTACGTCTGTATAAATAAAAATAATGCGTGGCCACAACTTAGTAAGGTGTGGGAACAAGATCCTAATGCATGGCCACAACTTATTAAGGCATGGTAATGAGATCCTAATGCATGGCCACGACTTAGTAAGGTGTGAGAACGAGATCCTAATGCGTGGCCATGACTTAGTAAGACATGAGAACAAGATCCTAATGCGTGGCCATGACTTAGTAAGGCATGGGAACGAGACCCTAAGGTATGATCTTCACTTGCCTTACTAAGTCATGGCCACAAGTTAATTATCTCATTTCCACGCCTTACTAAGTCATTGCCACGCATTAGGATCTCGTTTCCACGCGTTAATAAGGCGTGGCCACGCATTATTTTTATTTATGGGATGTCACCAGCAGGGCTCTATACCTTTTGGCATTAAGGCAAAAATTAATTAATAAAATGGAATGGTAAACTCAAACTTGTTGATACAGAATGTAGATGTAATTCATTGCATAAGTAACAAATTATGTAATTAAGTAATTAAAGTCAAATAGTGCATAAAAATTACAATCCATATATCCAAACAATCCAGATCTGTAGAATTCCAATACCAATTTAAGAAATAGTTCACCCTGTTTGTTTCTGTCAAACTGTAAGTGCTTATGTTAAGTAGTTTGTGAGTGCAGTTAGGCTCAAATTGAATGCAGGACGTGTATTCACTCTCTCCCCCTCTTTATTTACCTCTCTGCCTCTCTCTCTCTCTCTCTCTCTCTCTCTCTCTCTCTCTCTCTCAGTCTGACATTGTTTGCTAAAATCTGTGAGAAGACAGTTCTGAAGCGTGTCCTCAAAGAGCTGTGGAAGCTGGTTATGAACACCATGGAGAAAACCATCGTTCTTCCCCAACTTACGGACCAAACGGTGAGGGCTGCTCTCCTAACACACACACAAACACACACATTTGTGTTTTATTATTAAATGACATCTTGATGTACCAGAGCTCCCTTGTGTATGTAATGTTTGATGATGGATTAGCAGGTGCTGTAGGTCAGCATGATCCAGCCCCTCAGCAAGGTCTTAGTGGGCCTTTAGCAGATACAGAACAATACAGAAAAAACTCAGCTCTCTAATTTCACTCCTTCTGTGATACACCTACACATACATGCACACAGGAAGACTCCCCAAATATGGAGACTGAAAACCTGCTGCCCAAGCAGCTGTAATCCTGAGCGTCCACCAGCAGGCCGACCCCACGTGATCTCTTCTGGTAAAAAGCTCTGGCAGCTGAGAGATCGAATTGCACCATTACAAGAATGGGAGCACAAATATGATACAGTGGGCAGAGAGGGCGGAAAAAAGCTCTCGCTGCTTCCTGTCTTTAAACGTTACAAGAGGAGATGGGTTTCTGATCTAATGCAGTCTAGAGTTAGTGTTAGGTCAAGCTCTGTGGGAGGAGAGAGAGTGGGCTGTATGAGTTTGAGTGTGTATGCGTTTGAAGCTGCATTGCTCATGGAGTTCCTTTTGAGTGTCTGTGTGCATGCATTATGATCTTCATAAGCTGAACACTTTTTCATTATCATTCCTCTGACCAGCATTTTTAATAGCTGATTCTGTGTGTCACAACAAAATCCTCTGTTTTCAGGGCACGCAGCTCATCTTTAATGCTGCTAAAGAGTTGGGCCAGCTCTCCAAGCTGAAGGTAAACATGCTAAGTCATATACCCAAATAATAAACATCAGGGATGCACCAATATGGAAATTGTGGGCTGATGCCAATATTCAATATTTGTCCTGTATATATCTGCCGGTGCTGACAGCAATACATCAGTATGTATAAAATATAGACATTGGGACTAAATCTACCAGGATTAGCATATCTATATAACACTTATTCCTGCAGGGTTATAGATGCAGTAAAATAAAGCAAATGCAGATATTTCAGCATTGTCTGAATATTCTGCTCTTCGAGTACAATAAATACGTCATCAAATATTGGTTTGAAATATCATGCATCCTTAATAAAAATCCAGCAAAGCATAGCCTATAATTAGTAGGGTATACATGTTTCACCTTCAGTGCATCTCGAAACTGCAGTTCGATTCAATTATGTTGATATGAGTCGTATACACTGAACATGAGAAAACATTTTGAGAAAAACATTTTGCAAAATAATGGAATACAGACAATAAAACAATACACCAAGATTTTTTTAACCCAAGAATATTATTGTGGCTAAGAAATGTATTTAATCATTTCTCCAAAATCACTGCAGTTCAATCACATTAATTAATAACGAATGTGTATTAAATGTACATTTTATTATAAAATATTTGGAATTATGTAAATGAAATCTTATACTGACTTGTTTTCTGTTTGGCATTTAGGAGCACATGGTGCGAGAGGAGGCCAAGGCACTCACCCCCAAACAGTGTGCCGTCATTGAGCTGGCACTGGATACCATAAAGGTGAACACACACAGCTCTCTTCACACACAATCATACATTCATGCTCACATCACAACATTCATGCTCACATCACAATTTATTCTACACTGAGCACTGAAACTGTGCTCGAATGATAGCAGGGCTGTATAATGCAATAGCGTCTGAGAAGTGAATCCGTTGCAAACACAAAAACAATGACAGTTGCACATGCACCCTGTGTGTGCATGCATTTATGGTGAAAATATGTCTTAAACTCTGAAGGAGGTTAAGTTCCAGTGTTTATGGTAGTTGTAGTCCATCAGGTACTTCAAAGGTATTTAAATGTTAATAACGGTAAGCAGAAATTAATGCCACATGAAGTGCACATAAAAAGCCCAAAACTTGTTCAGGGGCTGTAATATCATATGTATTGTGAGCAATGATCAAGGATTTAACCATTTGCCTGTTGAAAAAACAAAGTCAGCTCAAAGACGTCTTTGGATTTGTACTTGTACCCTCTGGTGCAAGTACAGCCTTTGCTATCTTTTGACTATATCCTTTTTTAAAAAATTCACTGATTAAATTACAAATCACATGTTAAATAATGTTGAGCAACGCAGGTCCTGCACTAGTAAACTACCTTGCTTATCGATGTGAGAGTGCAAACATGGGTGCATTCGTGAGATCCTGCTGCTGTTGGGTTTCCTCATTTTCAGTGACGCATGCAAAAGCTAATGCAGCTGTAATAGCGCCCCGTGTGGGGAACCTGTATGTTGTGGAGACAATTAATTATCTGTACATTTCTCAAAATAATATAAACATTTCCATTCCTTCTCTGGTTTTTTATCAAATGCTGAATTGTACCACTTACTGGGATAAACTCTGTTTAGAAGTATGATGATAGTGCTACAATATTTGAATGAATGCTACAACACCTACAACTTTTTTAGCACCAGTGCTACCTACTGAAAAAGTTTACATACAGCCCTGGATAATGTTTGTGAATTCATTCTGAGATAAGGCACTGGAGACGTCTATGTCTGTGTGTGTAACAGCAATACTTCCACGCTGGCGGGGTGGGTCTGAAGAAGACGTTTTTGGAGAAAAGCCCAGACCTGCAGTCTCTGCGCTACGCTCTCTCACTCTACACACAGGCCACAGACAAACTCATCAGGAAATTCGTCCAGTCACAGCACACTCAGGGTACGTCAACGTCCACACCCCTCTATCTGCTCAGTATCCTGCGTTTGTGCACTCTCCTTATCTCTTTTATCTCTAGGTCTATCTACTCTACCCATCTCTTTCTCCCTCTTCCCCTCTCTCACCCTCACTCTGTCTCTCTCTTTCCTTTTTAATTTTATCCTTATCTCGCTCCCTTTCTCTTCCTCTTTCTCTTTCCCCTCTCCCTCTTTCTCTCTCTCTCCTTTTATTTAAAGAGTTTTCCATGCATCTTTTTAACTACATTTTGAAAATGTGCATAAAACTATATGGAAAAGTTATAAAGAAAAGCCTCAATATCGCAAAATAAGTTTTTACACTTGGATGAGGTGGTATAGCTGGTTTATGTTTTAAGCAGAAATGTGAAAAAATTTGATGGAAACAGATTTTGAGAATAAGTGATGATGTAGCGGGAACCATAATCACATATTTGGCATTACGTGTCAGAACTGTTTGCCCCAATGGCGTTCGCAGGGGTTCGGTGGGTGACAGTGAAGTGGGACAGTGACATCAACGGTCGTTATAAGGCCCACTACCTGCTGCACTCTGTGTCCTATTTAGAGCTAACAGAGGGCTGCCAAAACTGCAGAGAGCTAATAAAGGTGTGAATCCCTCCACTGTATATGCCACACACATTGAGCTAGACGCTTGGCTCACACCTCACATCACAGGATGTCATCTTCAGGAATTTTCACAAAACAGTAGTAGATAAAAACTCGGATTAATTTGTATTTTCTTTTACCGACTTTCTGAAAATCGCTTACTTAAAATTTGCAAAACATTTGAACGGAAATCCCACTTCTCGCTTCCTATCCTCTCTTTCTTTCTCTCTTGCGCTCTCTCACTCGGCCTTCTGTTCTCCTTTGTCTCTCTCTCTCTAGCTCACTAGGCTACTGCTGTTTGTCCACTTCAAACTCTGTGTGCTGTTTGTGTTTTTTGTGTCCAGACATTACTAATGTTTCTCTTAGTACTTATCCTCTCTCTCTCTCTCTCTCTCTCTCTCTCTCTCGTCTTCTCTTTCATCCTCCTTTCTTTCTCTCACTTTGTCTCTCTGCTAGTCCATGGAGGTAAAGGGGTGAGGTTTACCCCCAGTGAGGATGTGTACCCAGAGAAGGGTACGTGTCTAAAAGGCTCTGGGCACACAGGGCTGCTCCCTGCATGAGCATGACTGCACTTAAACAAAGACCTCATTCACATTCATGTATGCAAACGAGGTGTTTGCATATTTGTGTATGCATGTTAGGTAATTATGTTAATTGGGTCTAGCTCAGTGGCCTGCCTCCCACCAGCGCAGCTGCTGCAGCGGAGGTGCCAGCGTACAGGACAGAGGGCAGAACTGAGCACATGTCCCACCGCAGAACAGCTCTGTAAAAACAACGTTATTCATCTGTACGGGTGTAAATCTCTGACCACACAATCGATTGGAAATGGTTCTTCAGGAAACGGTTCAGTCCATCATCACCAAGATACACAAAAGTCACAGGAAGATGTATTGCACAGCTGTTGAATACAATACACTGAGCTTTTGTGCGGAATTTTACATTCTGACCAGAAATGTCCACATATTTCACTGCACAATCCAGTTTGCTTGCACTACTGTAGGAAACAATTCAGTGAATCATCAAATCTCAAATTCCACTGAGATTTTATGTTATTATTTCAATTAATTTAGAATTATTTTAATTAATTTAGAATTATTAAATGCATATGTGCATTTTTACATCTCTGTGCATATGCTTCAGGTTAAGTCAAGTCAAGCTTTATTTTCACACACAGCCAAAGTTTAGTGAGGAATGATTTTGGTCTGTAGATACATTACAGCATAGGGCTGAAAGACTGATTGTCGTTATATGGAAATCACAGTATGAAAGAGTGCAGTTTTTATATTGCAAGAGCTGCAGTTTTTTATAGCCTGCAGTGTTGTCTTAGCAGTTTAAAGTGAGAAGATTTAACATAACAACCAAATAATATTTGAGTTTGACCAATCAAAAGCAATGCCCGTGTGTTGTGACAATACAACCACAATTAACTGGCAGTATGTTCAGCATTTAAGCCTCAAAAAGTGGATATTCTGGTCTTTTTGGCCAAAAAGCCAGGCTTGCAGCTTAAGTTATAGAAAATAATCATTATTTAAATTGCAATATTGGTCAGAAAAATCACAAATAGGTGTCTTGCCCAAATCTTTCAGCCCTACTGTCCTAAGTATAGGACAATAAACAGTAAAACAAAAAAAATGGTCATTAACAGCAGTAATTCTATTTTGGATACACTGATCAATGGTAATCAGTCAGTGTAAACTGTGATCAGTGTAAACTGTGTAACCTCAGTCTTTAGCAGCAGATGAAGAGATTAAAGAGTGCAGACAATCTAAACAGTAGAAAGTGTCTTGTGTAAAATGTGAAATGTAGTGTCTCCCTCTCTCTCCATTTGTCTTTCTATTGTTCTCACATCACAGAGCGATATCTGAGCATGTATTTGATTGAATGAGCTGTAATGGTGGCGTTGGAGCGGATGAGGGCACAGACTGGCATTTAGCCTGGCATACAGCCTGCCTGCTCATTCTTCTATGCCATTAATGTAGAAGACTATGCTGATCCTTTTATAGTGTTTGTGTGTGTGTGTGGTGTGTGTGTTGTGTGTGTGTGTGGTGTGTGTGCTCACTGCCAGCACTCAGCTTTTGTGTCACTGTTTTACTGCTGTGCTTTTATTCAGTGAATTAGTTAATAGCAATTATCTAATTCATTGAGCAGTTTAATCAGCAGATGGACTTTTGGGTAGAAGTCTCAGTATTGCTGCCAAGTGCAGTTTTGTGCATCAGGAGAGAAACAGTGCTATTTTTGCTTGAGGGAACGAAAAGGATTCCCTGAAATTGTGTAAAACATCATCTTCAGCAAGTTCTATATCTGTTGGCCAGAAAATGGCAGGGCTTCTGAAAAAATGCACAGAGGTCATTAGCACAGCAGCACCATCTGGTGGGGAGTAACATAGGTTGACCACTCCTAAAAAGATCTTTCAGGAGTTAAGAGTGGTGGGCTCTTCCTGGTGTTTTTTTGTCATTATGGGATAGGTGTAGATATATTTATCACTGCACCACATGTGAGGCCACAAGGCCAAAAAGACTGATGACAGATATACAGTCATATTTCAATAGCATTTCACAAAACACAATGCAAAACACAGGTGATTCAGTGTAGAATCTGTAATGCATTTTGTCATGTTTCGCTGTAAAAATGACCTCTTTCATTCACTTTCGCTGGCAAAATCTTTGTGAATGTAATTGTTTACAAATAGTACAATTTGTCCTTTTGAAAACCTAAGTCTGTTCTACATCTTTCTTAAACGTGAATCTGGTTTGGAACAGCTAAAACCCTGCTGAATGTGGTGTGAATTATGTAAAAAAAAAGAGAGAAAATGTCTATGGAAACTATCGAAATTTTCAGTAATTATCTTGAGTAAAACTTTTCTGTTTGACTTTAGTGAATAAATTGTTTGTTGATAAGTGAAATGTTGCAAAATTTCTACAAAAGAAACTTTTTTCTTGGGAAAAATAATGCATTTATGCATTAATTTAGTGTCATGTGCCAGATTTCCCTCGCATGCCGCTTAAAACAACCACAAACAGCACTGTGGATAGGTAGAGTTCAGGAGGAGAGTGTCTTTAGATGGAGTGCTACCACAGGGCTCTTACAGAGAGAGATGTCCAGAAAAGGCTACAGCCTCTCTAAATGGAAAGTGTTCAAACAGCTCTATACGGCAGAGAAATGTGATCTCTCACATAATGGTTCTGATCTAAAAAATAATAATAATAAAATAAAAATTAGAACAAAATGTCCTTTTCAGTAGGTTGCGACATACATGAAATTAGAGATGGAAATCCAGCTGTTTTTGCAGGAAATGACATTTACATTATAAAATGTTTTCTCGCTAAAAGTCAGTTTGATGAAAGCTAGAAAAAAAATGCCAACATTTCATTATGCACTTTCATTTCATTTCATATAATGCATAAATTCTCATTGCGTGCAGTTTGCGCAGAAAGTCAAAGGAAAACGTAGCTACTAACAGAGGACTGTGGCCAATAAAATGCTTTACTGTGAAAGTACAGAGCTTCAACTTGGCATGCATTGTCTCATCAGCTGAAGACTTTAGTTCATTGATGGCATGCAGGTTGCAATTCTCAGAAGGTTTTTTGAGTGTTTTCCCTTGTTATTTCTCTCCCATTGTACAAATGCAAATGAGAGCTTGTGGAATTACACAAGGTCATGCACGAGCTGCATGGCAGGAAAGTATGAGACGTGGCAATGCATAGACAAAGGGAAAATGTACCAAGATACAGCATATATACTGCATTTAATTCAAAGGAATTTCTAAGCACTGGCATATCTGATACTGACGAATGTGAAAACTGATGTTTTTTCCTTACCTCTGACCTTGTATTGCAGCCTCGAGTGTGGATGATGCTGTGGGAGAGGCGTCCATGACTGTGGAGATCCTTGGTGACCCCAACACAGGAGGACACAAAATCAACGTTAAAGGTATAAATCTCTCTCTCATCATCCTTCTCCATCTGTTTTCTCTACATCTTTTCTACTTTCTCCATCTTTTCTTTGTAGATTTCACTGGTTTTGTTGATATTTTTTCACTTTTAACAGTGGTGGCAGCCAATGACCTGCGCTGGCAGACCCAGGGCATATTCCGCCCCTTCGTGGAAGTGTACATCATTGGGCCTCACCTCAGTGACAAGAAGCGGAAGTTTGCCACCAAGTCTAAGAACAACAGCTGGTCTCCTAAGTTTGGCGAGTCCTTTCAATTGTAAGTCTGTCCTCATCTATACAGTACTCAGTAGCTCATGTTTTAAGTAAAAGAATAGTTTTGCAAAAAGAAATGCAATTTGCATACGTTTCCCATAACCTCAAATGTGGATCAAGACATGTTTGGTGTCTGAAGTTCACTTCTTTAGCTATGAGGCTTATTTTGCTAACAACTAATGCAAGTTTATTAATGTGAACTAAAATATGGACAAAATCAGGCTTTCTAACTGCAACCACTGTTTTACCTTTTTTAAAATAATTTTTATAGATACTAGTTTGTCATACAGTATCAGAAACTATTTAAGCAAGTCTGGTTGATTACTTAACAACTTGACATGGTTTGAGGAAAGTGTTTGATGATTTAGGCACTTTGCATGATGCTAATTGGTGAGGTATAAGTTTCCATTACTTATACTTGTAGCTCCAATGCCAAAAAAAGAAGCAAACTTCGGACAGTAACTGACGGGTAAACGGTATAAATTTGTTTCTGTGAGGAACAATTCCTTTAAAAGAATACTTCAGCCTATTTTAGAACACCACAGCTGGTATTTTGTTCTTAGGGGCTGGTTTCTCAGAACCAGGTTAAGCTTAAATCTTGACTAGCTAGTGTTTTTAATTGGAAAACACTATTTTAGTCTAAAGGCTAAATTATACTGTAACATCAGTGTATGTTGAGTTTAATATGAATGCATGCACCAGAGGGCAGTGTTCAAGCTAGAGTGTACAAAAAATTAAGACGAGAGTTGTGAGTTTTTCTTGTGTCTCTCCAAGAATTAATACTAACCTAACTATTTTTGTAACATTTTGAAGTTTGTAACCTCAAGCCGCTCTTGCCGACCCATTCTTGAACTGCTCCATTTTGAGCTAGTTCTGGTTTAGGCTGAGTACTGTTTGGGTCTTGTCCCACCCCCAGCACCACCAGATAGCCAGTCAGCATTGACTAAACACACAGCTCTACAGATATGCACCAGTGGCGTAGGCAAAATATATATATGTTTGGGCAGGCCTGTGACAAAGTGGATAGGCCAACTGGGTAGATACAATTTCCAAGCATGCTGTGTCCCGCAGTGTCATAATATCAGGCTATAGCCTATTCCTGACAGCTGTGCAGTCATCACCCTACCTATTCTAATGCTTCTGCCCTATGGTGATAAAAAAACATAACGAGACTGTGTACCCATCAACCAGAATGCTGAATTCACATAAACACAACTAATACTTTACTAACCAACAACACTTACCTCAAGCACAACTTTTGCCCAATGAAGAAAACATAACTAAGTTAACATCAGACAGCTGAGATATACAAAGATGAGGAAAAACACAGCAAACTTAAAAAAAATAAACCTAATCATCTTAGGCTATAGCATACTGCCAAGGCACACATGACAAATGTCTATGGACCATCTATGTCTTACCTGGAATGACTCAATGCATTGAAGTAGACATTTGCCTTGACATTTTGACGCAGCCCATTTTAGGTTTTGTAGTATAAGAGCACTGTAAGTACTAAATTCACGACCACTGATAACAACCTTTTTTATTTGTGTTTAGCTTTGGATGGGTAGAAAAGGACACACAGTATTCTATCAGCGACAGGGTCCCACTTTTACAGATCCCCCGGCTGCATCTTTTGACCACTGCTGTGCAGGTGAACAATTGAAAGCTTGAGGCAGTGGTAGGTAACAGTGATTGGAGGGCTAAAAAATAAGGCGGACCAAGGCTGAGAGTGTACCGAGTTTGATTGGCCATAATACAGTGACAGTACTCACAAACAAATCAAATTTCATCATCTTAAAAAATGCAGTTATTGGGGCATAAGCCCCTGATATGTGCAATGCTTGGTTGAGATTTTTGAGGTGAGCATATGGTGGCCTGTGATCCTCTACAAGCTACCTCTTCCTCCTCAGTCTTCTTAGACTAAGTTTAATCCTTGTCTAAGAAACGGGTTCTAAACGTTCTTCTCTACCCTCTCTCCTTGTCTGTGCCTCTCTGTGCAGTGTTCTGGGCAGTGAGCTGGGCCCCGAGGGCTATGAGCTGCATGTGTGTGTGAAGGACTACTGCTTTGCCCGGGAGGACCGCACAGTGGGCATGGCTGTGCTGCAGCTGAAGGATGTGGTGGCACGGGGCAGTGGGGCCTACTGGCTGCCGCTGGGCAAACGGGTACATATGGACGAGACGGGCCTGACGGTGCTGCGCATCCTCTCCCAGCGCAACAATGACGAGGTGGCCAAGGAGTTCGTCAAGCTCAAATCCGATCAGCGCTCGGCCGAGGAGGGACGAGGCAGCTAGAAGCGAAAATGGAAGGGAAAGACACACATATACACGCACATAGACATGCACACAGTAACCAAACCAGTGGGGGTCAGTCCAGTAAGTAGAGACTTCAGTACAGACCATATAGAGCTCTAAACTGTTGCGCCTCTGCTATATAATTGATAGTGGCATAACATAAATCTCTGTACAAAAACTTAAAGCAATGAAATCTGATTCAAGCAAATAATGATGACAGAGGTATAGCTCTTTCATCTTTGCCTTGTTTTATTTTTAAAAAGGGAATTCAGCTGACGTGCTAACACATGACCATATACATATAGATACACAGCCATATCCTCCAAATTTCTTCGTCTTTGCACTCTAGATTTACTAAAGACTTCAGCATTTTTCAGCATTTTTGTAAACATGCTGAAGGCTTTTGGAAGCTGTTAGCCCTCTATGTCATACTATCATCGCCTGCGTACACACACTGCATCGCTGCCTTGAGAGGTACATAAGTACCCTAATCCAAAAAAAACCCTGTCCCCTTTTCATCTGAGTTTTCTTTTCCTCCTCTCATGCACCTCGCTAGCATTTTATAGCCAACTGTAAAAATCCACAATGGGGCTTGATTTGTTTGCATTGTTTGGAATACTTTGCACTTTGCCTTCTTTGCATGTTTAAGGAGTTTAACTCCATTCCCTGTCTGTCTGTCTGTCTGTCTGTCTGGTTCAGTAAGCACTCTGTCGCTCTCCTGTCCTCTACCATGTTGTGCATGATGAAGCCAAGCCACTTTAACACTGTGACTCTCTCCACGTGCCCACCTCAGCTGCCACTCAGCCTCTGTGCATTATAGGGCTTTTGTTTGTTTGTTTTGATTGTGATATGTGTTAGTTCTGTTCGCTGCTGGACATCCAAAAAAGATGGTGTGACAAATGAGAGAACACTTAAGCTTTGTGCTATTATGGATCTTGACTGGTCAGAGAAATTTGAGGTTTCTCATGGGTTAAATTGGAAATTGGAAGGTGTTGCAACTTTCTAAGTTCAGTAAAGTTCACATATTGCTGCTATGATAGCTAGCTAAGCTGCAGAAATTGGAAGTTGGCTAGCTAATCAAGGCACAGGTTAGCCTGCACTATGCACATGCCAAGCCAAACAGCTAGCTAGCTAACTAGGTAGTTCCTTTTTCACGTGATCTAATAAATATCTAATAAATACACTTGGACATTGAGGTACACGTAAGATCACTGCATATATTATTTAAAAAATTGGTGAACTTACTCACCAGCATTTATTAATTTTATTTTAAGTGATTTTGTGCACAAAACTTGCACAGAACTTTTACAAACTTTGCCCCATGACTAGGACATCCTGTGATAAAGCTGAAACATGATTGGCCCTTAACATCAGGATTGTTCCAGCCCAATTTAACCTGATCTTTGTTAGTGGGAGTTTTGGAAGAGTGTATTACTTAAACATGAGTAGAGATGCTCAAATTGCCTTTGGAAGTTGTGAGACTCAGACATGTTTCTTAACAATGAAGAAATCCAGTGAGTGCCTCTGCAAACATGACCCTACAGCTTGTCTAACAGACAATGGGTCACATGCACTCACCCCAAAACCTGAATCTGGGGGTTCCTAAATGGTGCAGCTGGCCAAGAGAGTCACTTCCTATCACACTGAGTTCACGTTCAAGAGATCACTAGTGGCCCTGCTGGTTTCTGAGTGTGAAGGATGACCTAGGTACTCTCTCTGTCCTTCTATAGTGGTGCTGACCAACTGTAGACATCTGCAAAATAGGGCAGTTTCATCCAAACACCTTCATCTGCCCCATAGCTTTTCTAAGTTCAACTTTAAAAAAAAAAGTTCAAAAAGTCCTGGAGGACCCGTGAGCCTGCTTCCAGATTGGCTGGAGATGTACAGTAAGGGAGCTTTAAATGGTGGGTAGGAGCTGGTGATAACCAACACTGCTGTAGATAATTGGGCAAGTGTTTAAGGATATTGAAAAAAATGCATTGCAGTAATATATTTGACTGGACAATAACATGACTGTCCCACTGTTGCCATAGTTACTGTCCTTTGCCTTTGAGGGGCAGAGTGGGTAGGAACAGGTGATAACCATCTATGAGATAACCGAGCAAAAATTAAATGGTTTGCAGTACAGCTTTGTAACAGTGCTTCTCCATTGTGTTTCAACATGGCTGGATCTGATCAAGCTGATTCCACCAAATAAAAGCACCGTCTGTGTCGTGTTCAGGCCTGAGGCTGTCAGCTTAACAATAATACAAGCTTTGGTCCTTATGTTCATGTCTGGCATCACTGGCTTATGGGCACAGCTGTGGATTGTGCTTTCCGTAAGTTCTGTGCAATCTGGTGTAGTCTTATCTGTTTGAATTCTACAGCAATACTTTAAAACTGAGACTAAGACACAACTCTCTGGATCTCTTGGTCAGAGGTCATACAGGGAGTGCAGAGGCATGTTTAAGTGGCACATACGAAATTACACCATTGTACTTCAGTATACAATAAAATATGTAGGATTTACTGAAGGAGGAAGTACAAAGCAGATTTAGTTTCTGGCATGTAACCTCAAATTAGGTGGCCGTTCAAGAGGCCTACTTTTCACTTACTTAATGAACAATTGACAAAAACGTGTAATGGCCGCTTGGCCTCATGTAGGGTTATGATGTATGGGAGATATATATGATGTCATATCACTGTCATATCAAAACCTCAGAACCTTTACATTGTTTTATGCAGTTTGAAAACACCAGCTGGCCTTTACATTGTGTGAGCATTTCCAGAGGAATTGACCAATAATGGTCAGTAATGGTCCAAAATTGTAATGTAATGAGAATAAAATCACTACTTTAACCTACATTGTTTTTTTCCTTCTCCTGTAAAGATACAATACCTGAGATGTGAGGTTTCGTTATAACAGTGATATATATGTAGTACTGAGAGAGTTAATAGATAAATAGATACACTGTAAGTGGTTTTATGAGGGATGAGAGCCAGTCATGGATGCATAGCCATTAAAGTTTGCTGTTTTACTAAACCATAGTGCAATTAAATTACATTGTAGTGGTTAGCTGTTTGTCTACTTGGAATAGAATATAAAATGTTTACAAGGCAGAGTGTGAGTAATCAGCACAAAAGCGCTTGCACATATTTATATAATTACTGTTGGAAAGCAAATAGGGGTTTCATGAGCTAGTTGCAATGGATGAAGCTTAAAGGCCACATTATGAGCAATGATGTTTGTGTTTTAATTGTTCTGAACAGAAGTAGGGCTCATCATCCTGAGCTTGTGTTTTCGAAACCAAATCCAATGCGGCTCTGAATGTCCGTCACACTGGCCTTTATTTGGTAGAAGGTGGACATAATGAAATAATGCCACATGCTTAACAGGAACATCATCCGTCCTCGAAACACACACACATGCGCACACACTCACAGACTGGCTCAAGCACAAATGGGCATGAAAATTACCCATATGCATGCGTGCATGCCCACAGACGCGGTTGCCGTGATGCCCACTTTGTGAATAGAAATCAAGTGCATGAAGGGAAACTGAACTTTAATTGTGCCAGCACGTGTCTTTTTTGATGTTAACCTGCCAACTGTCGACGGATTTATCTGTATATTTCCTTTGGTTTTTATTTGAGATATTTTCAAATGTATTTATTTTTCAAAAAAAACAGTAAAAAAGCTTGTGAATACATTGACGTATCCAAAAATGAATGTAGCGTGTATAAGCATGAAAGGATGTTTTTATACTGAGGATGTTTATAATTTTTATTTTTAATCATTACGATGGTTTCTAATAAGGATGATGGTAGATTAATGCAGCATTGCTTCCTATTAAAAAACTGATCACTCACTCTGACTCTGGTCTTGTTTATACAGACACACAAGCAAGAGGTACAATAGATAGAAAAACTAATGAAAACAGCCAGTTGCAACCAGACCTTTCTTTTTTCAGCGGTGTAATTTTTTATTCATGTCTAAAAATATTCAGGTACTTCTAATTAGTGAATTCAGCTATTTTGAGGTGCACCTGTTACTGACAAGCATTCAGTTGCACACACAGCTTGTATAATGTCCACAGATAGTGCCAATAGAATGGGATGCTCAGGAGTAGCTGCACATAAGCTCAAGGTCACCACACCCAATGCCAAGCATCGGCTAGAAGGGTATAAAACATTGGGGTGTGTAGCAGTGGACCTGCGTTCACTGGAGTTATGGTGCACCATCCTCACTACAATGTTCCAACATCTAGTGCAAAGCCTTCACTGGTAGAAGAGTAAAGACTGTTACTGAATCAAAGGGGTCAATGATTGTATTTGGAACCATGAGTTCTATGCAGAACCATTCATGCTTAAATGGTTCTTTGCATGGCAAAATGGTTCTTGAGATAGATGGAGAATGTGTTGTACATGGTTCTATAAAGCACCAAAAAGGGTTCCACTATTTTTAAAACAGAACAATAGAATAAACTATGAAAGGCACTAAAGAACCCTTGAAGAACCATCTTTTTTTCTCCTTTCAGAAGTTGGGAAACTGACCTTATGTGTAGCTGTCCTGTCCCTAAAGCAAACAGCAACTTTTTTTCTGATCATTCACTCACATCTTCTTGTACTTTAATTACCAGTATGTTTTACCAATAAAACAAAGTTTTAAAACCAAACCTTCAACATAAGTCAACTTCAGGCAACATCAGGCATTCAACATATGTTAGTACAGCTGGTCCAAAATGACTCATAAAGAAGAAAGTTTTGTCCAGAAGGGAAGAATAAGCTGCAATTTATTAGAGGGCTGCCATTTGGAAAAGACTTAACCACTTTCCAAAATGCACAACCTGGTAAAGCAAGCACAAAAATGTGAAGAAGGAAATCTGGTCTAATGAGCTTAATGATCTTTTACTCCTTCCATATCTAGATAGGTTTTACATAGTGCCTATTTCAATTGATTACATACAATGTTAATACTGTTCCTTTTGAAGAACATTCCAGCTAAATTTCCCACTAGACGGTGTTTAAAAATAATTAAATCCCAACAACAAGTAAAGCAGAAAAGGCAAGTGCACTTCTGTCTGTTACAGCATTCATACATGTCTACAGCTTAAAGCCGTTTTGTCCACCTTTTATTATAATGAAATATGAAACTTCACCAGATTAGACTGACTGTGCTGTGTAAATATCTACACCAGCTTCTAGAGTAAAAACAAGAATTCTGAAGTGCAGGAAATGTCAACCAGTTCACAAACATTTTTTTGACAGAGAAAGCAAAGCGGCAGCCTTTCACTCACACACCAAGTTCACTGATGTTTTGATGCCCCCTAGTGGCAGTATAAGCTACTGCACCTTAGTTTCAAAGATTAGTGAAGCGTGTAACAGCACCTTTTCCTACTTAAGTGCAACATTTCTATTAAAGCTATGTTGTGTTTATAATCCAAAGCAATTTTGCTTTTAAGCACCGACCATTTGTGTTGTCCTATTGTAAACCAAATGAAAAGCACCAAGACACTGATGTTTATTGTTTTACAGTAAAAAACGAAAACAAAAAACAAGATTTTATTAAAGAAGCATAAAAAATAAAACTCTTGATACATTTCTTATAACCGTCAAGTCAGTTCAAATCATACGAGTATACAATTGTTCCAACTCACGGCTAAAAGGTCCATAAACTTTCAAATAAAATATATTTCAATTTTAAATTTCTTCAATAATTTTCTCCTTTTGTTATAAATTGCCTATATGTTGTACACAGGAAACAGAAATATGGAAAATAAAGATAAATTTGCAGTAATAAAAGGGTCACATTATAATCTGGGATATTTATGTCAAGGTAAGCAAATAAATTGTAAAAATAAAATGTGTAAAAAGTTTTTTTTGTCGATTTTTTTCTTTAGAAAATTATTAGCTAACGCCTGATGGCTTCAAGACATGCAGATAGTTAACTTACAAATAATGATACATGTTTTTAAAAACTACATTAACCTTATCAGTTTTGTACTTCTGGAAAACAAATCCCAATGATTGTAATTCAGGGTATTTACAGGTAGGTCTGAAACCTTGTTATTGAAACGACTTTTGGTTCCGCATACAAAAAAAAGCAAAAAAAATAAAAATAAAAATAAAAATAAAATAAAACTATAAAGGAGAGCAGAGTTAGAGGGCTAAGTGATTCATGGGAACACGGCAGTTGATGCCATTCCGATGTAAGACTGTGCCCAAGATCCATCTCCCCTCAGAACAACTTCTGTAAACCCTGTTTTTAAACCTTGGAGGGGAATGGGGGGAGGGGGGAGTTACAGATTGAAACAATTCCATCTCCAAGTTTCTGTGCTGTCGGTGTGTCCAGGTTTGGAGTGACGGATTGTGGAGGAAAGCTGTATCCTCTAGGCTGATTTCTGAGGTTTCTGAGAAGTGCCCGGAACACAAACAACACAGAATCGGAGGCACCTTTACAGTACGCTACTGACTCGGAGCTAATTTTGTACCTTTAATCCGTTTTCCTACTGTACACAACCAGAAACGAACTCTTGGTTTCAGTATTGAACACGTTTCTTAAAACTAATCTTACTAAAAACACCAAAACTTCAGCGGATAGATTCCCAAGACTTGAACTCACGAACTCACTTGTTTTAGAAGGAAAAAAAAAGAGAGAAAAAGTTGTCAAGGAGGGTTCAGACGCCATGTCGGACTCTGAACAAATACTTTTAAGAGTTTTCATCCTCATCGCATTATTGAAATCGTTCTGCATTTGAAGTAACAGCAGAAAACAAAACACCAAAGAACTGGTTGAGTATTTGTCCCTGTTACAGTTCAGCTACAGGCAATGGGGTAACAGGAACCAACACAGAATAACGTGTCTGCTTCTAAAACAGACCAGTCGTCAGGAGTGATCTGCACCACCAAGGCACCGTCAACTGGTCTTGACCGGAACAACCTAATTACTTAGCAATACTCATCTGTGAATGAAGCGAAAACACAGTCCTCAAAAGACACAGACTAAGAAACATGGACCAGACTGATGAGGCTTGCTTAACTTCCTACACTCCAAGTTAGTCTTGAAAGTCCTTGGACAACACAGATACAAACTTGGCAAAACCAGAAACAATTGAAAAAAGGTGCCTCTGACCTAAACTTCAGCCTTTAAATGCAGTTTTAAAGTCTCTATCTTGGTTCAGTTCTAAGCCAGGATACCAGGAAGATTGCAGCTGCTCCGACCCCTAAAAGCCTACAACCTACTGCTGCAGCTCTTGGACATGTCAGCACAAAAAGTGTATGGAAGCCCTGGGTGATATAGCTGCCAGGTTCTGATTGGGAATTTTTCCTGGTTATTGTTAACTGAATGAGACCTGAATTGCAGTGCAGTCACAGGAAGCCCTTTAAAAATGGTATGATGTCATGGCTTGTCGCGTAAAAATAATTCCGAACTTTTCCAAGGGCTACCGACTTGATTCGCCATTTCATCGGACCAAAAGCTGTACATCGGAGCACAAAAATACATTAAGAGGTGATATATCGTCACTGTCAGAGCAAAACCTCGTGTCTGCGAAAGGTCTGTCGTTTCTTCTGAAAAGAATTCTTAACTTTGACGTGATGAGACAGTAATTAGGGATGACTTGTATTGGCCAATTCATCATTAAAACCTCATACAATGTAAACGGCACCTGAAAAATCGGAAACAATATTAGTTACGAGGTTTTGATATGACAGCAATGATGAAACATATGGGAGGAGATCTCCATACTAATAGTGCGGAGGACAGCACTGCTCTATAGCCAGGTTGAACTATGGGGCGTCCATCCTCAAAGAGTAAGTAAGAGCAAGAGCATATAAGCTCACAAACTGAAGGGGCGGAAGACCGGCGTTTTTCTCCATTTTGGCCCAATAGATCCACTGTGGCCCCAGCAGGAGATTTAAAGAAAAGAAAAAAAAAGAACATTGCAATGTGTCGCAGTGCACAAAGTGGGATGACTCCACAACAGTCCTCTAAATTACACGTCCCACCCTTCTCCTCTTCTTCCTCCTCCACACACACACGCGCGCTCTCACTCTCACACATACCTCCACAGTAAGGAGAAACATTCTTGCAAAGTTACAAAGACCTATCTATCCTATAATTCAGTAAATTCAATGAACATCGTGGTTGGTGGAGAAGAGGCTACGTCTGTCCAACTCTGCAGCAACAACCAGGACAGCTAATGTTTAAAAGAATCTCTCTAAGAACAATAAAAATTGTAACAGATAAGGTATTCTGTGGACTAAAAGGCGACTCCAGACTGAGCGATGTCTGTGGTGGTGTTTTAAAATGTTAGTTTTGGCGCCCCCTTGAGTCAGAGCACAAAACTAGAATTAACAAATCTGACCTTTTTTGATCGTAGTAGCAAATACAAGAGTGTCTGTGGTAATGAAGTGTATTTGACCGGTCTGCCCTATGCTAGAAGACACACAGGCCACAGAGCTCACAATTAGCCATAGAGGGGTTAACAGCGCCCTCCACTGGACTGGAGTATGAGTGTTTTAAGGTTGCAAGGCTAGAGAGACAAAAGACAAGAGACAGTCGGAACACCAACCTCTCAGCACTGTAAGGATATTTCTTATGCAACGTTAACTATTCTACCTACCTACTTATCTTTATATTGAACATTAACCATTATGTTGGATATCAACTCTTAACTTGAATAAATATTAAGTGTTTCATTCTTCATTGATAATCATAAAAAAAAAATTCTGTAATATTTTGGTCTGACGGGTATGCAGGCTCCACAGTCTTGCGTTTTTCCAAGCTCACCGTTACAGGCTCGTTGTCATAGTGTTGCCGCTCACTTCAACAGCAAACGCAAACACGCGGGATTATAAACAAAGCGCATTCCCGTCCCTCTGAAAAAATTTCAAAATGAACCATTAGAAAAAAGTGCAGACCTATGCAGCTTAAATCGAAAAATATCTGCAAGTAGAAAAAAGTCTCAAGCAAAAAAATAATAACCTGTGGTCAGGCTGAGCTCAGAAGCAAAAATGAAGGGGGGGAGGGGAATGTATAATACATGGACAGACTCATCGGCGTTAGATAAAATTAATGCCTAAAGAAAGATAAGACACTGGTATCCATCCTCCTCGTCCACAATGAAATTTCAGTCCCGAAAAAAAAATAAACCCACACAACCTGCTGATTCCACAGCCTGGGACAAGTACATGAGTCAGTAAATTATATTGTCATTATCATAGTTATTATTATTAATATTAATAATAATAAATCAACATCAGAATAGTGTCATATTTAATATGGTACTTATTACTGTCAATCCTAAGTGTAGGCAGGTTGCAGATACACGTCCTCCTCTTTCCTTACAAGTTTTATTGTAGACTTTCTAAATAGTAGGACAGCTGGATGTTCTATAAGTTTTCAATGACAGCAACCCCCTCAACCCTCATCCGGTCTGACTGCGTGGCATTAAGAGAAGATACGAATGCATTGCGTGGCAGGGGTGTGGCACACGGGGCATTCAGGCTCTTGCGATTGGCATATCTGCCCAGCGCAGTCCATGCAGAACAGGTTGTGGCCGCAGGGCACCAGTGCCGCTGTCACCTCGCTTTCAAAGCACACGAAGCAGTCCCTGTTGCCGCCGGGTACCATGCCGGCCAGGCCACTGGCTTTCAGCCGGCCCAGGACGCCAGAGGCCACACCCACTCCGCTGCCACCGCCTTCAGAGTCGGTGGGGGAACCCCCAGGTAGGGAGGAGGCGGAACAAGAGGAGTAGCCAGTAGTGCTTCCGCCGCTGCTGCTGCTGCCTCCGGAGAAGGATGATCCAGTCTGGAGCCAGGAAAGCGTGCTGAGGGGGTCACTCTGCGCCCGGCGGGCCAGTGGGTGATCCAGGGCTGAGTCAGCAGGCAGGGTAGGCGAGAGGCGGGGTGTGATGTTGCCCCCGCTCAAGCCGCTGCTGTTGCGGCGGACTGCTTGTGGCTGCTTGCCACCATTCATGAAGGGTGCCCAGATGTTGGATCCACTGAATTCGAAGCTCAGGTCGTCTGAGGCTGTGGCCGGCAAGCTGGGGGCAGAGTCACTGCCAAAAGTGAAGCCTCCGCCACCGCTGCCTGTGCTGAAGGGGCTTGTGGGACTGCCGCTTTCAGTGGGCCGGCGGCTGGTTGGATAGGAGTCGGAGCTCAGGCCGCCGTTGTGGTATGAAGCAGAGGACAGCTTACGGGTGGAGTGGTGCATGGAGAGAGGAAGAGGAGGCGGAGGAGGAGGAGGTGGAGGAGGTTGGGTGGTGTGGCCATGGCCGCCGCTGCGGGACCATAAAGTACCACCAAGCCCCAGTGAACCCAGACCCTCCAGGCTGACGTCGGTGCCGTTACTATGGAAGTCGTTGTCACCCTGCAGGTCCACAAACGCGCCCGTGCGGAGAGTGATGTGCGTCTCGATCTCTTCCCGTGCTCTGTCTACGTTCTCCGGCATCCCCGTCACCTCAAAAACGGGGTCCTTCTCCCGACTCGGAGTCACAATGTACGTGTGCGTCTGCTGCTGGATGCGTTTGATTGTAGCTCCTTTAGGCCCCACCACCAGGCCTACCACCCGGTAAGGAACGCGCACTTGGATGGTGGTCTGGCCCGGCAGATGAGGGGGACCGGGGAGGGAACCCCCACCGCTGCCTCCGGCACCAGCTTTGCAGCGAGAAGCACGGATCATGGAGAAGTGCTCTGCGGCAGAGATTATCTCCCGTTTGGCCATTTCGACATCCTCACGCCGGCCAGTCACAATGAATACAGGGTCTTCTCCTCGGACGGGTGTCTTGATGTAAGTGTTGGTCTTTGCACGCAGGGCTTTGATCTTACAACCTGCAATTAAAAATAAATTCCAGACATTTAGCATATCATAGCATAAACTTACAAATTATAATAGTAGTAGTAATTGTAATACTGCTACGACTACCACTAACAACAATAACAATATTCAACAAAAATAACCAGTAAAAACAAGCAATGAGAACTATCTGTATAGTTTCGTAAACATGAATGCATTTCACAAGTGCTTCACAAAAAATTAAAGCAAACGATATACTAAAATCAAATTAGAAAAAAAGGATTTTAGGGTAGATAATAAAGGGAAAAAAAATTAAAAGGAAATTAAAAGAAAAAGCAAAGCTTAAAACAAACAAAATAATGGAGATAAAACAATCAAGGGAAAGCTAAAGCAAAAAATTGTTGTGCCATAAAACTGCCAACAGCGAGTGTCTAATGGATGAGAGTTTCAAGAGCACAAAATCAAAAGACTGCTCCATCACTCATGTTTACTTTAATATCCAACAAGCATATGAAAATGTGGTCATGAAAAACCATAAATGAATAAAAGGGTCTTATGAGCAAACACTTCACTTAAAAGCACAAGAAAACTGTTCAAGTAAAACATCTGTCTGCTATAAGGGCTTTGTCCTATACTGCCCCTGTGTAAAACGCGTGGAAGCTAGTCAATTACATAACAAAACGTATGTCTTGAGGACTGCAAGAGCAGGCCAAGGACTGTTTAACGACATATTTGGACATATGGATACATTTTCAAGAACAAACTACAAAGTGAAAGTGTTAAACAGCACGTTTTTATTGTTCTTGCTGTATATGCTAACGAGTATTTAGCATGCAAGCACTGTTACCCAACAGGGTGCTACTGTTTCTTTAAATACGGACGGCTTCCTGCACGCAGCCAATAGTGTGCGTGGTGCGTGATGTCATTGTCGGAGGCAGAAAGCATGGCATTTTCAAACAAAGAGAACAATGCAATAACCAGCGCTCAGATGATTTTTGCTCCACAACGCTTTCAGTCTGTCATCAGTACGGACAGCAACGTATAAAACAGCACGAAAATAAGCTTAAAATGTGTTTAATGCGGCTACTCCGTCAATCGCGCCGCAGAGACAGCAAACACCGCCCAGACCGTCCCGGTGCGCGCTCGGCCCTGCTCTGCGCACGCATTCCTGGTCCATTGTGAAAAATAAAGCGATAAACACAAACTCTTGGATGTTGACGGTCATAAAAATAAACCCTGTGAGAAGTCTAGTACGTGAACGTGGACTTGGGTCCGGCCCAACGGCATCGGTCGATACGGTTCTTTTGTTTGGGGCAGACTGCTAGACACGTCCAGACTACCCGACAATCTGCCGCTTTGTCTGACCCCCCTCCTCCCTCCTTAGCTCCCCTCCCCCTCCAAAGCTACTTCCATCTGCTGAAGAAGGGCTACCAGACAATCGGCCCGCTTGAGAGATCTTTTTCCTGATGTTTTGTACCGCCAAATAGCTGCTGCTTCCTGGGCAAAACATGCAGCATGCTAACGTTAAGGTTACTCCTCCACAGCCACAGCGCACCAACCTGAGAACAGCTAACTAGCCAAGCAGCTATAACTTCCCTCAGCTCTGCCAGACAGACAAAGAGAATTTTAAGAGGCTCACAAACTGGTCGGCACGTCCCCGTTGTTTACTTTTGTAAACACTGACGCACATGAATGATAAGTAAACATGCGTAAATATCAGCGTTACCTTGCCGTCCTACGATTTCTGCAACGTGCTCCGAGCTGGGGACAGGCACACACTCGGTCATGTTGACGCTCCTCTTTCGGCTACACAGCACCGAGCTCTGTTCGCCAAGTACCGCGTGAGAGTGAGAGTGCGGGCCGCCTATGTGGTAGCCGCCCGGGCCATAGTACTCCGGAGACGGGGAGCACGAGGTGGGTGACTCGCGAGATCCGCCAGGGTGCTCCAGCATCTGGAGGTCGACGTAGCCTCCGCTACTACCACCGCTTCCTCCTCCTCCTACTCCTCCTCCACCGTTGCAGTTCTCGGACACGGTAGTTCCCGTTGTTCCGTCCAGCGGATCTACTTTGTCCAACCCCATGAGTGACAGCTGGTCCAGGGCGAAGCGGAGCGCTTCCTGGTGGTCCTCGTCCCGGGACTCCGGGTCCGTTTCCCTGGCCAGAGTGACCCCGTTCTGCTGGCCGCTCACTACCAAGTCGTGATCCATAATCTCAGGGTGGAACAGGGGGCTAGGCATAGTAACTCAGTCCCCGTGGATGACCATCAGACTCTGGAGTGGCTCTTGGGGCGGGAGCGGTTCTCTAAAAAAAAGGGGAAAAGGGGATTATTCAGGCGAACTGAAATATAAACCGCACAAATCCTAATGAAATGTCGCATACAAGCTGTCCCAATGTCTAGTTCATGTGTGAAGACCACATAAGCTCCCCTCCTCTCTCGCCTCGCCGCTTTGTCCTTATTGTTTCTTTCTCCTCGCCTGCCAGTTTTGTTAGCCGAGCAGCTAACGCGGCTACATAGCATCACAATTTGCTAGCTAGCATACTTGGTACAATGTTTTAACAATCAGCTCTCACTCTAACCCGCGTTAAATTACCAAACAGAGCCCTGACATTTACGAAAACAACTAACAGGATGAAGTAGAACGCGACTTGGGAAAGGTTACGGCCCAAAAACGAACATTTACAAGCAGAGAAAATTGTATTTTGTTGTTAGCAGACTAACGTTAGCCAGCTAGCAGAGGAAGGTAAGTCACGTTGTCGCCGCCTTTGTTTGTGGAGAACATCTACACAGCTAACTACACAGCCATGCAGCCACGCCGAACAAAGTTCAACAGTCGATAATAACATTTTCTAAAAGACGTAATTAAGCAGGTAAATGTGATTTACCTCTGGGCAGCCTCTTCCTCCTTTCTTTTGATTCAGACAAGGAACAAAAATGTGAAGCAGTTCGGGCTAAGGTTAGCGGAGTCCTGCTAATTTTGGGGGGCGTTGGAGAAAAGATTTAAAAACCATACGGAGTGGAGAAAAACCGGGAGTCGTCAGCTCGCGGAAAAAAATAAATTAAATTTAAAAATAATCTTCTCGCTATGACATCGCTCAGTGCATCCGTTCGCACAGTTCTTCACATTTCCATACGCGCAGAGCCCCACAAAAACAAAAACAGACACGCACCGAGCCCGTGTCTCGTCTCTCTCCCGTTTCTCCGCTCCGCCGTCTTTGTCTCGCCACGCGCACGCTCGCCGCTCTGCCCGTCTCTCGCGCACACGGCGCTGACGTCACCCGCGACACAACAATGGGTTCAAAGGCCACGCAATAGGCGCGCGGAGAGCCGGTGGCGCGCCTGCGCGTACCCGCGCACCGGTTATGACAAACCGGACACAATGCACTTTATTTACCAACATGTTCTGGACATTTGCGATGTTAACTGCAATTTCGTTTTATCTCATAAATGTTGAAGGAAATCTCGCATCGCTATGTGTAAAGTCTTCGCGGTTGTTACGTCAGCCGCTCAATTCAGAAGTTGTCAGAAAAGCACAGCAGATATTTCAACCATTTTAATGCCAAATGACGGCAAACCATACAATACTGCGCTGTACAATGAGAACTGTCCCAGTATGTTAGTTTCTTAGACTAACTCGCCTTTAAGTTCATAAACCCTGAACATTAGAAGCTTTATTGTCCAGCTCAGTTACACAGTGCACTTCCCCCCATACATTAAATTATAATTAATAAATTATAATCCTATATATAAAAATATAAATGGTAACTTCACAGGAGAAATAAAACAAAAAAAAAACGTAACAAGACTTCATTCATTTTGTCAGCTGGTATATTTCATTATTCATTTTGACATCTGGTACATTTTTGGATTACATATACAGTCCCATGCAAAAATGTTGAACACTTCTGGTCAAATTATGTTTTATTGATTTTCTAAGTCAAAATAAGTTAACATCCTCTACAGCAGGGGTGCTCAGTCCTGGTCCTGGAGATCTACCACCCTGGAAAGTTCAGATCCAACACACCTGCCTCTAATATTCAGATGCCTCTAAAAGCCTTCAGTACCTGGATGATGTGTGTTATTTTAGTGTTGTAGCTCAATTCTGCAGGGTTTTATGTTTTATTCCCCCCACCCCCCCAAAATTCTGCAAATACACAGTTACTGTGCATTAAAATGTGCAGTAGTATGTTCTCTGTAGAGGATGTGTTAACTTTTTTTCATCACAACATGTAATTTTAACCAGGGGTGCCCAAACATTTTAATCACTGAAGGAATAAAACTTTGTCTCCAAATTGTCTCCAATAGTTTCCAGAAAAATTGAGGGAAAAAAATCGTACATTATAGAAGTTACAGTTGTCTTTTTGTATATACATAAAAGGTTTTGTCTCAACAGCCGTAAATCTCATGCATGCAGCATAGCCCCTGGGGGGCGAGTGTGATTGTGAAGCGTCCTTGAGTTAGCACTGTCCTTGAAAACTATTGTGATGCGAAATGAGATGGTGGTTCCATCCCAATACACTTCCACTTGAGTCAAATCTCCATATTTCCATATCAGACTTACGTACTTGCAAGCATTCACAAGAAACCCCAGAAGCATTTGATCAAAGATGGAATTTTATTAATCAATTTATAAAATTAAGCCCACTTTGAGGGAATCTTCTCTCAAAGAAATTAGATCCAAGCACTCAAACTGCATAAAGTACAAAAAAGCCTGTGCCTCTATAGATTACATTTATTAAATGTGAGAAAACAATCAGGCAAATAACTGTCTTAGTAAAATAGAAAACTTCATCCAATATTTTTGCTGGCTTTGAGATCAAATTATTTGTAAAATAACCATATTTCTAAAGCAAATGTAAAAAATATATACTATATATTTAAAAATGTGAAGTTGTGTCATGAAAAACCTGCAGAACAGTCTACCTGGGTGCCTTCATTTTGAGTTGCATTAGTTAGACTTGATCAGGGTTCAGTTTTTGTTGTTCACATCCAGACAAATACAATGATATGGACAAAATGAAACCGTTCCTAGTTCAGCACGCTTAACTGAGCTTAATACATTTGGGCACCAAAGTGGACACTATTGTCAACATACAGTCCTTTGACATTTTTGACAAAGTGGTGCACTGATTAGCAGTGTTTTTAACCTCTGGTGGTCGATCATTTAAAGTGTAAATGTATAACCTGGCTGTTTCTCAAATAGCTTCTACCAATGCATATATTTACACTGGTCTGGCATTAAACTCACAAACAAGACAAAAAGCTTCTAAACTTGTGTAACACCACAACCTGCAAACAGAAACCCCACCCTTCAAAAAGCACCTTATTTATTTAGGAAAAAAATAAAGTGACCCCAAAGATTTAGCACCACCAGATGAGGTGTTTTCAGTAAATGTTATAACAGCCAACAATCTCTTCTCTAGAGTATCATTTATGGGCCAGTTCTCCAACAGATTAAGCCAAGCACTAGACTAAAAGGGTATTTTCAATGGGGACTCTCTACAGGTAATTAGTCTAAGACATAGTACTTAATCTCTGTCTAAACTGGCCTTTAATAGCTTAAGAGCTTACCACTGTTTTCTTGACCATGAATGTGAAAGCACAAGAGCTTATACACCAAAACATTATTTTATAATCCAAAGATCTGCTGTTTGGATTAAGGATTGCCTTGTTAAAGCGTTATTGATTTTAAGGCGATGATATTGCGTTAGATAAAGACACAGCTAAAGAATAAACCCTTTAGGAAAATGTGTTCGACACTGATTCACTAGAAGAATGAATAATCAGAGATGTAAGCGTATGGGAGGGCACAAATAATTATTTTCAATCCAAAGATTAAAAATAGATTTACAAACTATTTAGACTATCAATTTTCTTCACTTGTTGGACATTGAGAGCTTTTAAATAAAGAAAAATTTTGATGACAGCTTTTTGTGGCTTTCAAAATGACCAATGTAACATTCATTTCACAATTCTCTACAATTTGTAAATTCTTGTGACTCCACACAAAAACCTGCCAATCATGCCCCTGTAGTCATAATGTACAGAAAAAAAAGGTAAGCACCAATATTAACACCTTTGTTTTAAAGGATTTCAGTGTTTCACTGTCACATGCTCTTTGAGAATTCACTGAACGGTAGAAAATTCAACATTAATAATAGAATAAGGTTGGAACTGTTAAAGAAAAACACCATTTTCAGCCTAACCTTTAGCGTACACTCGATTACAACAGAGAGTAGTTTTGACAAGACTGTCTGTACTTAAAACAGAAAGCCCACTGACTCAAAACACACTTATAATGGAAGGCTTTGGACAGTCGGCAAATTCTGTAAATACATGTTTATGCAAAAATAGGGCTGTCAAAGTTGAAGTGTTAACAGCAAGTTAATGCAACAAATTAATAACAAATATTTAGCACTGTTAATGCATTTTCCTAGTTTAACTCTTCAAACCATCCACAGTAGTGCAGGGTGAAGCCCAGCTGCTTGTGCACTGTATGTTGCTATGATGGAATCCATGATTGTAGCCCTCTTGTTCAAAACCTTCAGTATGTTCAACAGACTCTATTAGACAGTGCTAATGTGTGACCTATGGACAAATCAATAAGCTGCAAACTAACAAAAGCAACAGTAATGTGGAAAACTACACCTCCCCTCGAGAGCCTCCACTGTAACGAGAGCGAGAGGCTATAATCGCAGCGGTGGAACCACTGACTGCATGTATACGATACAATGTATATAGTAATTGGAACATGTAGCCACTGTTGCTCTTACTGCACATCTGTGATGAAAATCAGATACTGCATTCAGCCTATAAAACTCATCATTTCAGTGGATGTAGTTTCAAATTTGAGTTATGTAGTTATATGTATGTATGTATGTATGTATGTATGTATGTATGTATGTATGTATGTATATATATGTCTCCCCTTCAGTGTTTCCCAAATATTTTTTTTCCCGCAAAAACACTTTTACGCAATTCGGAAACTGTCCAGTGGCTTCTATTAGAAGTGAGTTTTGAGTCATCAGGTTCTCCGTTATGCTATTTAAGTACAGTGAAATGCAGTGAAATTGTCCAACATAATCAAAAGTACAATACAGATGTAGCAGACAGGACTGTAAGTAGGACTTTAAGACTGTAACTCCCACAACGACTCTAACAATATTATTAGTTTGGGACTGTAGAGAACAGACAGCAGGGTTGCTTGTACTCCCCATCTAGAGTTGTCTGGAGAAGCACTCTCAACACTCAACTCCTGTAAAACTGCCCTTTAAAAACTGTGTGTATTGCCTGTAGCGAATGGTAAACTATGTATCTGTGAGAACATAAAGCACCATTCTCACATGTACAATTGGAGTATGGCAAGACACAAACACTTAAAATACACAGCAAATGAAAGTAAAAATACTATTAATTATAGCAAAGTTGAAAATTAGAAACTGTTCCTAGGAACTGCAAACGTAAAACATTAAGTTTCACGGTTAATTTAGAGGGGCACTGTAAAAACTGAAAAACTGAAAAAGTAGACATAGAAAAACAACAGAAAAAAATATTACTTTTACATCGAGGGACAGCATGAGCTATCAGGTCCTTTTTAACGGTGTGTGTCTGTATCCGCACAGCAGGGGAATTCTGTGGTCCACACTACTCCCTTCAGCATCACTGAACACAGAGGAATAGGTTATACATCGGACACGGGAATGAATGACACTTGAACAATCAACACACTGAACTGACCAATCCATGGGCTCTGTCCACAAATGCATTCTAGTGTAGCAACTGTTGCAAAGCTGATTTTTAATTGGCATGCATGTGGAAGCATGCCACTGTGGTCTCTTGGACTCCCGGTCACCTGTCATAATTGAAATTACGTCAGCATGTCACAAATGCACAATGGGTGTGTTTACACACAATTAATAATCCGATCATAATCAAATTTCTGCAGTTATCTGATTATTTCAAACGGTGATACTTCGATTTCTTAGATTGGAGTAAGGTCCAGAAATCCGATTAAGAAATCCAATAAAGAAAGCTGGATTTTAGCTCAGGACTTTTGACTGCATGTATACTATTACTCTGATTTCTTTAATCAGAGCACCCTGATCTTTAAGCACCCTGCGAGACAGCAACATAATATTTTTGGAGTGACGCTGAAACCAACTACATGCTTGATGAAATGAAGCCTTTAAATATTCTTTATCTTCTAGATGATGTATATTTACATTTTCAGGTAAAGTGACCCAATGTTTTTAAAACACAGCATGAAGTTTGGGTTTTACATTATGTTTATGTCACGTCTTCTTCGGGTTTACTGGCCATTAGCTGCGAAGCATAAATATAGTTACTGCCTGACTCATGTAGACCTTCTCCCTTAAAAATATTAAAATATTAAAAATATTAAATAAAAAAAGTCAAAAGAAAAGTCAGCATGCAGACACCATCTGTAATCTTAGTTTTTGAAATGACATAAAAGTTTACAAATGGCAAAAGGCAAAATTTAATTAAAAAAAAACAAAAAAACACTGCCTTGGAAGACCAACCATTCTGAAGACACCGGATTTTGCAGGCGCATAATGTACAACATATTGTAATAGTTTTGCAAATGTTTTCATTTATTGTCTGCTCAATTAAGTCCTATTGAAAGAACTAACTACATAAAAAAACAGCGATTTTTCTACATTAACTTTGAAGTGTTTTTCTTTACAATTCATTCAAAAGGGGTTTTCGGATTCGAGTCCTGATCTTAGCTTTTGGTTTCAGCCATAAATTTTCATTTCACTGCATCACTGATTAAAATACATGCAAAACCTAAGCTTTTAGATTGAAACTAAATTAACAATTAATTAACTGACAGTGGCTTCCACAAAATACTGTAAATGAGGGCTGTATCACAAACAGTTTTACATTTCTATAGGCTTTTTCCATGCATTTTTTTCGAAAATGTATTGACATTGTTACACCATTGCCTCACAACAGCTGCTACAAAACAATGCCTTTGTGGATGAAGCGTGGATAGATAGACAGTTTGACTTTAATAAACAGGATAAAGAGTTTAACTGTTTTAATAAACAGTTTCTCATAGCTGACTAAAATCTGATTATGAATGCTGTATTAATTTGCTGATATACATAATATTTGAAAGGACAACACAAGCAGCAGGTTTCTTGCAGTAATAACAATTGGGTAAAATGAGAGTTTGTAAGTACAAGAAATAAACACTTTGGAAATAAGTTATCCCTCTGAATATCTATAGAAGCACTTTTTTCTCTTACCATGGCTATACAGTCTCTGTCTCTTCTTTGCAGCTGGCCTCCTCTTTCAGAGACGCTGCATCAAGGGTGGCCTCTTCTACGTGAGCTAACATGTCTGCCATTAGAGCCTCCTCCAGCCGCTTCCTCACACTGTACACAAGGTCTTCCTGCTTCCTGTAGCACAAACAGAGGGTGCATTAGAAATGGCATACTGCTATACTACATACTGCACTAGCACAGGGTCCATACCGTGTACTGCATGCTACTTGTCATAGTAGTATATATTCAAGCATTTTTATTGACTTTGTGAATGTAAACAACATGCAACACATAGGATTGCACAATAAACAAGACCACACCTACGCAAAACACACATACAAAAGAAAAAAAGAGGAAGGAAAAAAAATAAATAAATAAAAAAATAAAATAAAACAGCGATTGTCCATGAATTAAAGACTAGATACATTGTTCTATTTACCAGTATCTCTAGCAGAAAACTCAGAGTTAAAGTAGTTTAAAAATGGTTGCCAAACCTTATGGAACATTTGGGTGGATCCCCTGGTTGAGTATTTTAACTTCGAGCTTTACATATGCCATCACCTCTCCCACCCATTGCACGTGCGTAGGGGGGGTAGCTGATTTCTAATTAGATAAAATAAGGCAACGAGCCAGTAAGGATGCAAAGGCTATGGCATCGGAATGGGCATCTGGCATCGCCGCCCCATCAGAGGCTCGTCATAGTAGTATAAAATACAGTTAAAGCCATGTGCCATACTACAGGGCAGGGGTGTGACTAGACTGCTAACATCCAGGACTGAGCCAATCAGAATCATCTCAAGACCCATTCTATTTGCTCAGCCTTCCAATCACTGCTTAGCAAATGATGCTAGCAGCTTTTTAGGCCAGGTTTTAGCAAGCTTTATGATGCTTTAAGCTTGATGTCAACTAATCGCTGATCATGCGATCGTCACACTAACAACGTGTGAGCCTTAGAGAAGACAACAGGTGAGGACCCGGTTATTTTGGGGTCCATATCTCTAGTTTCCTGAAGGCTGGCATTGTGATCCAGGAATCGCTGGAAAGGGCACATCTGTCTGTAGAGTTTGACTGACAGTGCTTCAAGGATCCTGAACATAGCTATCTCCAGTTTCCCGAAGACTACAATAAAAAGTCATGTGTTGTTGGAGAAGGGGCTTAATGCCCTATAATCCTGTAAAGTTTGAAGCAGTTACTCTTATTTTTGCCAAGTTACGGCACTGATAATTTCTCTGGCTCTCTGGATCTCCGCTGCGGGTGAGTGTCTCCAGGGTCTCGTATCTCCGGTTCCCAAAAGGCTATCAATGCGATCCAGGGCTCGTTGAAAAAAGGGCATATCACACTCTACTGACCTGGAGTTTGGCTTTGTGCAATATGTAGTATGCTATTTCAAACAAAGCCAGAGTGTTGCAACACCCCATCCTACCACAGCATGACAAGATGGGCACAGTGGTTCATATACTCTACAAGAAGGAGTAAAACATTGACAATGACAAACTGAGCAGTGTGCAAGAGGCAAAATACCAAGCTCAATTCAATTTCATTAAAGTACTTGTACAGTAGAATGTGTTCAAGGATTTATTTTATAGGAAATCTTTGGTGCCAAGAGAATGATGCCACATCTAATGCAAATCGACCATGTGACTTTAATATAACCATCATATACTGTTGAGTGAATGTAAAATACTCCAGGTTTTGTACAATCTGGGGCCTTTAAATCATCAGTTGCACACAGTAAAATCTGACAATATAATGGGCATACACAAACTTCAAACAAGTTAAACAGTTTAAAACTGTCTCTCCTCTCATCTCTCTCATTACCACTTTTCATGGAGACTGTTAATGATAAAAACTAGACATCCGAGTGCTTTCTTTCAGAGTAAATTGGGCAGAAACGGGGAGGGGCTTATGTTATGCATGCTCAAAAGACTGGGCTTTTTATAAATGATAGATTTTAATTTCTAGGGGTTGTGATCTTTGAGGTTTATTTTGTTCAAGGGCAGCTGGGCAGACACTGAAAACAACTGTATTTGAGAACTTATTTATTTGAGCCAAACTCGCAAAAGGTTTCGCATGTTAAAGTTCAAATCATCTAAACTGGTAGACAGAGTTTTCTGTTCACCGCCTACTTAACCATTTAAGAGTTAGTTATCGGTAACACTTTACATTAAGGGTCGCTAATCAATCGTTAAATATATAATAATCAACTATTAGTTTCCCATTATTTAGTTATTAGTTAACTCTTCATTAAGCATTAGCTATTACTTAGTAATTGATTAAGCACTTATCAATTAGTAATTAAGTACACTGTTAGTTGATAAGTTAGTTTGTCGTTAGTTTGTGGCTTACTTACTCGTTATCTGTGTGCTAATTGCTGCTTATTACATTGTTAATTAACTAATAAGTATTTTTCTTCATATAAAGAAGTAACGTGATAACTTACTAGCACCTATGTGTTAATCCCGCTAATTATCTGTTAATTAACTTGCTCATTAAAGATGCTTATGGTCACATCTGACCATAAGATGAGCGTACACAAATTCATGGACGGTTTTGTTATTCATCACGTTCATCTTGGCATATCTGTACTCATATCTGGTAGGAGTGCATGTAAATTTGGGCATAAATGCTGGATATGTGGCTAATTAACCAAAACTATTATCAACATAATCTGTAATTGCAAAAATAAGAACAACAATAGAAAATTTCAATAATACTAATTTGTGTGCATGACAGTCCAGTACAAAAGTGGATGTACTTACTTTACATGCACATTGATATAAACAAGTGCTGCAACTATTTCATGTTCCATTTAAAGACACATTACACTGTGCTTTTGTTGTCATACACTGCAATAATACAGCGTTTATTTTAGGGAATTAATTACACTAAACAATCACTCTACTATGTTAACAACACAGAGTATTTTGTTTTATTTCACATTTTATTTTTACCAGTTGTTGTCATTTTAATACTATTAAGTTTGGTCAGCAGGGGAGGAGTGCACTCACTGCTGGACATCAAACTCCACCCATGAGCACGGCCATTAGCTTTCATGCCAAACACTGCCGTTTTATTGGCTGGCTACTGAAACATCTGCATGAATTAGTGTGTGATTCATGTAAATGATATGTAAATGAGGTGCTGGTAGGCTGGTTTCATGCACTGAAGCTGATTTATCATTTATGCTCAAATCTCCACTTGTTTCCACATCGTACAAAATTGTTATGAATCAGACGCAGAGCAGTTCATACCTTATAAAAGGCAAAAAAACGTGTTCTTTTTTTACGTAACTTTGATGATTAACGGCCATAGGTTATAGGTGCTAGTAAGTTATCACGTTACTTCTTTATATGAAGAAAAATACTTATTAGTTAATTAACAATGTAATAAGCAGCAATTAGCACACAGATAACGAGTAAGTAAGCCACAAACTAACGACAAACTAACTTATCAACTAACAGTGTACTTAATTACTAATTGATAAGTGCTTAATCAATTACTAAGTAATAGCTAATGCTTAATGAAGAGTTAACTAATAACTAAATAATGGGAAATCCATACTTGCGCATCATATAACTATTTAGCACACAAAATATGAAATAATCAAACTGAATCTTGACCTCAGAATTTGAAATTATATTAAACATGCAAATGTGTATCATTACAACCCTAGTGGACCTAGGCCGTGTGCATGATGCAAAATTATTTACATACTAACACTAACATATGAACACAAGGCTCATACTTGGGCACTACTTATTTTTGCTGTATTGAAAAATATACCATATCAAATCAGATGTTGTGTTTTGTGTGTTGTTACACCCCCTAAGCCTAGGCAGAGTGCACGTATGTCTGAGTGGAATATCTGACAACCTGAAAAATGCTCAATTTTTTTAAAAAACGAAATGCTTTAGAAGTGCTTTACACTAAAATGGTACGTAATTAAGTTTGAATACTGTTTCAAAATGTTAATTGAAATTTTCCGAATGAGGCCTTAATTGGCTCATATGTCTTTTAGTTGGGTAGTAAGTGTAAACAGACAAATGCTTGAGGATCAGAAATGCAGTCAGGGTACATTAAGCTTGTGCATGAAAGAGTATTCTGTGACCAATCAAAGGACAACCAATGGCTCATGAGCTTGATGAATGCTTCTCTTTCATTGATTTGATAAATCAGACATAGCGTGGTCCACATGCTATTCAGGATACTTCAATCAGACACACTTACACATACACTTGTTTCCTTATAACTGATAAATAAGATAATAAATAACTTTGAATGAATAATGGGTAGTGAGTGGAGACAGATGGAACTCTTGGAGGATTCACACTGGGAGACGTAGTGTTATTTTGTGCTAATGTACCTGATGTCCTCATCAGTGACTGTAAAAGCCTTGCAGAGAGGCTGTGTGGTGTTGAGCCAAACTCCAGGGTTCTTCTCCACTGCAGCAGATAGCTGGCCTGTGATGGGGGCAGAGGTGGTGTGCAGGGCACTGGCAATGGCAGACAGCAGAGTTTTATCCGTGTAGCCTGGGCCAACCCCTGCAGTGGAGGACACTTTCAAACATTACACAATTTAAAAACAGAAATGAGACAATTCAGGTCACTATAAAGCACCTAATTTGATTTCTTTCTTAAATAGTTATTTATCAGTGTTACAACCAGAAAATTGCAAAGTAATGCGAAAGCAGCATATCGCTGTTGTCGGAACAAAACCTTGTATCTCCAATCTCTAATGGAAGGCAATGGAACCACACTTTTTCCAAGTAATTCTGGGCTGTTTCTTTTGGCCCATTCGTCATGAAATTTACACACAATGTAAAGGGCAACAGACATTTTCAAATCGTCAAAAACTGAAAAACAAGGTTATGTTCCAACAGCAGCAATATGGACAAGTTTGGACATCTACTAGAGGAACAATGCAGCTTAAATGATCCATATCATGGTGTACAGAATTTTCCTTTTTACTTTTTGGATGTTAGAAATAGATTGAAAGACAATATGTTTTAGGCTGGAAAATGGCCACATAAAAATGAATGACGACAGGTTTTGGGTACATAAAACCCCACAGCCGAGAGAAGAAAAATGTCTTACTACCCACAAGCAATATAAATGAACATTCTAAGCTGTAGCATGTATGTGTGCTTGAAGAAATCTTGGTTTTATCCCTGATCAGATGTTGGATGTATGCATTCAGATTTCCTTCACTTTTCCACACAGCTACTCACCTTGTAGGCCTTTGGGAAGATCCATCGTCTTCATTAACTCTTCAGCTATATCATACGCATTCAGTCCACTAAGCTTCTTCTCCCAGAACAGCTGAGGAGAAACATTCAACAGATTAGATGCCACTGCTCAGGTTTGAAGATTGTCCATACCTTATAAACACAGATTAACTCAAACAATAATCAGGCATAGTAGCAACCAGTACAACTGGCCCCATTAAAACCTGGCACCTGGAGTAATCCAATCATAAAAGTACAGGTGTGAATGGGATACAATGCCTCTCAAAATCGCACTCTGATCTGACCACTCAAACCACATCTAGAGATGATCAGAACATGTGTAGTTTGAACACTAATGCACCCCAGTGCATCCCTTAAAACAACAAAGGACCATCATAATCAAATGCATCATCACTGCAGCGATAAAAACAGCAGCACAGCTTTTTTATTAATCTTCTCTCCTGTTTGTTTAAGTTGCATCAGCAGTCCATGCAATCTAAACATTACAGTCCATACATTTACATGAATAAATACTCATAGAATATTTCTGTCTGATAATAAACCTAAGAGTAAGTAAATGTAGGCAGTACCCTTCCTCCAGTCTTATCTTATCGTAAGTCATCACCGGAGATGCATTTGAGACACCTGAAAATGCCAGCATTAAGCAACTATACGTCTTGCTGCCCACTCACGATCACATCATTTGACACAGATATTAATACCAGGTATGCACAGGGCCTAATATGAGCAGTTACTAATCAGCAGTGCATTTCTTATTCAAACATGCATTCAGACTCATAGAATATATGATTTATGTGATGCTGACAAAGTCAGTTTTGTGCACCAGCCCCACTACAGAATGGCTAAAGGTACCATCAGTGAAACTATAACCAAAGCTTTCAGACTCAGTTTAGTTCCCAGTGAAACAGTAAATTCCACCCCGGTTGAACCTAAAGGCTGTTTGGTTACCTGTCTCGGCTGATCCACGGCCTTCTGAGGGTCTGACTTCACTTTGTTGTTGGGATGGTTTGTGACCTTGGTAACAGGCTGTTTGAAGATAGAGGCTGTCTGTCGCACTGGTAGAGAGGTGTTCAGATCAGGCTTACCCTTAAAAACAAATAAAAAAAAATAAAATAGATAATGTACACAGAAAGTGCTGTGCAACATTATAAAAACTATGAGTGGGTAGTAAGCATTTATAAAATAAATGCAAAAAAAAACAACAAAAAAAAACAAAACAAAAAAAGCAAACAAACAATATTCTCAAAGAAAGTTCAGTATGTAGTATCCAATACCAGGTTTATCTAACCAAATATGCATTCTTCTAACTGTATTCTACTTACAAATAAACACACATGCAAACATAGAAATGAAATTCCTGTTTCATTTTTTTTTTGTACATTGTCTCATATGTTTCTACTGGCAAAAACACTGCTGAGATCAATAGTTTACTGGGTTACAATTTTCTTAGATGATCTATACTTCTTTTATAGTACACGACTTCAGTACTTAATGTAACTCTATGCAACACCAACAACAACTGCATTTCCAGCATTATTTTAAGAGAGAATTTTAATCTATTAATGCTAAGCTTATGAACCAGCAGTGTAGCACACTACCTTCAGTGATCAAATCTTAAGCGTGAAAAAATGAGATATTTTGCTCTTAGGGAAAAAAACAAAAGCTTAATTTACAGAAAAAAATACTGATCAGAAAAATCACAAGTAGATATTTTGCCTGATCAGTCCTAATCAAGGGTGTCGAAATCTGTGTGTGTTGTATGTTTCAAATCCTAAATTCCAATCCCAATCCTGGGAATTTCATGTTGATGTCCAGTCGTTTCCACATACAGGTTTGCAATTCAACAAAGCACATATGATTAGCCATTTGAAAACTGGGATTAACTGATTAAATAAGTGTAACCACAGCCTTCTGCTTGTTTGGTATTTAAACCTGCAACTGATAATGATAATACTTCATTGTTATTGTGATACATTTTATCATCACGATACACAATATGCTTTTCTAGGTACACTGTTCTATTTTTAATGAAATTTAAATACAATGATTTCTGTTAAATTGGATTCAATGGAGTGCACTATGTGAAATGTATAAATACCACTGTGTCAAGAGTTTTATATGGCTGTTTTTAAATGTGGCTCTACTAGTGCATGTCTGGGAGTCAAAATCATGATATACAGTGTGTACTGTGAAAATATCTTTAAGTATTGTAAAACGATATTTTTGCCATATTACCCACTCCTACCTGCAGCCACACCGGTCCTTTTTTTGTGTCCCTACTCCAACACACCTGATCCAACAGTCAGAGAGCTTGTTAACTAATTAAACAGTTGAATCAGGCCTGCTAGATGACAGAAAACGCAAAAAATGTGCATAGCGTAGGGTCACCAGGACTGTGAAACCCCTATGATAAGCATGGTCACATTTCTATATTTCACAGGAAAATCCACTTAAACCGATTCTCCTATAGATGGATGTCCAGAGTAAATGGCATCTAGAAATTATGCAACTTCACACTTTTTCACAAGTCTGCAACCTACCCTGGTCTGACCGCTGTGGTCATAGCGCAGACGATGCCTGTTCTTGTTCAGTTTGCTCATTATCATTTTTCCTGTACGAAAATCAAAGGAGCTCAGGTCCATAGAGTTGCCCAGGTAACGGGCCAGTTGTGGCTTACTCCGAAATTTCTTTCCTGTAGGACTGTGGATACAAAATAAGGATGAAAGTTAAAAATTAGCCCTGTTACAAATGCCAGAATAATCAAATACAATAACCAGATCAGCAGAAATCCTCCCAAGTTTTACATGAGATACCAATATAACGTATCGATATTAGGTTTTGTTTTTTCTGTGTTAGATTAAACCAGAGAATCCACATTTCCTAAGGACAACAAGGAAATGAATTGCAATTAAACTATTAAATCTGACCTGAATGAGCAACCATGAAATGCAAACTGCAGTCTCTAAACAATCTGAAAGATGTGGATGATGTTCAGAATTATTTTATCCATCAGTTAGAATCAAAGTGGTGTTGGTAACTTTTTTAGAGCAACACAGCCGAGTGTCTAGACAATGGTGATAGAAGTACAATGATTTCAACAAGCATCAAAAGATCTGAAAGATTTGTTCACAACAGTATAACAAAACTTTAAACTACAGCCTACACACTCCTCTGGTCATTCACTATCTTTTGTGGAAACCACCCTCAATGATTGATTATTTATTTTGCTATTGTTTATGGTTCAGTTCTACTGTTTTATAAAAGCAGTTTTTGCAAGAACTCTTTTATTGAGCCCAACAAATCTGTGTAGTACATAATTAAAAACGTGCAGATCTAAATCTGTAACTATTTGGACAAACATTGAAAATTTAATCTTCGCCTCAGAATCAAAAATCGTACTGAACATGAAAATGTGTATTGTTACAACCCACGGCGTGATAAAATGACACAGTAAAACATAATTATTATTTTGGTTTAGTGATTAGATAAAATTACTAATACAACACTAGCAATGCTTATTATCTCTTCTATAACCCTTAGTTACTGAGGTAAATTTAGTTAAGATCAGCTCATTTGTGGTTTATCAGTTCAGCCCACAGCCATGAATGCTAACAGAACAGCAAACATTTAACAGTTATTAAGAGTCCTCAGAAAATAGTGATTCTAGTCTTATGCAAGTCATTTATTTGTTATTGTACAAAAGAGTTCATTTAATTTAACTGACTTGTTTTAATTGATGCCAATACTTAACACCACAAGAGTAGAATTTGACTGTTAAGTCAATCTAACTATTTTAAGAGTAAGCAAAACTTCAAAAAGTAGAGTATTACCAGCTCAGTGGAAACCACATACTATGATTGGGCTGTTGGAGTTAACCTTACTTGCTGCAGAAGTGCGAATCACTGAAACTTACCAAGCAACTGTAACGTTATATATGACGTTATTTAAGCTTGAACCTGTTAAGTAACTTTACTTCTTTTTTCGCGGCAATAAATTTGCATAATATTTTTAAAGCCAACTAACTTGTTTACAGTGCAGGACGAGCAGTTATTTTAGAGTTGAGTTCATGCAAAATGAAATCCCCTCTTCAGCTACTAAACGCCGTGTAAGTGCACTCTCAAAAAGCACTTCGCCTCAACTTGACTTGTTGCCTCGTGCAAGCCAATATCTGTCTACTCAATTGGCACATCTGATCGCAAATGAATACAGCGGGCTAACTAGCCAAGTTAATCCAATAAAGTTTAAAAACAACTTTCTACCTGGGTAAGTGTGCATTAAACTATCAAAGCTGTTAAAGTAGCCAGAGAGCTGCCGAAACTGGACCCCAAACAAAGCTAGCTGGCTACAATAACAAGTTAACAGTTACCTAGCTAGCAACGCTGCTAACAACACTGGGTAGCTTGGCAGCTAACCTAGCTAACCTAAGTTAGCTAAACAACCAGTCTGTAGCGATGTTCCTTCACCAGAGTTAGACTTGAGATGCGAGCCTGAAGTAGCGCGTTTTCGCTATTTAGAGGTGGTCTAAACGTAAACTAAATAGTAGCTAAGTAACTGTTACAATAGATTTATCGTAGTGCTGGGTAAGCCACATTAGCAACGTTATCCAGCTAGCTTAGCTAGCGTTATCCCCTGGCTAAACCAGCAGCAGTACCTAAAATAATAGACATCGCTTTTCCCCGCGGACAAGCCCGACTTTCTGGTCACTTCTTCCCTTTTCCAACCATTTGGGAGAGCCGAGCACTCCCACCTTTTCCTCTCCATGATTCTGTCCGCAGTAGGGCTCGCAGAACTACGCCGAAAATGAATAAATGTGAATATGATGCAGCCTCTATCCCACTTCTTTATCGCACGCCGCTCTTCTCACCTCATGACCTCCCCATCCACTCTTTATACTAGGAGTCGATTCTTAAGAACCGTTGAATTATGACTCGGTTCAGTTTAACCGACTCGTGTTTCAGTTCACTTCACTGAAACAGAATCACGCCATCAGTGAACCGCTTTTTTATAGGCTAGAAGTATTAACTTCTAACGCCTATATCTAAGATATAAACATTTGCTCATTATTAGGGCTCCACCCGCTTTCTTTACTACATGCCACTCTGTGAGACTCTATTGCACTTGACTCGCTTTATTCCGGGAGTCGATTCTTGATTCCCTGATTCGGCTTAGTACAATAGTAGAGAATCGGGGCCATGAGGACAGTGAACTGCTTCTTCAGGACGTCTTCAAGTTAGCACAAGAGAAACATTACTCGATACTTCTTCTCTGGTCATAAAAAGCCATACTAAACGCTTCCCTTTAATTTGACTGCTCAGTTTCCAAGAATCTGTTTTAGGATGAAGTGAAGCCCAAGCTTAAATGCAATTTCTTGTTATTAAATGTTTCCCAAACACGAGCAGACTTGTAGTATAGAGTAAGCAACTACGAAGTCGGCTCAAAGAATCGATTCTTGCACTTATGAATCTGAATCAACTGCATGTTTTCTCAAATGAATACTACTGGCTAGCTGTCTTAACAATCAACGTTATGTGTCATAATTTCGCGCACCCCTGCAAGTAACCTAGAAGGGGGTATCTAGTAGACGTGGGCGTTGTAATATCACAATACTTCAGCAAGTGTTTTATGATGCACGATGTGTCACGATATTTTTTTCTGACATTTGATAAGTTAGAAAAAAGTTGTGACACATTTTAAAAATAAGATAAAAAATATTAATCTTATTATTTGTATTCAACATTCAACAAAATCCACTAAAACATGACTAATTATGCTTTTTAATCATACATGCAAATGGGAGGTGGCTTTTAAGTACTGATATCCCTGATATTCATAGAAAAACTTACATAACAATAAATAATAATAAAATAAATAATAACAATAAATACCGTCATATTGCCCAGCTCTAGTGTCTAGTAGAATTGCTTTTTAAGAACACTCAGTGACACCGAATTAAGGTTTCTTTCACATTTTCTTTCTGGGAAAAAATGAATGGGATAACACAGCTTAGAACTTACTAACAACAACAGCATTTTGTGAACTGTGAATCACACATTGTGAAGAGTCTAGGTATGGTTTGTGAGATACTAGAACATATACTACTCTGCATTGTTGCACTGTTGCTGTAACTAAACTGACTTTTGTCTTATGACTGCTCTGCCAACTTTTTTGTTTAATGCATACTAAAATCAATATAAAAGCTTTGAGTACACTTGTAAGTATATGACAATGTTGGTAATGATACTTATATGTTCAGCAATTTATTTTTCATACGATTAACAACTGCAGTAAAAGTTTTGCTCTTTTTATTGACAAGCACCATCAGTCAACCCACATGTAGGAGACAGGAGGTGGGGAGTACAGAAAGAAACAAAAACCCAGAATAAAACAAATGCCTTGTTATACAGTCCATTGGTTTCAAATAGGAGTTTTACATAAGGACAATGTAACCGGGTCCTTTCAGACAGAAGCACAGTTCAGTTAATAATCAAAGCTTGATTATTCAGGGACTCTATTGGCATTTAAAGTCTTGCTTTCAGTTTATTCAGACTTATGTAGTCAGATTATAAATATGCAGCAGGTTCCATACAGGGTTGCTAAAAATAATTCATAGTTAAAGTTGTCCGTTATGGCAGAGGTACATCTGTATGGCGAGAACCAGCTTTGCTTTGCATTTATAACTGTTTTTTTTTTCCAAAAAAATAAATATACTGATCAGCAGTTAAACAGAAATTACACAAGATGGTTCATTAGTCCCTGTCATGCAGTGGAGCTGTGCCCATGTCCCTTCAGTTATTCCCAGTTAGGATGTTCACCTTGATCCAATCCAATCTCAGCAAACTGTCAGACCTAGTGAGGGAAAAAAGGCAGTACTACTGTCAGCTTCCATTTATTCTTGGGTCACACAGGACATAACAGACTGGAACACACACCGATTTGTGGCCCAATCACATTAGATTTATGTGACTATACAATTCCTTATATCATTGAATCCCTTGGCTTAAATAAAAGAAAATCCATCACAAATTTACAATTGCTTGCCACTGTGAGTTTCTAATGTTAACCAACTTCAATGTTTGCCAGGTTCTTGTTGAGAACTAGCAGCCAAGGTCAGTTATCACCACATGGACCTGTTACACAAATCAGTGTAGAATCTGTCCTGCATTAAAGAACAGAACAGAATGAGTCATTCACCGCTTCCATAACTGCATTTCCTTTTTGCTCCAACATAGCAAAACTCACAACTATATTTGTTAAAGGAGCAGTGTGTAATTTAGGGGGATCTATTAGCAGAAATTGAATATAGTACACAAAACCATGTTTTCATTAGTGTATAGTCGCCTGTAACTACGAATTGTTGTGTTTTCCTTATCTTAGGATGAGCCCCCCCATACCTACACAAGAGTGGGTCGTCTTCCAACATGTTGGGTCACCATGTTTCTACAGTAAGCCAGAACGAACAAACCAAACATTGACTCTAAAGAGTGCCTTTCATGTTTTTACGTTAGTGCTGGATAACACTGTAATTTGAGAAGTTTGAGAATCCAAATTTTGACAAATGGAGGATTATACTTATTATTTAGCAGTAGAAAATGCAAGGAAGGGCGAATGCTCATCGTCAAAGAAGCAGAAACAAGGATCTGGACCGGAGATGGCAGAAAACCTGACGTCCACTGTATGTTCTACTACACGCTTGGAAATGTAGGGGTAAGAGAGGGGTATTTAGATGGTTGCCATCTGCAGCTTCACTGCCAGATAAATATTACACACTGCTTCTCTAATAGGACAAAAGTTACATATTTAAGAACAGGCTCAATGCATAAGAGCATGATTTGAAACTTTCAACCAAGCTATAGATGGGGAGATAAATTAGTTCATTGTATAGCACAGCTTGTAAACATTTGTTTACCAAGACATTATACTCTATTGCAGCTTTATGACTGCCAGACTGCAGGCTCCGATCATATTTTGTAAGCACAAAGGTACCTTTAATTAAAACTATTCTGAGATCAAGAGAAAATAAGTCACATTTGAGAACACAGAATGGCATATATTGGATGCAAATCAGTGGATGTAGATTCAAAAACACTGTTTTCTGCAGCAGTGAGTGAGTGACCATTCAAATAACTGATTTCGCTTGACCTTAAATATGGGGTGAATTATCAGTCATAAAAAAGCTGGTCTCACCCCGAGGTTTAAGATGACATTAACTTGACTTGGAATTGAGTAAAGTGAACCTGATTGGTGGCATTAACCAAAAAGTCATAAAAACAAAGCTGCAATTGCCCAAATTGGGAGGATGCCCACTCAAGACACATTCTAAGGCATCTTCAGGTTGTGAAAGTTTATTGTATACGTAGGAATTACTGGCAGATTATTCCTGAGGCTGAGAAGCCATGAGAGGACCTATTATCGCTCTACATGGTCTGTAAGTGAGACCTAAAGTCACAGGGTACTGTGGGACAAAAAAGAGCCCTCGCAATAAAACATGATACATGCAATTTGGCTCATTTAGCATAAAGCAACACAAAACACTTACCATGAAGTTCACACATCTAGTCATCCTTCTTGAACTTTCCATTGATGTAGGGCACATAGTCCAGGATCAGTCTCCAGTCTGTGAAGTGGACGAGTGCAATGCCTCCAACTCCTCCCCATAAAGTCAGTGTGGGAACCCTAGAGGGCAGGTAAGTGATCAATGAGTTACATACAAGTGAATGGAAGTTTAAATCTAATGTCTTGAATGAAATATAATGCACTCTTAACAGGTGAAAGTTGAACAGGTTTTTAAAAAAAAAAAAAAATTCTGTCTTGAGGCAGCCACTCTGATCAAGAAAATCTTTCACAAAGCAGGATCTCTGTTAGTCAGACAACTTAGGCCAAAAATCAAACCTATTTAACAGAACAAAAGGTAAACAAACATTCCTTTTGGACAATCCTCACTTTTGGCTTTAGTGAGTCAGGCTTTCCTGGCGAATTCTGCCTAGTGAAAGACTAACCAGGTCAGCTGATAAACCACAGAACTAAAAAAGTTAGTGCTATAGAGTAACAATATTGTAGCAAACACTGAGCATTAAAATCACCTCCTTGTTTCTACACTCATTGCCCATTTTATCAGCTCCACTTACCATTCGGGTGCACTTTGTAGTTCTACAATTAGACTGTAGTCCATCTGTTTTTCTGCATACTTTGTTAGCCCCCTTTTACCCTGTTCTTCAATGGTCAGGATCCTCACAGGACGACCACAGAGCAGGCATTATTTGGGTGGTGGATAATTCTCAGCACTACAGTGACACTGAGGTGGTGGTGTGTGGTGTGCTGGTATGAGTGGATCCGACACAGCCGTGCTGCTGGAGTCTACTCACTGTCCACTCTATTAGACACTCCTACCTTGTTGATCCACCTTGTAGATGTAAAGTCAGAGACAGCAGCTCCTCTGTCACTGCACAGTTTGTGCTGGTGGTCACAAGACGCCGTTGGCTGGATATTTTTGGCTGGTGGACTATTCTCAGACACTGAAATGTTTTAAAACTACAGCAGCATTGCTATGTCTGATCCACTCGTACCAGCGTGACACCATCACATCAGTGTCACTGCAGTGCTGAGACTGATCCACCAGCCAAATACATGCTCTGTGCCAGTCTTGTTGGGGTTCTGACCACTGAAGAAGGGTTAAATTGGACTAACAAAGTATGAAGAAACAGATGGACTACAGTCTGCACTTGTACAACTACAAAGTGCTCCTCTATGGTAAGTGGAGCTGATAAAATGGACAAAGAGCGCACATACAATGTAGGTTGTTTCAATGTAATGGCTGACCAGTGTATTGTATCGCTGTATCGTGGCTAGCATTATTACAGAGAACAAATTCTATTTCTGAAATATTTTAATCCCTTCTTCAGCTTCTCACTATTGTCAGAAATCACTTTAAGCGCTGGCTCTACTGAATCAAGACACCGCCGAATCGACGTCTGAATGAACAGTTATAGCCCTAAAGTACGTCAACAATCTGAAACTGATTGTTTCCTTTTAACATACAACTACAGAGGTTTTTATTTTGGAGCGCGACCTTGCAGACTTCCCATGGCTGAAGTCGGCTTGTTATTCGATTTTTAGTTCCATTATAAATGTAAAAATGTAAAATATTTTGGGGGAAATATAACGGCAGCACCGTTTAAGGTGGAACGGAAAATTCTAGCTAATAAAAAGCTTAAACTTCGTACTGATTCAGACAATAACAGAGACCCAACAACACTCGCTGTTAAAGGCAATCTACGATGCCCAATTCGCTGCTTCAATAAAATTGCTTAAACAGTCTCAGGACCAGCACTGCATTTAATGCATGTTCTCCCCACGAATGTGAGGGAAAGTAATTTACGATCAGTTAACCGCAGTGAAATCGGCAGAGTCCGATACAAGACCCGAGCACACTGGCCAGCTAGCTAGTTAGCAAGTGCAAAGCAGCTGCATAGATAGGTCACCAAGGACAAAACCGTCTCCCTTCACGGAAAACGCTCCTATAACCAAACAAATACCGAACCCGTTATCACAAAAACCCTTACCACGCCCTTGCAATGGAGACATATTTCTGTCCTACTATTTTGGAGAGCATTCTGGTTCGAGTCTCTTCACCGCGACCTGTTAGAGGAAAGTCGGAAAAGAAATATGGCGCGCGATGGTGACGAGTAAATACACGCGACCTCAACAGGAAATATTAGTAGCGACAGACTTCAAAATAAAAGTGTAACGTAAAATAAAATAAAAATGTAAAATAAAACTGTAACAAAGTCGGTCCAAAAAGTACACAATTCAGAATTAGATTTTTAAAATATAACTAGAATAAAGTGTGGATAAAAATATGTTAATATTAAATATGCCATATCTTAAATATTAACATTTAATTTTTCAACACAATACTATTAAAGTACAATTTTCTAAAACAAAGGTTGTGCTGTACAGTGTCTCAATTGTTAGCGTTACCACTGCTATTTTAATTCTGGTTGGGAAAACTGAAATGAGCATTGTCTACATTGTCTATGTTATATGACTGGATTGCTTAATGAAGTGATGTTCATATAGTGTCCTGATCTGATGCTCTACCTAGAAGCTGATATTTTAATCCCAAGCTAACACGCTAGTCGCGATACAATAAGACACAATACAGTATTTGTCTGTCATTTTCTTTTTATTCTTTCTATTATTCTTTCAGAAGGCAGCTAGTGAAGGCGGTTTCAGATTATCATTTGAGCAGTTCCTTTGCAGACTTCAGCAGGTTTGCATCCAAAATGCCGTTAAACACAGCTGAGTTCATAATTCAATCAATGAACACATGCTCACTGACACCACTGTAAGAAAATACATATGAGAATATCATTAAACCTCAAGAACATCATTAAAGTTTACCAATGGTTTGTGTCCAAATACTTTTATAGGCCACCGAAAAGTAGATATAATAAAATAAAAATGTATAGTGTATAAATGTAAAATTATTTTGAATAATATTTTGAATTAATCATAAAGAAACAGAACTGGCAAATAATTTTTAATTCTGAATAGTCAATTAAATCTAATTAAATCGTTGTTCAAGTTCCTGCCAAGCTCCATACACTAAAGTCCCCAGGGGTCATAAGATAGCTTTATTAATAGCTGAGGTTTATCAATTACATAGATTAATTTTAATTATCAGAACAAATACGGAACAAAGAAACTCTGGGCTATTTTATGGTAACACAGACAGCACATTCATATCCCATTTCCCAAATGTTTTTTAAATGTAGAGACCAACCTGATTTAAGCTTTCATAAACTGCAACAGTAAGCTTAGACTGTACCAAGGACTGAGCATCCACACAACATATTTCAGCGGTAATCATTTCTTACCTTTGTGGTTTATGAAAGAAATTAAACCAAGTTATTCTCTACATAGAATCATGTGGGACATGGCATCTGAATGTGTTGTCTATGTCACCATAAAAAAATTTCCATGCTGTCTTTGTGGCCTAAATCCCCATAGTTATACTGTGCCAGGACATATCGGACTTCAGAATTAAGGCTCCCTCATGGAAGGTGGACTTTATTTTAGACACTTTTTAAAGTAGGGCCTTGTTTGAAGTTACTATACGAGGCCTGTAATAGCGCTGCCTTTCTCACAGTACATGTGCCAGAACCAAAACAAAGAACAAATACATGGCTTATGCAGTTTTGGAATGTTTTAATCTTATCTTGCATGCCTTATGATACAATATGTAGCAAAGTGCTACAATTATTTATACATGCTGGATTTGAAGCCTCAAGACCAGTTTGAGTCAGTGTTTATACCAAGAACAATCCAAGTTTGTCTACAGTATTGTGCAAAAGTCAGAGACCCCTTAAATTGCCACCTGCGGGCCCAAAGTTTTATTACACACTTCTATAGCCTAAGAATAGCTTAACCAGGCACTGAATAATAAGCTTTAGTATGTGGTGGGCCTGAGATTTTAAGGGGTTCATTTCCAGTCAAAATAGCCATTAAGTACAAGTTATTTTTTTTTCATAAGATATTTCTGATACAGAGAAATGGGAATATCATGCAAGACCTGGTAGACCACCAAATGTTCCCATGTGATGAACAGTAATTAAAGCTTTCATCTTTGAGACAGAGGAGAAAATCAGGCACCACTTCAGATCTGAAAATCCACAGGTGTTTCTGTCCATCCTTCCACTGTGAGAAGAACTCAGTGCTGAGTCTGAAGGGACAAGAAGACAGAAGACAAAATTTGCACATAAAATGAAACTGCTGATGTTCTAAGAATGGAGTGACCGCTCCAGAGTCCAGACATCAACATCACTGAATGTGTTTGGGATTACTTGGATCATGAAAAGCAGAAAACGTAGCAGACAACTTCTAAGACTTAACTTTGGAAGGGTGGAAAAATATCTCTGCAGATTTCTTTGAAAAACTGAAAGCCAATCTCCTGAAAAGAATGTAAGCTGTAATTAAGACAAAGCACGGACACATTAAATACTGAAAAAATGTTCTGTTTAGCTGTTGAGGATTCAGTGTAATTTTCTGTTAAATGTGGTCTCTGACTTACGCACAGTACTGTATGTTTGATAAATAATGAAAATGACCCTTATCCCTATGGCCAATTCTAAGCTTATGTGTATAGCTATGCGTTTATGTACAATCTTCTTATAGAGTGAGATCACAGCAATCTGTCATCTGTTTAAGTATCAATACAGTGAGACATTCAGTAACAACGTAAAGCCTCTCTTGCAGTGTGTTTTTTCTTTATTTGGGTACATAAGTAATAAAAAAGACAGACATTGAAAAAAGGTATACTTCTGTTATTAAAATGGCACATTTATTGCTACGTTATATACATAACAGTTCTGAATAGCTACTTTATATAAAAAATAGGAAAGTGGAGGCACTTTGGGGACAAAAGAAAACCTCCCCAATGTCTTGAGTCAGCAGATTCTGCAGATGAACGTGTCAAAAAAAAACCCCCAAAAAGACTGAAAGGGACCTCTTTTAACACCCAAGTAATGAGTTTTGTGCACTTGATTTCCCAAATAGGAACTCTACACAGAGTCAGTTTAAGAAGCCCAATCCTGGATGTATGAGGAAATGTAATCAGGGTTCTATGCAAGGTACTTGGCAAATTTAACCCCTTTTGTTTGCCTTGAACTGAATGAATTTTCACGATTGCAAAGCCGTGAATCCAGCTTTGAATAACCCTCTAGACAAAACTGCACATGTGGAGATTCTCGACTGCATTTTTTAGCCTAAACTAGGCTCAATCTGTCAGGAAACTGGCCCTAATTCTAACTCCTTCAGAGATGTTCATATTTCCACTCCTATAGAAATGGTGTGAATTTAGAGGAATGAGAGACCAATGAAAGATTATAAATTTTGTTTCAATACAGTCCATAGAAAGTAACTGCCTCAATTTGAGGCACCATACTACGGCTTTCGATTCAATTTAGAACACAGGAGCAACAAATTTACGATTCAAACCTGTGGAACACTTAATAATATTCCATATTAACAAGAATATCATTCCATATCAGAGTGGGCTTCCAGACTAATGAAAATACTGAACTGAACACTGTAATAAATCCAGAGATCACTCCATTTATCATCACTTTTGCTTAATAAGCCAATGATTGTGATTTTAGTTTCTCCTGTACACCATAAATGACAGATCGCTCTTTACCAAAGAAAATGTTTCAGGCCTTTCATGCCTGTTACACATGCTGGTGAATGCATCTTTGTGGCTGATGCTTTTAAAGTATCTGAGCCATGTTATCAAGATAAATACAGATACTGAAAGCACAGGAAACATACTTCATAACTGATCGGAATCAGCACTGTGCACCACTGAGCACATTAAAAACTAAACATGGAACGCGTTTACAAAGAAAGTACTTTTATTTGCTCGCAAGAGCAAAAGTTCATTTTAAGATACACTAAAAATTCCCATGCCCCTGTCTTCATGTGAATTTATAAAATATCCTCAAGTAAAGCCACCAAAAAACATGTGACATTTGAATGAAAACCTGACTTCAGGACTGAACTGAAAAATAAATGTGCAGGCACTAGTATGTTATCACTCCCCACGCATGACCCCGTTGGGTGCGGACAGTCAGTCAGGAGAATGAACAAGGCCACCCTCAACTCTCTCCCGCTAAGTTTCCTCCGTCACTATTTAGTTCTTTGTTAAACACAAACGACTACAACCCTTATCTTCGAGTTTTAAACAAATGGTTTGGTGAAAAATAATTTTTACATAATTTTCCATGTAACACAGAGGTACTCAAACAGCCAAGAAATATTTGGTGTCCCAATTTTGCTTTTTTAGTTTAGCACTGGAGCTACGAGGCTAACGTCGACAACAATCACCAGAAGTCAACTGACATAATATTATTCTGTGGTTGTGCCCAATTCCGCTCCACTTTATGTGCACATATCATGCAGACATGTGGATGCTAGATTAGAGTTGTCACATCTTTGGTCTCTCTCTCTCTCTCTCTCTCTCACACACACACACACACTTATATATATATATATATATATATATATAAATAAAAGCCTGTGTGACCAAGTCAAATTAAGATTGCAACTTATTGACAAACTTGTCAATAAGTTGCAATGTTAGATGCAGTTTGAGCAGGCTGAAAGAAATTTTGATGTTTTTACACAAAGATCTTGGTCACATTAGGAATGTTAGCCTTCCAGCTCCAGTGCTAAACCAAAGAACAAATTTGGACCCCACATGTCCTGTCATACTGACTACATCTGGGATAATCAGAAAATTGTGTACATTTGACTTTTCACTGAACCACTCCTTGCAGAGATTTTTTTTTTAACTGACTGAAGAACACTGCTGAAAGTGGTTGTTGAAATGAGGAATCAGTATCGTATTCCCTTTCAGTTGATGGACAACATGGCTTTTATGAATAGGTTTCATTATGGTGGTGCAACCACAATACTATAATCACTATTTGATTCTGAGGGCAATGAAACATTAAACAAACAAACAAACAAAAAAAAAAAAGCATAATTGCAGTGACCCAATCCCTCTAGACAACGGGAGCAATGATAATAGGGAATATTAATTTATGACAATGAATGAACAGGCATTTCTCAAGATACGATGGTTGGCTAAATCCTATTCCATTCCCATTCATTAAAACACCTTATCAAAATTGCAATATGAAACAATTAGAATTGTTCCTGGCATCCTTGAATGCTAGGATTTTTCGCATATTTTTTTAAAACATCAAAAAGTAAAAATAACATTTAAAAGAACTTTATAAAAAAAGGGAAACGAAATGTAAAGAGTCAACAGTTTAACAACAAGAGGATCTTCTCATGAAGACCTGACATAATTGTTCAAATAAGCCATTATCTATCTTTCTCTATTTCAAAGAAAAATATTGTCCAGAAGTGGCAGCAGATGCAGTTCATGGTTGACACTATCCAAGTCAACAAAACACACAAATACCCCTGACATGAGTTAAGCAATGTATCACTGACCAAAAAAACAAAAAAGAAAGAAAAAAAAGAATTAGTCTTTTACTGTACTTGTCCTATTTCATTTCAGGCTTCTAAAAACAATGCTTAAGCATAGATAGAGTAAATGTCCAAGGCATTTCTCTCAGACTTTAGAGCAGCAGGGAGAAGGATCCAGGGCAGAAAGACACAATATTGAAATGCTATGTCGCTGCAGGAGCATGTGGAAGCTTGAGAAGTTCCTTGGTTGAAGATGTTCTTGGATGAAGAGGTGTCAGTTGCTCCGTGCAGTCAAGAGGACAGCTTGTTCCTCTCTTAAAATGATCAAACTCAATCGCTAGCTAACATGTGCTAGTCCTATAAACACAAATAAAGAGTTGGTGTTGATGCTTTGGCTGGCATGGCAGATTATGAAAGGTTTCCAGTCAAGACAGTTTATACGAGCACAGATGCTCAACGTTAATGCAATAAACACAAGCAGAATTGAGGGGTTTATAACCTCCAGCTTTTCTTTTCACTTTTACTCTTGCTGAGACGTGACATGGTACAAAATAATGAGAGTCCATGTATTTAATAAAAAAAAAACAATTCTGTTCCCTCATTTGAGCCCTTGACTGCTCAAAAAGTTTGTGTGTGTGCGCTATGTAGTAGCACACTGTCCTCTTTTGAGGCCACCATCAGGCCTCTAATGATGTAGTTGGACATCCATATCAGTCTTTGCTGCAAATACTTGATATTAGTTGAAACTAGTAGAGGCTGGTGGATCAATGTTTTTTGACTCGACAAAGAAGGATGTGTGTTTTGTTTTTTTTCTCCTTATTAACATAGATGACAGCTGTTGAGTCTTGTGGGGAATGGCCATCTAGTTTTAGACTGAATTACATCAGTCCTGGTGAAACACACCATTGCTCCCAGAAATGTAAGCAAGAGGTGCCCATAAAAAAGAAGAAGAAGGGAAAAGACAAAAATGAGCATAAAGCAAATACCCTTGTTCTTTATGCTCTGAGAGTTCCTGTCTCTCTTTCTCAGCAGTGTTCTTCAGGATGCTTCAATGGTCCATGATGTGTGTGTTTAATGTGTGCGGTTGTGTGTCAGTTTTCACCAAATTGTGTGGTATTTGCACGAGTCATCTCTGTTCAAAAGGTTCTTATGCACAGTCACGATGCGAGAGTATGCACACTGAGACAGTACACAGAAGATTAAGGCCACATCTGAAAGCACTCTTTATGACTGGATCTGTGGAAAATGGAAAGGAAAAAAGTATTACAAAAGGCATGTGGAGGATGTCTGGAAGCAACAGTAACTTTGTAAAAATAAACCTGAATTTTCTAAATACATAAATAAACAACAATAAAAATGGATATGATTTAATAATAATAATAATAATAATAATAACAACAATAACAACAACAACAACAACACTAATAATAACAATAACAACAACAACAACAACAACAACAATAACAATAACAATAACAATAATAATAATAATAATATGATTTGACAAAATGTTTACACAATATACAACTAATTCATTCTTAATAAGTTTTGTATCTGGTGAGTCAGGTGAATTGGTTGTGTTAAATTCCTAGGGCTTGACCAAAACAGTTGCTGATTGTATTATTGTTGGCATTATTATCGTTACCAGCCAATAATACTGCAGATAATTTAGCACTTTTTTCTTTGGCTATGGCATCACCAGGATTCACAATCATAATTTCCTGATGGCAGGGCAAACTCTTAAGACAGTTATGCCACTGGGCACCAAACATGCCAAACATCATCATAGTATTAAACATGCCAAACATCATCATAGTATTACAAAAACACACAAAAACACAATGTATTCAACCTAACCTTTAGCATGAGAATAACTTTTATTATTATTAACAGAACTAAAAAAAATAAATAAAAGAAGAAGAAGAAGAAGAAGAAGAAAAAGCAGAAGCAGCAGAAGAAGAAGAAGAAGCCAAAAGTGCAAGGCATCTGAGCTCTGCCCCCAGGGCTACATGATATATTTTGAGACTGAGTTTCTGCTGTTCATTTGGGCAGGCAACTTCATAATTTCCATGGTTTTGGAGTGTCCAATAAAATGGATACGATGTAAAAGTGTCCACATACCTCTGGCCATATAGTGTTTGTTAGAGTACAACATTTTGTGTTCTGTAGATTGTTGGCAAATTGAATTATCTGTAAATTTTTTTTCTGAAACCTTCACTGAAAAAAGTCACTACTTTCATTCACACTTTTGGCCCGTAGTGTATGTACGGTTATATTTTCCATGCAGCACTCACATAAATATTACATATGACTGTGCCCGTCACCACCCAGCCCGGGGTGGCCTCCTCCCAGAGGCATCTGAGGATCTCCCCCGACACCTGTCACCTTTTCCTCCTCCCGTCTCTTTAGACACGCTGCCTTCGGGTTCAGGTTACGCTCTGTGGCGATCCGGGACAGAGAGAGACATGTTAGCAGAGATTACAGACTTGATTTTGTGCTTCACACTTCTCTTAACACTACAGCAGTGACAGCACCAACACTGAAGCACAGTGCAGACAAGGAGAGAAGAAAAAGCAGTTACATGGAGGATTTCACACAGCAACACAGAATGGCAGGAGGTGGATGTGATGTTTATTAGAGGACAAGAGGGAGAAGCTACAGAGTTCAGTTCAATAATGCTCATGACGCTAACAGTAAATGAAAGCGAATAGGCAGTAGTTAGCATCATGCATATTACATTATGCTAACACCATTCTAGCACCAGTTTCCATGTTGTTAGCTGTGACAACACGAATCATCAGGTCATTCCTTTAAGGCAGAAAAAGCTCAGGTTGAGAATGGCAGAGGTAAAGAGGACAGGTAGAGGAGATTTGATAAGCTCAGTCAAGGGCAAACAGAGAAGCTTCCAATGGCAGCAATGACTATGGAGCCAAGAATATAGCGTCTTTCCATCAAGAAGCTGGCCTTCCACCCCAACCCCATTCTCCAAGCACAGGCAGTAGGGAAATCCGCTTAAGGGGCAATCCTGGCTGTTGAAGCCCTACCTCGGACCTGCCTCTCCAGGCTCAGGATGACCTGCACAGCCTGCTGGAGGATGACGAGTTTGGTCTGGGCCTTGTCACTTTTCAGGTGCAGCTGGCACATGCGGCCCAGCTCCCGGAAGGCCTCGTTGATGTCCCGCACACGCACCCGTTCCCGCGCATTGTTGGCCAGGCGCCGCTCCCGGTCCCGCTGCTCCTTCTCCTCCACTGACAAGCACTCCTCCGACATGCTGCTGCCAGAGGCAACCGAGCGCGCATTAATGATCTCGTTAAGCAATCAACTTGCTGGTTAACCAGTTAATGCTTAATAAACTCACAGGACAAGTATTTTGGCATATTTGATGTCAAGCCTTTGTGCAAGCTGCTGAATGCTAATGCTAAATGAACTTGCAGGACACAGCCATAGCTAATGTCAAGCCTTTGTGTACTTTGCTGGGTGCCACATAATATGTTTTTATTTAAATGAGAGTTATGTCAACTAGTCAGTGAAATCATAGTCAAATCATCTACATATGAAAACAAGGAGCATTTTATAGCGGACAGAATGTGTACTTGGATAAGTGATTTCATACACTAAAGGTTACATGATTTGCCTGTCACTCTGTGACGGTCATCACGTTCTGCCGCATTATGGATATTCCTTGTCCACTAGGGAACATAGTTTTACCTACTGAGGTGCATTTTGAGGTTAAGCTAAGACTGGATATTCCCTATTACAAAATTAAGACAACCCACTTCCATAATGCACACAGCCCTTTCCCTTTTCTTTTGACAATAGCGAAGCTTCACAGTAATTGTGTTTGGGAGAGAGAACTCCAAAATTCCACAGTCTCAGGTGCCAGTCCTGAAGCTGGAAGAAGAGGGACTGAGTGGAGTGAAGGATTGAGTGGAGAAAAAGAGATGCCCAGAGGAAAACAAGAGTGGCTGACATGACTGAGCCTTTGCTGCTTTTTTTCTTCTTCAAGGAATAGTTCTTCTTTCTTCTTTCTTCTTTCCGTGGTACAAACATTCAAGGTGTCCACGACCACCCAAAGAGACAATCCGCTTTAAATACTGAATATTACGTACGCACTGAAAGTTCACTGAACGCCGTAAATATTTTGCAGTCAATCTGTTTTCTGTGAGGGGCCAGTGGGGAATGAGGGCCTGTGGGGGCTGCCAAGAAGCGAGGGGTGAGAAAAGAGGGATGGGTGAGTGAAAGAAAGAAAGACAGACAGAGAGAAAGAAGGTTTAAGAGAATAGAAGCGATGCACCGCCTGCCATGTGCTGTATGGACAACCACAAACTGCCAATGAGAAAGCTAAGGAGGATAGAGACTGGCATCTCATCTGAAACCCATCCCACTACACAGAGATGCGTTTATTAGTGATGAGACAGAGCCCACTGCTGCCATCTGCGAGGGGAAGGAAAAGGGTGAGGACAGAGGCACGGATAAGGATAACTAGAGGGGGAAAAGAAAAGAACGATGACCTGGCAAGAAAAAAGGGGCATGGTTAACCATGGCAGATTTGAACATGCAAAAAAACAAAGAAGCTGCAAACAGAAAATTTACAAAAGCAAGTTAATATAACCAACTGAGAGTGGAAAGCAGCAAACAAAAATGGACCAGCTGTTAACAAATGAACTCCTGTATGCTGCACGGTCAATTCATCTTAAGTGCCATGCTAGAATACAGCAGGGAAAGAGCAATAGAGAACAGGTCACAGAGTAGGTACTAAAACCTGCAGCTTAGTGAGGAGTTTAGACGTGAGATTTGTAATGGGTTATATTCAAAGCACCAACATTGAAAAGAGGTTATTTACTAGACTATATGTAGTAAAAGCAGAAATTTTTTTTATTTTTTTTCCCCAATAATCTAACAGGTTTTGCAGAAAGGGCATCTATAACAGAAGATTACCCCTTGAGTTGGGTTATTTTCTGAAAAGAACCTTCCAAGTCTTCAATAAAGTAAAAATAGAATGTTTAGCTTTTGGATTGATGTACAACCACTGTAAATACACAATGACATCTATTGTGTGGTCTAACCATTACAAGTCCATCAGAAATGAGAATTAAGCAAAATCAGCATTTCAAATAGGTATTCTGGTCCATTTTACTGTTATTAAATTCTGCATGCAGCAGTACTGCTCGTCCAATTATTACTGATAACATGGCTTCATATACAATCAGCACAAAACTCCGATATGAAGCCGGCACTGCTCCTGACAACCTATTAGGGGAAACCTGCGGAAGTCAACAACAAATGTGCTAAACTTGAAAACTGTAGCATCTGTAGCATCTTGCTGACCAATGACAGAATCAGAGTGGGTGAGCAGGAAAATGACCAGATGAGACAGGACAAGACTGCACTGGCAATGAAAGAAGTGAGTGGAGGACAAAACAGACAGGGGATTAACTAAACAGGCAAAGGACAGGTATGTGGCCATGCAGCACGCGCAGACATACATACATACACATATGTACAGATACTGCAGAAAGCCCCATGCCATTCTAATCAGCTACCAGCCCCACTCAGAGAAGGTAAAACAGGCTTGTGTACTTCCCCACCCCACCAATTAGCATTACACAAACTGCATACCTACATCACACTTGCCTCAAACCGCATCAAGGTGTTAAGGGGAAAAGAAAAGCTTGCTTATGTGGTTTCAGACAGTGTATGACATACTGTTAGCTACAAAAATGAACAAAACTACAGAAAAATTCAGGTAGCACAAAGGCTGCTGCAGCAATATGTATGAAAAAGTTTTCAGTTTTTAAAAATACCGTCATGCAGTGTCAGAAACTGCATAAGCAAGTCTATTTAAAATTTCTTAACAGTTCCATGTGGTTTAATGCAGGTGTCTGCTGATTTAGGCACGATGCATGTCCAACACTAATTAGTAGACGATAAGCTTCAATTACTAGTTAACTACATTCTCGTAGCTTCGTAGCTCCAGTGCAAAACTCATGAAGCTTTGGACACCAAACATGTCTTGGCTGATCTCTTACATTTGGGAGCAAAAGAAAACTTGCAAACTATTACTTCAATGCAATGTCATTTCACAAGCCAACTTTTCCCCACTATAAGCAGGACTGATAGCCCACCCCACAGTCACATCTCCACCGTGTGTAAATGCGTGGCAGCGTGCCACCTATCGTGAGTTTGCTCCCCCCATCCCACGAGGTCCAGAGCCCACTGACCTCGCACTTGCTGCTCCAGGTTGAGAATTACGCTAACAGCCTGGTGCAGGATGAGCAGCTTGGTCTGCGGTTTCTCATTGCTCAGGTGCAGCTGGCACATGCGGCCCAGCTCTTTGAAGGCCTCATTGATGTCACGCACGCGAAGGCGCTCTCTGGCATTATTGGCCATACGCCGCTCTTTCTCCCGCTCCACCTTCACCTCCACTGGCAGATCCTCGTCTTCATCAGAATGGAGACTTGGGGGCAAATTGGGGGATCAGAAGGGAGGGGTGAGAAGGGAGGGGTTACAGTCACAACAAAGGAAGTACGCTGGATATAGTGTGAGGAGCACTGAGGACGAGGCCGGAAGTGGGGGCTGCGAGTGACTGCAAGTGCACATAGTTATGGACGTATATGTTTGATTATATGCATACCCTCCGAAAAGCAGATTATGCCTTGGTTGTCTTAGTTTCTCCCTAATGCTTGTAGGGAGAGCCACTCTTAGCTTGTTCATTATGTGTCTGGACCTGCATTTCTGTAAAGCTGCTTAGGGACAATGACCACAGTAAAAAGTGCTATACAATTAAAATGAATTAGAGAAAAGAAAAAAAAAGAAAAGAATATTTTGACTTATGACTTGTTTTGCAGGCTGTGACTCCTAAGCAGTGTAACACTGTTTTGGACTGAGATAGACAAGCTATGTGTAGAACAGGGCTGAGTTCCACATACAGTGAAGAAATGGTAAGGGTTCCGGACAGTAATGATACAATAATTACAACATGCTAAGTTTCCTGCACTCAGCATAACGTGATACAAATGTTTTGTCTAACAAAGTACAACAAAAAAGTGGAAAAAATAGGCCTACTCCCCACTTTATGTTAAATGTTATAATCACAGCCTAACTATCCCACTTTTCGTGCCCAAAACCACACTAACACGCAAATTCACAGCCAGTGACCATTAACCCAAGCTGCAGGCTCCAAGTGTGTAACTCCTGCACAATGCCTTGGCATAAAAAAGCACACAATAATGTTGTGTGATCTGTCAAAGCTTGAGTGAGCATAGATACCTTGTCCGGTTTAACTTGTCTTTATCATCCTCCAGCTTGTCGCTGACTGAGCAGTTCTCATCATCCTCCTTCTCCTCCCTCTTGATGTCCGTGCTGGAGGAAAGAGAGGAGCGAGAGAGGCTTCCAGGCAAACCTGAGACACAAAAGGAACAAAAGAGGAGGTTTTAGAAAAGCCACACACTTCACAAGGCACTGCAACAAAAGGACCACTAAACTAGGCCTCTGCGATAAACCCAGAACAGTTATTATTAAAATCATATATTTCTTCAGCATCAATAATACACATTTAATTTATTTCAATGAAATAATTATACCAGTCTGTTCCTCAATTCGTTTTAGCAGCAAAGGCCTGAACTTACTACAATTGCTACTTTTGTACACTAGGTGGTGATGTGTACCTTTTCCTCATTAGACTGAGAGGGAGAAGAATATTAGCCATTCACTATAATAGCTTTAAGACCGTCTTTGCCTATTGCTTTCAAGGTTCAAAGTACTACGAAGGTTTATATATGAGCACTATGAAATGTATTTACTTGTCAATACAGTAATAAAATAAATGATAGGGGGATTTATATTGCGTTAAGGTTTTTTGGGCATCATCCTAAACAGCAAACTGACTGCAGCTAGTATTTCAAATTGCTGTTGAACTACATGAGCTTGTGACTCACTGGTGAAGGCCTCAGGCTGGGAGCTGGCAGGGGCTTGTGGGGGGGCGCGGTGCCCATGCAGGAGGCCACTGGTGGGGGGAAGCCCTGCCGATTCCTCGTGGTGCTCAGGCATCATGCCAGACAGCCGACCATGGAGAGGGAAGCTCTGGCTGAGGGAGCTCAGGCCGGCGGCTCCTCCGGCTGCGCTAAGTAGACTATGCATTTCCGCCCCCAGTCCTGACCCTGGGCCGGTCCCTACTGCGTGGTTTCTTAACACGTGGAGAGCTTCACCCAGGCAGTCTTCCATCTTGTTCTGCTGTGGAATGAAGCAACAGAAAACTTCAGAAAGCATCAGGCAACAAGCAGAATTCACTGGAGCCACCCAAACAAAAGGCACACAGAAAAGCAAAATGTATGAAGACAAAAACAACTCAAACCACAAACTCTTAACTCTCATTAATAAAGTGAATAATCAATTATTGGTTATATTAATATTAATATTAAAAAGAGTTTTAGTAGCAACCTTATAGAACTTAAAAAATCTTTCACAACTTTGGACAAAAAACCCCATTAGCCTTACAATGAACTATGCTGAAAGGTGTAGGAGAGGCTTTTTTCACCTTTCATCTAAAGCCATGAAAAAATGACATTTCAGTTTCTAGAGGAATGCCATGCAAATTCATTTTTTGGATCTTTTTGAACCCCTATCAATAGAGCGCCTTCATTAGACACTAAATACCCCATATGGTGGCACCCTGACTTTTTTCCCTCATTTATTACTATTTAAAGACCCCAATACCAGTGCTTGTAGTCCGCCCTCAAAGCTGGGTGATGGTGTAGGTTGTGTGGATCCTCTAGACCACTGGGAGGCAGAGGCTGCAAAGGGAGAACCAAAGAAAAAAAAACATTCTTAGCATAAGAATTATTTAAATAAACAGCTCAGCAGCATGAATCTTAGTCTGCAGCTCTTAGTATTTCAGATTGTGTGACCATAGACAAAGATAAATTAACTAACATTTATGCTTCCTCTGGATAAGCCAAATGAAATAAATTACGTAAATACAGTTCTTCAACAACAGATGGCGCCATAGAGCTTTTAACAAGCAACTACATATCTCTCACATGCACTCCCACACTCCTGCATACACAGATACATTCATACCTGCCATGTTCTGTGGAGAGCCCACCGGTGTAGGTGGAGTGGAGGAGAAGTTGCTTCCATTGTTGTCTGAAGGGTAAATCTAATTACAAAACAAAAGCAAATTTTAAAAGATAGCCATTCCATTACGGGCACTGAAGATGGGCAATACAACAATATTTCAGTGTTATTGTGGCAAATTACAAGAAAATACATTTTTATGTACATCATAGGTATCGTCAGCACGTAGAGACCACTGAACAACTTTGCATCATAAGAAAGACAGATTTAGACCAATTACAGAAAGCAGGTACCACCACCACAACCATCACCACCAACAACAAAACATCATGTGGATAGTAACTGCATAAACTGCACAGCAAGAAGTAGCTGACTGGATATTAGTCCATTAGCCATTATTTTTTAAAATCCATTTTTAGATTAGATTTTCTACTGTTATAAAATCATATCTTTTTTTTTAAATGCAGCATTGCTATTTCACTGGTGCATTTTGTCTTCTACACAACAATATTGTAGAATATATTAATTATAGTGAAAATGACAAAGTATTGTTTTGCCATGTCATCCATCCGTAAAGATCACTAAGTGCAGCTTTGGTAAAAGAGTTGTTCTACGTTAATTTTGGATGAAAAAATGGCTGACAAGACCTTGACTCACCGATGCGAGAGCTTTTCCAATCTCATCCCCTGAACTTCCTGCCGTGTTGCCTCTATTGCCTGAGAGGGAAAGAGAAAATACAATATAGAAACACACATATGTGACAGTATGTTTCAAAACCAAACCAGGCCAAGCAGGCCAGTGAGTGTAGCGAGGAGCATATGTGCCACCGCTCTATGGTCTGTGGCTAGGGCAGGGCGGAGCCTTTTACCCATGATGCTGTCTGCTCCATTGATGGGTGGCGTGTGGTTGGGGACCCCGTAGCCACTGGATGAGGACTGGAAGCTGCCCGGAAGGCTGCCCCCGTTAACCTCGTTGCCGTGGTGAGGGTAGCTTGGAGGGGAGAGAGGCAGGGGCTGTCTCTTCTAGAAGAGTGGAAATAAAAATAAACAACTCAGCTACTTACCAAACACTGTACATAGTGACCAACATAAATGGTGTCGATGATGTACCTTTTCTCATATACTTAATGCAATACTGGCCCTGTTTTGACCACTATTAGGACAATTCAACCAAAAGTCAAATTTACACAACCCCCTGTATACCCCAAAGACAGTTGATCATCCAGGACAGGCCTAAATTTTGCTTCTTTAGTACTGCATAGATAAATAATGTACTATAACTAGTGGTGTAACAATTGATTTGATTTCTTAATGCATCTTTAATAACTACTCTCAAAGCAACTGCATCAAGTCTAAAAGAAAAAAATTACACTGCATCATTAAAAACATTTTCAAATGCTACACTAACACATTAGTGTATAGAATGCAATCATTTTAGTTAACAAAGCTGTTTTTGAATCTAAATCAAAAACCATTGAATCGTGAATCAAATCGATTCGATTTGCTGTCAGCTCAAAAACTCACACCCCTAACTTTATCTATAAAATGGACAGAAGTGAAGACAAATGTCAGTTATAAAATTGCTGTTACTATTGATTTTAGCTATACAATATGCTTTACATGACAAGGTGGTCATACAAAGCCAAAAACCCCACAAGTCTACAGCATGCAGTCTGTATAATGCTAATTGATGGGGTATAAACCTCCATTACATATTGGCTACATTAGCCTTATAGTTTCAAGCAAAACCAAAGAAGTGAACATGTCTTGGAGGCTTAACTACATTTGAGATAAAGACAAAACTAGGTGAATTAGATGTTGTGCTGTACTACCAGATTAAACAAAAAAGTTGGGATTTACCAGGCGATCCGGAGGGTTGATGGCAGCGAAGGGGGCTGACTGACCAAGGTGTGGCATAGATGGGTAACCAGGCTGACCCCAGTCTTGAAGACCTTCTGTGAACATAGGACAATGTCTTATTGTCTTCATTTCTACAAACAATTCACACATGAGGAAAAAAAAGACCAACCTTACACCAAATAAATAAAACTTTTAGGAACACACATTTAAGTCAGGGTTATAGAAGGTACATAAATGACTCTAGGGTTGTAACTAATTATTATATTAATAATTGAGTACTCAACTGAGTACTTTGACAATTAAATGTGCTAGAATAAAAACACTAAACATTAAGTTGGACCATGCATAGCTTTTAAAACTGCATGTGTGTGCTATATATATATATACACACACATACATACATACATACATACACATACATACACACACATATACATATATATATATATATATATATATATATATATATATATATATATATATATATATATATATATATATATATATATAAAGAAACATTATGTGGAAAAAAAAATAATAAAATGCTCACGCACCTTGCAGATAAAAAGGGCCAGGGTAGACGCTGCCAGTTTTAGAGGCTGGGTAATCTGCATTTTCCTGGTTATAGTCTTCACCAGGAACTGCTGGATAGACCTGTACACAGGGTCAAGAAACACAGAAAATATGGTTTCCGTTAGCAGAATTTCAGACTACTGTTCAAATATTCCTGTAGATCCAGATCATGTGCAAGGTTAAATGTGGGCAATAGCGCAAAAATATAACATCATACATTTTCACGATACACAATACACATCACAAAGCTCAGTTTTTCTGAGGTATGATCAGTTGAAATAGATAAAATGCTTATTATTCAACATTTTATATACTGCACTAAATCCAATTAAGATAGACTGATTAAGCTCTCTTTGTAATGAGACACGCATCTGGTCATTTTTCTTTGAGTACTGACAATATCCAATTAATGCTCAGAAAAGCATATTGTGACCTTATGTGACATAACTTATCAAGATGTCAATAAATATTGTTTCACTGCCCACCCCTGGTTATGTCAAAGAAAAAAAAACAAAACAAAAAAAAACACAACTATAACTAAAATGAGGCATATATTTCTGTGTCATGGTGAAATAGTTCTGTTATTGTGGTAATGAGACAGTGCTGTGCATGTGTGTTGAATCAGGAAACATTCACCACAGAACAGAGAATACAGAACACATGCTGTCCCAAGGGTAACATCCCAAATAGCTGCATGGGCTACCACAGACACTCCTTCACATAGAAACATTCATACACACGCATCTAAAAAAAATAAGACCTTAGTGTGCTATACAGAAAAGAACAGTGTAAATAAGATAAGAGTTAAATCATGAATGGCCAAGGAAGCCACTGAGACACAGATGACCTCCGCAAATCATCAACACAACAAAAGGTTAAAACTCATAGATGAAAAGCAAGATGAATCCATTTACTTGGCACAGCGACAGATCCTGTCTGATTTAATTGGTTCCGAGCTCTGGGGTTTTGGTGTAAATGAAGAAATCAAGCTATAAAGCCCAAAGACTGAGGATCCAGGGCTTTGAGGGTTATTTGTGTAATTTGATTAAACAGTATGATGTGAAGGGAGATGGGAGGAAGAAAAGTAGAGAGGGAGAGGGAGGGAGGGACAGGGAGAGAGAGAGAGAGAGAGGGAGGGAGGGAGGGACAGGGAGAGAGAGAGAGAGAGAGAGAGAGAGAGGGAGGGAGAGGGAGAGAGAGAGAGAGAGAGAGAGGAGAGAGAGAGAGAGAGAGAGAGAGAGAGAGAGAGCGAGAGAGCGCGAGAGAGAGGGAGGGACGGGGAGAGAGAGAAAGAGAGAGAGAGAAAGGGAGAGAGAGCGAGAGAGAGAGAGCTGCATTCCCAATTACAGAGCCATCTGCCCATTCCTGGAGGCCAGCCAACACCACAGGCAGCTGGGAGAGAGGGAGGGAGAGAAACGAGTGCAGAAAGGAAGAGAGAGAGGGAAAGTAAAAATGAGCGAGGACAGACAGGAGAGGGGGAGAGAGGGATGGGGGAGGGACAGAGAACACTGGAAGGAGAAGCAGAGAAGAGGAAGAGTATACATGTAAAAGAGGGAGGGAGCAGAACAGAAGACAAAAATAAAAATGGAATGAAGAGAGTGGAGGACACCACAAAGGAAAGCATGCTTTAGTGGGCTGTTTTCTTTTTTTAGTTCAAGAAAAAAGGGTTGAGATTCAATGAAGCACTAGCCATATTGCCATTGGTTTAACAGGTACACAGTCCACACTTATAATCATAATTATCCCATGATGCAAATATAATAATTCACTGTCCATAGGCAAGTTGATATTTAAAACATGAACAACGTTTTCTCATAAGTGCTGATGAACTGAAACAAACACAGTTAAATGATAACAGTTCATGAACACCCTGTTGTGACTAATACCGATACCAGAAAAACAAACTGTACTAGTTATTTTTTAAACAAAAGATCTAAATGTAGTATATAAACAGTGTAAAAGTTTCAAAATATACTATCCAGTACAGGCCATAATACACTGCTTTCGGCAGGTCACAAAAATCAATGGCAATTACATACATCCACCAATTCTGTTAATAGCAATTTAGCCCTGCTGATTCATATTGAGGTTATAAGGAGTTTTTAGCCTGAACTGCTTTTTAAATGAGACAATACCATCCAATCACAACCAGAGTGATGTCATCCAATCAGAACAGAGGTCGCTTATATTTATCAGTCTTACAGGCACGGTAACAGCCTGTTTAATTCTAAAAGATAAAGAGAGGTTGGAAAATGGTCATGTAAAACTTAACTTCAGCTATTTTTGGTCCTTTAAAAGGTGACTAAGCCACACAGCAATCGTAATTCCCCAGAGCAGGTCTAAAAGGCCAGGTATTAGAGGAAGAGTCTCAGTCTGTGCTGGGATTTACTAGGCCAGGTTAGAGCCCAGATACCACACTGTGCATTCATGTGTGAGTGTGAGGGGGAGAGAAAGAGAAAGAGAGAGAAAGAGAAAGAGAGAGAGAGAAAGAGAAAGAGAGAGAGAGAGAAAGAGAAAGAGAGAGAGAAAGAGAGAGAGAGAGAGAGAGCTTATTATTTTGACGAAAAGGAACATGCATGAATGCTTAACAGCATACTGCATGGGTAAGCACAACCCTAAAAATAGGAATATGTGGTTGCAGATAAAAACACTGTATTCATGGGTGCATGTCTGGATTTATTTGTGCAACACATGGTGAATGTCTCATGTACATCTTCATGTTTTCAATTGTTTTTCCATGTGTACTGGGTGGGGGGGTATAGTCTGATGGCATGTGCCAGTGTTAATCCAGGCTCAGACACAGACTCTGTGCCCTGAAAGAGCTACCATCTACTAACGAGGTCACACACACACACACACACACACACACACACACACGCCTGGATGAATGCACTTACCGAGGATGGGAGTCCAGGGGGCACTTTCCTGATCTTTTTCGGCTGACTAGCTGAATGAGAGGAAAAGAAAACACAAACACAACTCAATCACAAGCTGATTTTTAGCTGAACAGACTTCTGTGATACTGTTACTGTGAAGGTCAAAATCACAATAACAATAAACAACATACAATCATGTGCAAAAGTGTAACAACCCAAGTCAAATTACATGCTTTTCTGATTTTTTAAGTGAAAATCACATCTTCTAGAGAGAATACATGCAAATACGGCATTTTCACGCAAAATTTTCTGCAATTCCTATTTTCTGCTTAGTTCAGCATACTGGGAGGAAAAAACATAAAATATAAAATGTGACCGGGCGCCCCAAGCTTTTGCATTCAACTGTATTATACAGCCCTAATTCTGAGTTTGATCAAATCTGTTCTAGCCGTTACAATTGTCCTGCAATGCTTTATAATGAGGAGCGGCTTCTGGCTCCTACATGTGAAGGGCCCTACCCTTATTTCCATCCAGCTTACCAAGAACAGTGTCTGGGGGTCTCCTGCGGTTGGGGTACGAGTTATAGAATGTGGATGTGGATTTGAGGCCAGAGGGAGAGAGACCGTCAGGACTGGACAGGACTTCCCCTGGTAGGAACTGCGGAAGGAAACAGAGGCAAGTTAGTAAAATCCAAACTAGCAGCACCTCAAGTGTAAAGAAAGTGAGCATAATTCCCCATATATGCTTCCATTAATTGTTAGTTACATTAGCTTTGTCACTCCAGTGCCAAAAACAAAACAAAACAAAAAAAATAAACACAAGAACTTGTCCTGGCTGACTGAATATGATACAAGTTGAAAATTGTGTAGATGAGATTTTGTGCCAAACTATTTCTTTAAAGTGACACAGCAGGACATTTGCATGCAATGGACTCAAAATCTGACAAAAGATCCATAAGGAGTCGTTACCTGTGGGCCAAAGGGATAAGGTCCTCTTTCAGATTTACCTGCAAAAGAGATCATGTCCTTACATTACTGACAGACACTGCACACTTCTTTGAACATATTGAGATAGTCTTAGTAAAACCCACAAGTACTAAGATACACAATGATCAAATGCACATCCACAATCACTTTAGCTCAATGGTTCCCTGGTCCTGCCTACACATGAAGTCATGTCATGAAATGGGGGACGCGCTGGCGTAAGAGTGAGTGAAAAGGCAAAAATATAACACTGCATTTGAAGAGAACTTCATGATGTACCAAGGCATCATGATATTTTGTTTTTCTGACCATTGTAAAATAGATAATTGAATGCAATATTGATCACTTTGCCAATAAACAGAATCTGTATTTGACTTGTTTTCTCGCCAATAACAAGCTTATGAATTGAAAAATTCAATTCAAAATACGTTCCACCCATAGCTTTAAGGGATTGGTCGAAATCAGACTGACTTGACAGGTACAACCAAGCAAAATGTGCGTAAATGAACTTCATAGCTTGAATTAAAGCCTGTCCCTTGTGATCTTTAACTTGTTTATGTACTTGGTTTTGGGAAGCTATTTAGGTTATAACATATTCTGCATTCTTATTATTTTAAAGAGCTTTTCATAAGAGCTTTTTTTTGTTTTTTTAATCAGACCAGATTTTCTCACAATCTCCAAATGTTTGTACTGTCTGGAAGCTTCATGTACTCTATGTATTTTTATAATGTTCCAGTGTTTACTGTTAGTATTTCATTAAGCCATCAACCCTTATTGAAAACAAGTTGAAATGGACAAATGCACCAGTAAAAGTAGTGCTTTTTTAAAAAACAAACAAAAAAAAAACAAAACAAACAAACAAACAAACAATGAGCATAATACTGGCAAAATCAAACTGCTTAAAAGGGAACAGGAGTGGAAAAAACTGAATAAAAAAAAATTTGGTAAATATAAATTATTAAAATAAGATAATGGCATAAAGGCTGACATCTAAAGTAGCTCATGCAGTCACTATACACTACACTCTCCGGCTCTCTATTAAAAGGTCTACATTAGAGATGGGAGGCTTGATAAGCTATGTATTAGTATCGGCCGATTGTCAGCCCAACTGTGATTGGCCATTGATCGAGGTCTCTCTGACTTTGCCAATCTTGAGAGCTGATAAGTGACATAAAATATATGAGCCACATTTCGCCTGAGGTGCCAGAACGTAACTGCTTCACCATTTAAGGTGGAATGGGAAAATTTGAAAAAGAAGCTGGAAAAGTGAAGCTGACTTCAGCTTTATCAAGAGTTGATAGGCATGAAAAGGGGTTTCTGCTTGATGGCTAACATTATTTTTGCAGTTTCACAGAACCAACAGGTCAGTATTATTTGGCCTCATTTGCTCATGTTTTTGGGATTTAGAAGACGAGAAAGAAGTGGAAAGCAGAAAAGAAAAAGGTGGAGAAGATGTGGGAGATCTGGGAGATGTCGGATGAGCTCCGCTCCAAAAATCTGGCGGTGAACATCAAGTACAAGGCTGTGATGAAACAGAAGATGGAGAAGCTGTAGCGTAAACGGGAGATGAAGAGGGATCCGGTAGCTGCGATTAAGGAGAGCAAGGACAGGATCTTATCAGCGGTTCCTCTGGTGGTCATTCAGAAACACAGGCTGAAGCAGGAGCTGCAGAAACACGTGATCCTAAGTCCAAGTGAGAACATGAGCACAGAAGAAAGACAAGAGTGGAAGAAAATCCAGAAGAAGAAGGCAAAGGAGCTCAAAATGCAAAAGAAGGCCAAAGAGAAAAGGAGAAAGGAGGCCTCAAAGGACACCAGAGTGAAGACCAAGGAGAAGATGAGCTTCTGGAAAAAACTTTGGTGCTGAAAAGGGGAGAGTGTTGAACCTGAATGTATGTTTTTTTTTTTATTTAAAACATCAATAAACAACATCAGTAAACACTTCCACTTGTCTCTTTATGTTTATCAAAGTGCTAACAGGCCAATGATACAGCACTGTAAAACAAAAGAAACAGAATCCTGAAGAAACAGTAGCGTGTGATCTGATTACTTTTTCCTTTTTATTTATTTATTAAGTATTCATCTAATGTTTTTTGTGATTTATTCATTGTGAGAAGGTGCCGGATGGAAGGCTGCTCTCTCTCTCTCTCTCGCTCACTCTCCTTCTCCCCGTTTGGCCAGCCTCCATCTGGCTCAGTGGGGCTGGCAGAGTGGATGAGGTGTACTGTTTACGGCCTCAGACTTGGGCCTGAACAACAAATTGCCCCATTATAAATGCTCTGGCGCTAATTAAGCAAGCCCCCCACCTTCCGCTGTTCCTAAAAGGCAGCCACCCCCCTGGTTAAGCTCCAGGGGGTTGGGGCTGCGCTCCAGTGGACTTAACCCCACTAACCAACATCCAACACCCACCCCACAGCACCCCACCGGCCAAAGCTTTGCTGAGGAAATCCCTGCATGACCCCATCCATACCGTGGACACCCCTATAAGCTCTTCTGGGGATAGTGCTGCAAATTTATAATCTATATCATTATATTGGTATCGGTGTCACACAGCACTGATGAATAAAATACATAACTCAAATAAACATTCTATAATAAACAAGTCCTATCAAAACATTGTGTTTTTTTATGAGGCACTCTTATCATAGATTAGCTGTATTAGCATGAGTAATTAATAATTTAACTTTATTAATCCTAACTTAAACATCATCTGATACCGTGCTACAGCAAGGCGTTTGGAAAATATGACAAATTTTTATCAATATCATGTCGAGCATGGCGGAGAGGTACACAAATGGCATTTTACAGAAAATGGTCCCCAAAGAAACCTTTTTTCACAATTTTACCATCATCAACATTACAAGTAAAAGATATGTGTAGATTTACTGGTCATTTTGTATAGTAATACAATGAATGTATGTGTAGACACTGCAACCCCTCCATCCTATCACCACCACTGTAAAAATATCAGTGTTTGAATTTCAAACATCAAAAGAAGCAAAGTGGAACATTTGTGAAGTTAAGTGACTACAAATACATTTTTATTTTCATATGTAATCCTAAACATGAGATATTTTCATGTTAGTACTGAGTGCTGATGACAGAAAGGCAATAGAGTAAAAGTACATTTCAAAAATGGATTTGATGACATATAAGCATACCTCCAAGCCCTGAGCTGTACAGTGATGAGGGGGACATGTTTTCGTGTTCACTGTAGTGAGCTCCATCTCCAAATGCCTAGACAAACATTTGTAAGCTTATGACCAGTGAAATTACATACAGCAGTCTTCATAGGAAGAAATTAGCACTCACTTTTAAAGCAACAGATAAAGTAAGTAAGTAAGAAAAATCAAACTGGACAAAAATACATGGCTAAAACAATAAAAGCAGCCAACAAAAGCCTGAAATTTGTCCATACCGTTTTACATAATTATAGACAACAGTATGTAAAACAGTATCAAAAAAACACGAAAGTAAGTCTACTTGTGATTACTTAACAACTCAACACGGTTTAAGGCAAGCGTGCAATGATTTAGGCATGCAATTAGCATGATGCTAATTCGTGTTCATGAGCCTCCATTAGCCATGTTAGCTTCCTATCTCCAGTACAAAATTAAAGTAGCAAAGACACCCAACATGTCTTGGCTGTGGAAATTCCACAAAACCTATCCCTTCAAGGGGCCTGGAACTGAAGTATTGTTTAACCATAACAGACAGCAACCATCACAATGTATGCTGCACTGTTCACCATTATACGGTTTGTGCAGTGACAGGAGATGTATGCTATCTGATCCAGCGTGACATGCGAGGGATCAGATAAGACAGAGATAAGACGAAGGGATCAATGTTACTACATGTCTAATCTCTGAGGTTGACCAGATGACCAACTGACCCACTAAAGCTAACCTACATGCTCCGGCTGTCTTAGGAAATACGTCAAGTGGCATGACAATTACCGCATCAAACGGCTGCCTTTCTTAAGTCTTTATTTACAGAGCATCAAAGGAGCACTGCTAGACAGATATTTACAGAGTGTCTGTTCTGATCTATAATCTAATCAGCTGACATGTTTTGTTCTCCTGTCTGCTGACCTAATGATATAGGGGTGAGGTAGGAATCTGCATAGGCTGATCCATGTTGAGTGTGTGCAATGTGAGGAAAACGAGTCTAGATCACGTGCTTGATAGCCTTACAGTATGGCTAAAAGAGCTTCCTGGAACTGTAATACACATGTACAATAAAAGGTGCAGTATTGGTCTCTTGAGGTTGTTGGTCTATTTGCTTTCATTTTGTTTCCCTTGTCAAGATTTAAAAGCCAAAGGGAGATCTGAGCTATTATTTAGGGCTTTACCTTCAACATTCTATCTGTAGTGATCCATGTTATAATTTTTTTTACAGCAAGAATGGACACTTTGATTTACAAGCAATGTTTGCATCTTTGTAAGGATAGGTTTTTTGTTGTTCAGTTGCGTCCATACTTAATGGCTGGCCCTGTTTTAAAATGAATAAATCAGTAAATTACTCGATGACTATAATCAATAGTGATAGCTCTGTTTCAACAGTCATACTTCAGTTGGCCAGTATCTAAGGCAGTCTGGCTGCCTAATGGACTGTAACAATGATAGACATTAGGGAGATGATTTAAAGTGTAAAACAGCCAGTGTTGGTTTCAGCAAAAATGACCACGTTTGTTCTTACCCGTGAACTGAAGGACGAACTGTTCTGTTCTCCTGAGCCCCAGGTGCCTGAACCACTCCGATCATCCATACCTGCAATAGAAACACACATATCACTGCTTATAACTACTGCTTTACAATTTAATCTGTTATAGCAAGTTAGTACTGGGTATAACCAGTTATCATTAGCAGTGTTTACAAATAGACTGTTTCTTTTTTCTTTCTTAAACGTTGGCATAGTCCAGTGCCTGCAGCTTAGCGGCTCATTCCAGAAGATTCCGTCAGCTATTAATAAAAGCTCTGAAACTGGAACAAAATAAAAATACACAAGGCTTACGCAGCATAAACACTGAGCTCACCTCTGGCTATTCTTACGTTAGCCTATGCAGTCTACCATTAAGAGGGGATTTCATATAATCCACTCCTTTGAAAAGGATTAATTTAATTTGCCGGTTTGCCACGCTGAATGAGGTACAGGGGAAATGAAAACGGTGGCCAGGGGAAGTCCTCTCGTTTTCGTCGGTGACTAAGTAAAAAGCATTCAAGCAATGTGGAATCATCAAGGGGAGCAGCTCACAGAGCCAGTACAGGGGGATATGATGACGCTAGTGGAGCATGCAGTATGCCAGGCCTTTAGCTATCACCTCATTAGAACCTGATGCCTGTTAGCATGTGTATGTGTGTGTGATTTGTCTACCCATCAGCACATTCCTCTCAGTGGCAGGCACATACCACACTCAGACCCACTGGATCCCTCTGATCCCATTAATCACATCACTCCTAACAGGCCATAACAATTACCTTATAGCAGGCCTGAACGACTGAGCGATACTGGGGAAAAAGCTAAGGAGTTAAAGGAGCTTCACACAAATCAAGTGTCCTTCTCCAGCATGCGTTGTGACACTGTGTTTGTGTCCCTTTGCTGGCATTCTTCTTCACGACAGCTAAACAAAAGAAACGTCTTTTCTCTGTTTGCTTAGCTTCCATCATTACAATTTGTTCACTTCTCTGTAAACTCTGTTCAACGTGATCATTGTATTGTCCACCGTTTGTCCTGCAAGTTTAAAGTACCAATTCACACATTAAAAGTTGTTTACATTTACACAATTATTTACATTTGTCAAATCATGCCTTGATTCTTCTAAACATCCAAAGAGCATCTGCGGTTTGTCAGGATGATCACAGCACATTACAACATTCAGCGAGTCTGCATATGGTACACTTCTGTGATATCAATACAGCGAACACCGGTAACAGTTAAGCAACAATATACTGTATAGCCCTACACTATTTTATTGGTGCTGACCTAGGCCTATGCCTGCTGATGGTTAATAGAGTTATGATGCTAACAGCCCTCAAATGATGGTAAGAAGTCATTTACCACAGGTTTAAATAAAAATATTGTTAATTTATTGATTAATTTAAATGCAAACTACCACAATACACTAGTGTTCCAAATCCTGAATGTAACTGAACAGTTAATGTTGAGTGATACATTAATACCACATTTACTGAGCCTAACATAGACCAACTGTTCATGAAACATGGCTGTTGAACTGCACTGGTTGAACATGTCTGTGGGGAGGCTTGGGATGACCAATGTGTGCCCTTGACCACTGTGTGCACGCAGATATCATACCTTTACAAAAAGCCACGTTTGTTATGGTGTACTTTTTAAGATATCCTCAGACCACAGCGTCAGGTTTCAGACATCAGAAAAAACAGCTTTGGGTTTTGGAAAAAAGCACTGTCATGTCTCGATTCTCGTACAATTGGATAGCATGCAAAGAATCTCAGATAAAGTTCCCAAGTGGCGCAACCGTCTAAGCGTTGACCCCATCATCAGGAGATCAGGTCTGATGCCACAGCAATCCGTGGCCAAGAGCCCAACAAAGCATGACTGCCCTCACTCTCTCTGGTTGGTTAGAGAATTGGCACTCCCTTTCCTCCCCCATCACACAGCGTGATGCAAGCCAACCCAGGCGTCTGTTAGCTGATGTCACAAAGCTGGCAGTTCTACTCCAAGCGCGTTCAGCTGTCCAATGATGCTGCTTAAGTAACAAAAGGATCGAAATGGTTAGAAAGGATGGAATTCGAAGCATGTGGTAGCTTGAATCAGACATAAGAGAATTAGAAAAAATTGACGAAAATGGCAAAAAAAAGATGGCCTCAGACAAAATGCGTTAGACTAGGCCAAGTGGCTACAGACACCACAGACCTTAGGTTTGCGTGACATTCGCTATTCTCTTCTTTCTTACTAAATTAACTACAGTTCTGGGGACGAACTAATGATGAGAATATATTACCACAAACTTGGTGAGCTGTTCTTTTGTTAGACAAACATTAAGCTTCAGCTCACACACTATCTCTGTGTTTGCTTCCATGTCTGTTTCAGTGTCAGGCCTGTTGCAAAATTACCAGAAGTTGTTCAGTTGTATGTCTACAGTAATTAGGGCACATTGCATGGTCATCCTATCTAATCCATAGAGTGTGCGGACTAGTCTGAATGTGATGTTCTACCCCAACTTAAAAGCAACCTCATTTCAAAAGCACAGAAGCACAATACGCAACCCGTGAAGGTTCAGTGAGACATTAAGCGCTTTGATGCTTCTGAAAATGCAAACACATTTGGGTTAGGATGCAGAGCAGGAGAACTTTAAAGATTGATGGAGCAGAAATTTCCAGAACGCACCCCCCCCCAGCCCTCAGTGCTTTAACGCTGGCGAGCATCTCTGGAGAGAAGCGCCTTAATTGTGTGCTGATTTGCATAAGTGTGCATATTAATGAACTTGCAGCTTATGAATATTCATATTTTTTGTTTTGTTGTCTAATTAAAAGAGGGGGAAGGGAGGGGATGGGAGCAAATCATGACAGCATCGGCGACGGAGCAGAACCTGAGTGAAATACGAGGCCGCTGCCATTGCCGTGACAACCATGATCTCCCGGCAGCGTTCCAGAGGTGTTTTGGAATGGAGAGACGCGGGCTTGTGTCAGCAAATTCAATCAAGAGACAAAGTGCAGAACATCTTAAGTCTGTAGCTTGTGAACTGTGGTGCTATCTGACTGCGCTGGGCCAGAGCCATCGCTGACTCCCCTGTCAATGCACACACACATCACTGACAGAGCGTGACTGAAAAAACAGGAAAGAATGATTTGAGTGTGTTAACGGGCATTCTGCTGCTCCACGCCAGACTACCTGCCTTTAGACAATGCCCTGGAAATCTCATTAAGGGCCGTATATTTACCTAAAGCGCTCCAACAATACAGGGACTTCCTGCGAGCATGGAACATTTCACCAGCAGAATGCTGTCATTTAAAGAACGTTTAAAACACTGGGGTGCAGAAAATATGCTATTTACAGATATTCACACACACACACACACACACACACACACACACACACACACACACACACACACACAAATAGAAACGGAAAAAGAAAGAAAGAAAGAAAGAAAGAAAGAGAGAGAGAGAGAGAAACAAAGAAAAAGAAAGGGAAATGAGATATAAGAGAAAGGAAAGAAAAAGAGAGGTAAGACAGACAGTAAAGAACAGTAAAAGATAACAGGAAAGAAAAAGAAAAAGAAAGATAGAAAGAAAGAGAGGACAGAAGGAGGAAGAGAGAAAGCAAGAGAAAAATAGAAAGAAGGGGAAATGAAAAAAGAGAAAAAGAAAAAGAAAAGGAGAAGGGAAAGGGAGAGAGAATGAGAAAGAGAAAAGCTCAGTGAATACTGTGGAATGTGAGAGGCAACAGGAGGGTGATGACATGTGGGGGTGTATGAAAAAAAAACACTCAAAAATAGCTTTAATCCATATTCATAAGCATGCCGAATATTCACTCTTATTAACAGATTGGATGATTAATGAAAGAGAGGGAGAGAAATCGCGTGGCAGTCATTTAAAACTAGTCCTGCTCAACTCTAGAGAAAACGTCTGCAGGGTAAGGCTTCGCCCTGAAGTTACGAGACATTCCCCCAGCACCTGAATAAATAAAACTTTGCTCTGTAGACCCAATAAAAAAGCCGACGTGCACGTTTTAGCGGCAAGAGCCGTCTAATGACACCAGCTGATCCGTTCAGACTTCAGCATGAGCACACGGTCAAATGAGAAAGACCTGCAGGGCAACAATCACAACTTTATATACTCCAGACTCAGCTGTGCTTTCTGTTCTCTCAGTAGTGACACACTGATCTGAAATACTGGATCAGCATAAGCACCCATACTGACCTTATTAAATAGACTGGATATTGGCCAGATGTGACTGATCCACATCCGATACTGTTTCTTAGGCACAGTTGTTATAAAAGTGTAAACAAGGGTGAAGAAATGGGTGAAGAAACCATTTCATGGCCACGTTCCATTCTCTCTTTGTATCTTTAAACAGGCTATTTTTGTTACTATGGCTTTCAGAACACCATAAGGTAAATGACTGACCAGCTCTCCTGTACTGTGCCTTATTTAAAGGCACTCAGAGCTTAAATACTCCTACCAACTAACTTCAGTGTGAACCCAACTTTATGACATCACAAAAACTCTTTTTGAAAATAAATGTAAAACTGTTTTTCAATGATCAAGACCGTTTAAATTTTAAAAAGCACCAGTATGAGAAAATTACAGACACGGATATCAGCATCGGGAGAGAAAAAGAAGCATCTATGCGTCGCTATCTGCCAGCCTTCGTCCATCATCTCTCTCTCTTTACGAGCTGGTGAGTCATTACAGTCTGGAGAGCTGATCTGCGATCGGCTGGCTTTTGCACGCTACCTGTTTGTACAGATGCACTGATTACTAAGGACAATAGAGACACAAGCTGGCAGTCATGAAGCCTTCACCCCAAACTGCTCTCTGCCCTGAAGGCACAAGTGAGACTCACAGTCTAAGTGCACGTGTGTGTGTCTGAGCACATGGAACAGCTCAGAGAGTGAGTCAGGACGGGCACATTCACACATACACACACCCCTCTAAAAAGAAGAGGGCACACACTAAGCCTGTTAAAGAGAATGGGGCTATAATTACAGAGAAAAACACTGGAATGGGTCTAGTCAGCCATGAGTCATAGGCTCTGAGCATAACCCATGACACACACACACACACAAGCCAACACAACAAGATAAACCTATTAACCCACAGCATCTAGACATTGATGAATACAATCAAAAACAATACTCTGTTCAGGAAACACATGGCTAGACTGCAAATTACTCCTTTCATTGCCATTTCTTAAATCATATTTTCTATATATAATTGCAGTTAACTCCAATACAACTAGCTGAACTGAAGGAGCAGACATCCAGTTATCAACAAATTCAACTAAATTTTAAAAACAATTTTAATGCTGCTTAGCGTCATGTTACACCATTAATAGGCCCAAATCATTGAAAATAAAATAAAAGAGTATATTGTGTTACATAAACACTGTTAAAGTTTTAAAATCTACTGTACGTTTTAGGCCAAATCTTCTCAAAATTGTATCTTTCCCGTCAGGAAGTATATTCGTAACCATTTCATTTAATAACTTGCTGTGATGTATCTTTCAGAAACATCAAAGCCTGCAGACATCTGGTTCCTATCACCGCCACTGTGAACAATTCTGACTCAGCAAGTTTCCCTAGAATAGAGCATTTCAAACCAAACCACTTTGAATAACTGTTTACATTTTAACCACTTAATTTTGCAGAAATTTGAAGAATTGGTGGAATTCCCCTTTAAGCCTAATTCTGGACCTCATTTTCTTTTCAATGGAGAATCTCTATTTAAAATGCTGTGTAGTCCAGGACTAGGCTTAATCCACATCTCAGAAAACCCTTAAGTAACTATTATTTTTAGCCAACATTTGTTATTTGTCCGTCTTTTATGTCTATACGTCTACAGCACTAAAAAGTGTTGATTTGTTCTCATCCGAATCAATCAAAATTATATGGCTCACCGAAATGAACTGCTATTATACATATACACTGCTTGCAAATTACAATAAATACTTCAGTTAAATTACTAAAGCAAAAAGGAAAACAGTTAATACCTCATGGGGACTTTGAAGTTTTCACAAAACTGATTTAATGCTTTTTTTTAATGACTGATGGATACCCTGAAATCAGAAATCCGCTCTAACCTGGACAAATGGTAACTTCTGCTCTTACTTTATCAGCCAGAAGCCCAAGGCCACCTTCAAGAATGGAAAGTTCTGCTTCATGCACCCTCAGTGTTCCTGTATCTTTCTGCAGAGTTTTGCAGTTATATTTATATCCCAGTTATTCTCACTTTCACATACTCAGTAAATGAAACTCGCTGGCCAGAAACACCTCAGGGAATCAAGATCAACCACCATGAGAGAGTTATCACAGGAAGCTAACGAATAGCTGTCACAGATTCTATGCCACACACCCCGTCACAGCTAATGTCACAGAGACTGAGCTAAATGACAGCATGTGGCCACAGTCTCGCGGTCCTGTAGCTTTAAACATGCCAAGTTGAATCATTATCACCAGAGGACAGTGGCAAGGTGTTGAACAGCGTGAACAGCCAAAGCAGCGGGAGCAAAGAAAGCAATGCAGACACTGAGGGCTGTAAGAGAATGCGAGAAAATTTCATAAACTAACCTGTTAAAACCCAACAGAAGCACAACTGAAAACCTCTCTTAGTGAAGAAAAAAAAAGGCATTGTGTTTCCTTCAGGACTCTAACAATTGATTATACTTGGAATTGAGTATTCTACTGACTATCGTGATGATCAATCAAGTAATCAAAGTTTTTAAGGCCATGCAATGAAGGTGTATTTAACTGAACAATGCATAGCTCTTTCAAAGATAATTTACTGTACTTTCATAACCCAAAATACTTCCATCGCTTGCCTCATGCAAACTGCCAACTAATCACCGCATGAACGGAAAAACTTAAGTAAATGTGAATCAGAAGTCAGAAACAATTTTCTTGCCATATATTAACATGTTTCCAAGTGAAAAGCAGTATCAGTGAGAGCCTCTGAGCTATCTGAGTGTTTTCTATCAATCATGGGTTGAGGAATTGTAAGGGGGAGGTGATACATACAGATATCCGAACTCTTCGCATAACTGGGTACTCTAATAAGGCATGTATGTACCCTCCCTTGCTTATTCATAACAACACTAAATATTTTGGAAATTGTTAAAATAAGACGAAATACATTTTTCCCCACCCGCTGGTTCACAATAACATAATCAAAACTCAGAAAACGTTTTAGAGGTGGCAAAAGTCACTAGATTTAGAGTGAAAATTATAGAAGTCTTTTAAGAGGTATGATGAATTGTGTTTAATGACCATGAACATGAACTAATGAGATGAAAAGGTCAGTCTTGATTTCAGATTGGCAACATTTTAAACTGAGAAATCAAGTTTAATCAAGCTATTGTGATAGTTTCTTCAAAAAGGCCTTTATTTGTGGATTACCACTGCCATATTCTGTTGTTCCTGTTTCATATGAAGGATGCCTGGGGTTGTACCTTCAGTTGAGGCCATCGATATCAGACACAGGTGGGAAAAGGTCAACATAAACCTTTACAGATGGTGGTTTTGTGGTTGCTGAAGCTTGAGGAAGGCAGCAACCTTCACACGCTTCAACACGGCCAATCTGAAACGCAGACTCAGCAAGGCTGCCTTGCACATTGCTGCAATTGTCACCTGTACCTAAAAGTTGTAAGTGTAACTCTTTACCCCCTTCAATCCAAAAAAGACACCTGTAAGCATTCAGCGCTGAATTTTGAATTGAATACTAGTATTGTCAACCAAATTCCGTATTCCGTCTCGATCTGTATCCAGATATAGAAATAACACGACAAAACTGATTTTTAGCTTTAGCAGTATTGATGGATAACAAAAGCTTACCTAACTAACGTATGTCTGGATGCTTCAGATCATTTTAAAAGTACAATTAAAAATCCATTAAAACAATTCCTTTTTGCAAATCTGCCAATCTTAATGTTTACAACACCGCGTAAGGTTACTTTTGGTGTAGTTTTAAATGAAGCAGAAGAAAATAAAGCAATGCCATTCAAACAAGGCTATGTCAGGTTAGCAGAGATTGAGGGTTCCTTAACTTCATTAAGGCAAACTTCAATATTATCTCACACCATGATAAGTCCTAATATTATGGTGTGACCAACGCTACAATGCCTGTGTGAAGAAATCTCTAAAAGCTGCGGTAGCATGAAGAACGCTCATACTGAAACCGTAGAGCTAACCACATGTGCTTCCTATCAGCTTGCTCTTTACAATTCCAGAAGAACGCTTTTGTCCTCTGACTTCTGACTGCGGAGGTGTGTGCATTTCACACTGGACAAGCCAGCCGTTCTGGACAATAACAGTAACCGTCACCTTTTTAAAAGTGCACAGTTTCAACGGGAGCACATCTTCTTACACTATCTTATTTCAAACAGGGACTTGTAAGCTAATATCTGCCAGTGTCCTTTGTAGAGCAGAGGGGAGTCTCGTCTCGAATGAACTGCTTGTTTATAACAGGCACAACTGGTGATTACTTACCGAACAGACAAGCTCCTTACTGCTGAATATCACAGAGTAATTAACAAAGACATTGCAGATTCACGCCGAAGAGGAAGCGGGCGAAAGAAGGGGTGTTAGAGAGAAAAAAAAAACTAAAGTTAAAAGGGGGGGATGGTGAAGGGTGAGAAAGAAGGGTTTGGGTTGTGCATTTGTTTTAATGTTCGTTGATGTGTGTGGGGGATGGAAGGAGGTGTCTGTTCTGTCATTTCCCGTAATCACTCCCACACCTTCAAACTCAGACAGTGAAGGAAAAGGAACAGCTGAAGCCACCAGAGAAAAAGGATGAGAAAATGAATGAGAGGAGAGCATAGCCTGTAGAAGGGCTTTCAGACTACAGGGAGACATCCATGATCTCGCCTCTATCTCAACATATAAATCACAACTCAAAACCCACCTCTTCGCTCTGTGCTATTCAGATTCTTTCTGTGTATAAATTCTGGTGTCTGGTGTGTGTTTTTACCAGACAGTTATTGTCTCCCTCTGCTGCTTTTGCTTTTCCTTTACTTAATTTTGACTCTCACATTTTCTGTTTATAGACTTTCTAACACAAACCTGAGTTTGAGAAAAACGCTATATAAATAAACCCCATCATTACTATGATATTATTACTACCATTAAGGTCAAAACCTTCTCAACTAGAGCAGAGAAGAAGGGTCTAGAGCAGTGAGGCTTACCTGAGCCTCCGAATGGTGTGCTGGCTAGAGTAGCAGATCTGTTCTTTCCGTTCGACATTGGAAGAGGAAACATCTACAAAACAGAGAGGACAAGCTTAAACAAACATAAATACAGGTTTATACTCTAAAAGCAATATTCAAAGGAAAAAAAAAAATCAAACCACAGGAAATCATATGTGCAAATTACCATGAAGGACAAAGCACAAAGACACTGGCAAGAAAGATCAAGAAACTACTTTCTGGTTAAGAGTGGGCGATATGGAAAAAAACGTAACATCAAAGAGGTGAATGATATGGTAAAAATGTAATATTGTGATACTTCAAGACATTTTCATGATAGAGATCAAATCAGTTGGAACAGGGAATAAAAAAGAATTTGTAGAGCTACATTTTAAAAATATACTATAAAAATCTGAACTCAATGATTTTTTTATTCAATACTTTGCATACCATGTTGCACTAAATCCAGTTAAACTGGGCTTATTTTGCTCATCATAATGCAACAAGTACTGACATGTACTGATGATATCCATAATATGCTCAGCAAAGCATACTGTATTGTATCATGACATAATGGTCACAATAACTATATATACTGTCATATTGCCCAGCCCTATAGCATCTCTATGCTTGAAGACATTTTCCTGATCCCTGGAATATTCAGTTTCTCTGAAATTTGCAAAGAAGATGGAATGGACAAAATGCACCAGCAAATCAGAACCACTACATAGTTTATCTAATACATCAGTCTTTTTATGACCAACAGTATATCCATGATGTAAAGCATATGGTGATGTAATATATCCCAAAAACAATATCATCATACTGTCCACCTCTAACAATGGTGAGGAGTTATGATTGCATGCTATAATACTATATTCAAGTTCTAGCGAATGGACAGCTGTCCTTTCTAACCAAAACCATATGGCATAAATCTACACTTACCACACTGAAGTCCAGGAGATCACTAAGTTCCTTGTCTGTTCCTGCTGTGGTCATTCTGATGCTGGTATCACTCATTCTTTCTTAGTACACACACATAGACTCAGAGAATGTACTACCCTGCAGGAGGAAAGACAGAGCAATGAGTTAGAACAATGGCAGATAACCCTTTGATGGAATGCCAAAAGGCTATACACAATGCGGTGCAATATGCATCAAGCGCTCCAACACATTATAAGCACTGATTCTGATGAGTATTCACACAACATTTAGTTTTTTGATTATATCTCATCTTAAATCACACTCTGTATGTATAGACTAGGCTGCTTATCTGAAGTCTAAACAGGGAATTTATCACAGCGATCAAAGCAATCACAATAGGCTTTATGTAGTGTTGTTCACTAGCAAAGTTTTGTTTCTTTTGCTCTGCACCAGAGACTGTTATAGTGTTTGTCTGGATTTCTTCCCACCACCCACTTACAAGCAAAACTAAATTTGTAATCCAAAGCAATGTAGTCACATGAGGCTTGTTCAATTAGTCAGTTGTCAAAAATCTGCTGGGAAGTCAGTCTAGTGATGTGTCTACTCTTGTGAAAAGAAGTGATTTTGGCAAAACTTTCTGCTTCCATGTGTTACTTAAGATAAATATGCTGGCTAAAAAGGCCACATTCTATCGCTAGCATGTAGTTCTTCTCTGCCTGTCACCTTGCTAACTGTGGGCATCTGTTAGTATACAGAACTGGGCAGCTTTATTCAAACATGTCAGAAAAGATGCCATGACTTCTTGTGCCACAAAGGATGTGCAAGCTTGCATTGAAACTCCCATGTCAGTGGCTCTCTCGTAATAGGAAAGACCAAAAAAACAAAAAGAATGGGAATTGGCAGTGACTAGCATAGGGGAGTAAGTGGAACAAAATTAAGAAAACAATGGTGACTAAGGATTGGGAAAAAATATGGAAAAAAAAAAATACAATTTATACTATTTCATCTTTCAGTGCAAGTGTAAAATGCCCTTATTCTTCAAAGGAGGGCGCATATACTCACTGGCTCTAATAAATAAACAAACAGTTCTACCTGGTCTGAGTTAACAGCTGCACGAAAGTAGATACTTTTTATTACAAAAATACTTTTGTGTCCTTTCTTCAAATATAAAATAAATGGTTACATAAACAGAACAAAGAAGAAATGCTGTAGCTTTAAACACTCAAAACACAAAGTTATCAATCCATTTAATCTAAATACTCTACATATATATATATGGCTCAACAAACAATTAATTACCATAAAATACTGGGAATTTGCTGGAGCTGGACATTATCTGACATGAGACAAATCCCAAAGCAATGCAAACATATCAAAGTTTCCAGTTGCTTCCCATATAGTTTGAATTTGATAAAGATACCCACAGAGACCCCATCTAACAGAGGCAGCTGATGCGAACTGGTCAGGCACAGCGTGTGTAACGCAGAGGAGTAGTGAGGTGATCTGAGAGAAATTCTATTCCACATCACAGAAGAGCTTTAAAACTGGGCTTTCCCACAATGCACCACATCACAGCACGTAACTCTTGGTTAACCAGATAGGGGCACCACCAGAGAGTCTCCGGTCCAGGGGATTCAATAACAACCGACCACACAAACACACGCGCTCCTACCTAGAAGGACGATAAACGCCTACACAGGCTGTGCTGACCCTGAAACAGCTCGAATACGCAAACATACAAGTTCACGAAGGCTGACTACGTTCTATTTCTCAACAATTTTGGATCTCCATCCCATATCTATGGTATTAGTGATAGAATGGACTTTTAGGTTGTCTACAAATCGTTGCTGTGAAAAATAAACCTTATATCTCAGAACAGTAAACATATATGAGAGGAAAATGTTCTTCAATTTATGTTAGTTCAACAAGATTGTACTGTAATTCTTTTGGACCATTTCTACAAGCCGATTCGGCGTTCACAAAACGTAAAGGACGGCTGATGTTTTCAACTAGAATAAATAAAGATGTAAAAAATAAGTTACAAGGTTTTGATGTCAATGTCAAAATGCTGTTGTTTTGCAGCCAAACATCCAAATATACACTCAACATAACCATTTAAACATGAGCAATGTGCCCATTAACAGTCAAACCCCTGCTAATTCTAATAAATATAAAAACATCACAAGACAAATGTAAAATACAAACCTCACACTGTACCAACAGCCTGCCCAACTCCATAAAGCAAAGCATCCTTCATCCTCGTACACAATAAACCCAAAGCTTTAAGCACTGAAGGCCAGAGAATCGCAGACAGTAAGAGACGTTAATCTGCTCCCTGACTAATAGAGGGAGACGGTTTAGCCATCATCCCTCGCTAAACTGACAGATTAAAAACACAGTGCAATGTAACAGAACGTACAGCTTATAGGTCAACACACCATCACCATCGCTGTAAGGAAAGGAAACAATGACCACATCCATTTCCTTGGATAAACGTGCGCAAAGAAACGTTCAGGTACATGTAGCTTCGGCAGACTAAGAGACTAAATCTCTTGTGCTCTTCTGTTGAAAATGATTTTTGATTAAATTGTGTGAATACCACTGCACCCACTGAGAAGAGGGACCACTCCATCAAATGGCAGCATAATACCAATTACAGTGGGTTATGTGGATGTATTACAAATCCAAATACCATTGGTTAAATGGCCACTGTCATCAACACACAATCGCTTAATAGCTTTTTTTTCTGGTCTAGAGGCATTGCCAGGTGGCCATGTTTATCAATGACATCAGTTAGGCTCCAGAACTAAAAAACAGTCACAAGAAAGATGCAGAACCAAACACCTCTCTGTGCCAGGCCACGCTGCCCTGACACAGCCTGAATAAGCAAATATATAGGTTTCTAAAGGCTGGCACTGAGGCCTTACTTCAATGCCGCTGGCCTGACTGACTGCAGTGCTTTTAACTTTTTTGTGATTTTTAATACAGAATAAGTTAAATCAATAATCTGTTCTATTTCTCAATATTTGGGATTTTTAACCAAATCTCCACATCTAGTCCAGCCTGCTATAAAAGTTAACATTTTACAGTAAATTTAGACAGGCAATCACTGTTGTTTACTACACGATACTACACAAATATTATAGATCATAAGAAGTATTATAAGAGAGTACTACAGGAATACTATATGAAGATGAAAATATCATGGGTTACTATATTAGTGCTATACAGTACTGTGGAAAACTTTAAGTATTATGACAGTTCCTTCATTTGCTAAAACAGGCTCCAGAGAAACAACACCGCAAAGGCTGCAAGCTTAAGGCTGGAGAAATCCTCAGCAAAGCAAAAAAATTACCACCATAAAAAAACAAGGACAGTGTTGCTGTGAATAATCCCACACTCTCCTCATGTGCTCCTAGTAAGAAACGTTCACTCTTCTGAAGATGATGGTGGAGGTGTCACAATACGCTTATTAATATTCATTTTGTTAACACACTGGCTGTGAAACAATACGTACTGTGAATGAAATACAGTTTGATGTTATGCTATAAAAATATTTGCAATATCAGTAATCATACTGACAAAAATAGGAATGAGACAACCAAGAAACAATTTGTTTCTATTCATTTAAATTTAATTTCCTTGCCTTCTAAAGAATAACTTTGTTAAAAATGAAATGTGTTAAAACTGTTTTGGCTCATGCTCCAGGAATTTGACTTCGAGCAAAATAGTAAGTCTAGTACTGGCTGACATATTGTTTATTGCTGCTGTCGGAAGAAACCCTTGTTTTTCAGTTTTTTGACATAATTTGAAAATACCTGTTGCCCTATACATTGTCTGTAAATTTCATGATGAATGGACCAAAAGAAATGACCCAAAATGACTTGCAAAGACATCTGGTTCCACTGACTTACATTAAAAGTAGAGTATGTTTTTACCTTCTCCTGTAAAGTAACCATTTTGGAGATACGACCCGACAGCAGCGTTATACTGGCATATTATGATACTGCTTTTCAGTTTTAGTGACATATCTAATAATTAACATTATAGCCATACTAGAATTCCCATAAAACAGCAGCATCCCTGTTGTCAAGAGGTTTGTTTATACTTTTTAAATTTCTATTTCTCGCACATGGTATTCAAGATCTGACTCTTAAGACTGTTTTGACGTTTTAAATTCCATAGAAATTTAATAAATACAACTCAAAAAAGATTCAATCACAATACGCTGTGTCAGGTTTGTAAGACATTCTTTTAGCAGCATTCAGGAATCATGGATTCATTATCTTTATCAATGTAAACTTGAATACCACCTGATTCCGTCATATTCCGAAAATACTGCGATCCCAGCGCCCACCAGCACTAGCTGCTTTAACTTCTTTACAAATGAAAAAAAAATGTCGTATCGTGGTACGAAGACCACAACAGACATCACATAGTTAAAACTGTGTATGGTTACACCCCTAAAAGATTGGGGGGGGGTGAACTGGAGGGGGGGGGCACGATATAGTGGCACAGACAAACCGCTAGAAAAGTTATTATTGTATTTGTTCATCCTCGTAGAAAGCAACCTCAAGTCCTCATGAACAGCCCCCACAGAGACACGCTTCACTCCCTATTGCTGCTCTATAAGACCCCCCAACCCCTTCTTCTTCTTCTCCACTCTCCAGCCTGTCGATCGACGCAAATAAATACTTATTGATTGTTCTGGAGGAAACTCATTATCTATTCGTCCCATCGCGGCCAAATCGACTTCAAAAAGATAAGATTCCATGTGTTTAACGGGGAAGAGAGGACGTGAGGAAACTGTTCATTGGGATTATTAGGGTAGCGGTAAAAAAAGTGAGCCGAGTGGGCCTCAACTCCCCTCACAACACAAAGAAAAAAAGGAGTCAGGCCTCGAAAAGTTTACAAGCAGCTTAAGCATCAGCAGTGGGTCATGATACTGAATACTGAACAATAGCGAGCATGTGAAAGATAGGAAAAAAATGATAAAAGGCCAGAATGGACTGAATTCTTGAAAGGATGAGAGCAAAAGGCAAAATGCTGTTTGTTGTGAAAAATGGAATAAACAAATGTAGTGCGTTAAAATCCCTGCTCTTGTCTGCATTGAGTATGCGACCCTGATTATAGTTTCCAACCTATTCAGAGACGTTAAATGAACTTTTTAATAGACTTTCCAGTCTTGCCACAAAAAACACGCGCCTGGCATTATACCGCGTTTTAAGTTATTATTGCAATTCAGATGCGCTTCAAAGTGCCCTAAATGCCTATAAAACTATAAACCTACAACTCTTTATAGACAGTTTCACAAAGAGCTTAAAAGTACCGTTTCACACTTGTCATCGCTGCTTAAAGTGAACAAAGAAGTCGTTTCCTACGGCCATGCACACAAGTGGAGCTCATAACCCAAACGCACTCAGACAAAAAAAGGAAAAAAAAAACTTAGGACCCGCTTGAAGAAAAGTTGCTATGCTAGCTAGCTAGCGATACCCACTGCAGAAGTTTTTGTTTTGCTCTTTTATTTTTGCAAAAGTTCACCAATTAGAGCGTATTTGAACATAGGCGGACAGAAGTCTTGGCCTGGGAGAGGAAAACGTTCATAAATATGTTTACCTTTCGTCGGTTTGAGTGTTCGGCATCCAACAGGAGTGTTTTCGGGAGAGAGAAAAACATAAAGTTGGGGGACAAATCCCCCCTCCGTGTTTTAGGTCCCGCAAATCGCGAAGTAATTGAGTTCCGCGTCCTCCCTTATCCTTAAAAAGTCTAACGGGCCCCGCTGAAGTATAATTACGACGTAGTAACTATGAAAATTGAACTCTGCCAAGTTGTAGCCTACCGTTTTCTTATGGTTGCTATCACTGTGACCGTTTCATCTTCCGAGTAGACATTTTAGCCACCTCCACATTGTCATCCCCAGTAGTGTATTACTCCGCAGAAAAACGAGGACGTTACAGCGGTGTCCAATTTCAAACGCCCAAAATGAAAAACGCGATGTTTCACGTCGTCGCTTCGAAATGACTTCAGATCACGGCACTTTTCAAGCAGCAACACATAAAAAATCAACCGTACGCTCAACTTTAATGCGACAGTCGCTCGCTGTTGTTGTAAACCGCCGAGCACTATGCCAACGCGCGGAGTGACACGACAGAAACCGAACAGCGAGTGGACTTGAAATACAGGGAGATAGAGCGATAAACCGACGCTACTGGCCAATAGGGAACCGCACAGCATTTGATTGACAAGCGTAAGAACCAATAGGATTCGCCAAAATCCGAAGACAAACCCTCTTTTCCTTGCACACCCTACCCTGGTTTTGAAAGAATGGCAACAGGACGCTATGGAAAACTGTTTATTTTTTTGTTTAACATACCACGTAATCTTCAAATCCTGTCAGTTATTTCATTAAGCTGGAATTCGTATTATGCTGAATAACTTGAAAAGTAAGGATTGTCTATTATGAATATTCCTTAACTTTCTTCATGTTAGTTGTCTGGCAAACTGAGAAACTCTATTTTGTGAACTTGGGTCTGTTAGACTAACTTTTCTTAGGTCTGTGAGGCTAATAAAGAAAGTCTAAAAATGTTGTCAGCCTTTATTTTTACAGCTTTATGGAATAAGAAATTCCTTATAGAAATTTCCTAAAAAAAATTCCCTTGCTGTTCTAACCTGGTTTACGATGGTCTGGTGTTGGTTTAGCCAGTCACCCAGCATGGTCATATTGGTTGACCAGTAAACCAGCATCCAACACACAACAAATGGTAGTGTGCTGGCGATAAGCATATTAGCTTTCATTGCTAATGATTAGCATCCAAAACACAACATATGCTGGTTTTGGTGGTGACCAGCTATGCTGGACTATGCTGGTTTTTCTAGCGGGTTGAAACAACAAAGTATTCTCAGTATTCCCAATTGTGATGTGTAATAGCATGATCCCTATCTATTTTGTAGAGTACTAAGTTACAAACAAAGAACACATTCTTTGCAATTTTCAAAAACGTCAACACATCATTTGTGTAGGACGTGACATTTTGCACACTGCATTTTAGTTTTTGTCTGCTTTACATAGTGATCTTTGTGGATGGAACAGGAACACTATGGAGTTTCACAAAATGGTTTGGTCCAGCGAAGCGGAAAGACTTCAACCATTTGTAACGTTTCATACAAAACTGCTTGTGTGCATTCATGCATCTATGTTAGCAGTTGCAAAACAAGACAGTCAGCTTCATCTAGCTTGAAGTCACAAACAACCTTAATTGCTAATATGAGCACTGCCAAATGTTACTGCAAAGCTAACAGTGAGGACCCTGTTGTTAGCCTATAGCTTTCTTTTGTTTATCTGTTGATGCTAGACTAAAAGTCATCCACAGAATTCCTTCTTACTTTCCCGCTTTGTACTGATAAAATCCTTCCCAAGCCTACTTGGTGTTAAACACTTCCAACACATCCTATGCCTATCACAGATACCAAGAGCCAACACCTTTGCTAATTTGAGATTGAACGAGCTGCTACCTTACTGAGAGGAGAGCAGGGCAAATGGCTTTTCAGAGAGGTGTAAATGGACTTTGTGTGAGCTCAAAAAAGAGGAGGAAGCATGAACATTTGGTGTTTGGCAGTGAAAACAGAAGCCCGTGTGAGCTTGCAGAGCCCATAGCTACGTTTTATGAGGTCACTGTGGTTTTAGGGGTACATGGGCGAGAGAAATGGGATATACCCTGATGACTCATCTCTGTAATATCACTTAGCCTCAGGTGCTGGCCTGAATTTGTTTATCGTAGCAAATGATTCCTTTGAAAACAAGAAAGAAAGAGAAAAAACAACTCTGACATATTGAAACAACACCTACTGATGGGTTAACACAGGTAAATATTTCTGAGAATCGATATGTTGCATGTTTACTGCGTTTCTGATGCTCTACTGATATTACAAAGCCACAAACTGGCAAAGCATTCAATACATAAACATGGGATCGTTCAAGAGGCAGCCATTTTTAAACTCAGGAACAACGAGAACCAGAAAGTCAAACATGTCTGCTTGGATTATGACTCAGATAGACATGGGAGGTCAGGATTGAGTAGAACTTTAGATGGCAGCAGGGTTGTGGACTGTGGGGAAAGGAAGAAGTTAGCCACAACAATGCACTAGCATGGTGCTAATCCATTAGCAACACACAAAGAATGGGGGTAAAAATAGGATGAGAACCATTTGAACCCAAAATCAACAGGATTATTTGAGCATGTTCTGAGACTTCTAACTAGTGTTACACTAGCTTAAATACAATTCTGATACTTTCTGTTATTTTAAAACAGTTCAGTTTCTCTTCTCTGTTTTTTGTTAACCCATGTCCGAAGTTTTTCTTCGCTTTCCACAGTTAAACTAACAAGAAATCAAAACGACTTTAAGTGATTTTTTCCTTTCCCTTCATCACATTACTGTCGTTTTTCTTGTGATTGATTAGCCATCATAAACCAGCACCTGCAATAGGCCTATGGGACATGTTTGTATACAGGATAAAAATGATAGCCATCTGAAGGCTTAGTGATTTGTGACATTACGATGTACTAGAGAATTGAGAAAATGTTCCACGTTGGTCTTTTCTTCAAGTCAGAAACATTTCTACTTTCCATGTTCCTGATTCATAACAACACATACTGAAAGAATCAATAGATTCCTCTGATTCATGTACTGATTGCCAAGAAATTGCGTGTTCAGGATCTGTGGATGTTTTGGGGTTAGAGTATTCAGTCATGCAAACACGTTTGACAGAGCTTACTCTAACTCAGCTAGCGAAGCCCTAAGCCCTTGGTCCTTAGTGGAGTAGTGAAGTCTCTGGCTGCCTCATGAATGCTTGGAACTGAAAGAAGGAGCAGCTGTGTCTGACATGAAGTGCATTCAGCGCAGGGGTTGGAGAGGTTCAGGCTGGATTAGCTAACTGAAAGCATCCGCCAGGACCGCCGAAACCATGGTAACCACCACCCCTTACGGCCAGCGCACACGAGAGACGAGGCAGGCTGCACATTACAATAGATGAGGGCAAATAACACAGAAGGCATAATGAACAAGGCCTCACAAGGGCACCATACATTAACCTCTACTTTAGCGAACTTGGCTAGTCCATAGCATCTGTGTCTATAGATTGCTCAGTGGCAGCCTAGTACTCAAATGACCTCAGCTGAAGGAACTGACCTATTCATGCCCCGCCCACAAATGCATTCTTTCATATAAACTGAGGCCTAGCTTTACAGAACATTGGCAAAAATGCCATTTAACCAAACAAATTTTAGGCTGGAGTTTAGCTACATGAATGTAAAACACTACACTATTAAGATGGTTTAAGTTCTTGTAGCTAATCAAAACTAAGCAGGTTGGAAGTAAGAATGAATTTGCTTCCATGATAATGTTAATATTGTATGCATGCAAATAAACTAATGGCCAAAAGTATGTGGACAACCCTCCAAAACATTGTGTTCAGATGTTTTGGCCACACCCATTGCCATCAGGTATATAAAATCAAGCACATCAGCACAAAAATTGTGCTTCAGAAATGGGTTCTTATGGCCACACAGCTGCCCACAAGCCTAATATCACTATGCATAATACCAAGCATCAGCTAAAGTGGTGTAAAGCATGGTGTCATGTTCTCTGGAGTGATTAATTAAGCTTTACTATCTAGCAGTCTAATGGACAAATTTGGGTTTGGTGGATGTTAGAAAAACATTACCTACTGGAACACATAGTGCCAACAGTAATGTTTGGTGGAGGAGGGATAATAGTTTGGGGGTGTTTTTCAGGGTTTGGGCTAGGGATGCATCGCTAACGATACTGGTATCCAGTATCGGCCTGACACCATACTAATTTACTCGTACTTGACCTCAGGAAAAGGCACCAATACCAGCTAAAACTATGTGACATAAGCTGAGTACACTGCCACTTTAATGAGCAAACAACTGAAGCTGGCAGTGAACGAGGGTCTGCTCATACAGAGAAGTGTAACTAACACCATGGTGGTTGGACACAAAGCCACTGGTCACTTATAGCTTTCCACCTTGGTATATTCCCTCCATTTTTAAATACGCGAAAAAGGCGATATTTGTGGAACTAAAGTCTGTACATTGCAACTTTTTCCCTGCTTGACTGAACAGAATTGTGGTATAAATGTTAATACAGTGATTTTTTAAAACTGTCTTTGCAAAATAGACTGTAAATAGACTATATCGCCCTACCGTGTACTACACTACCTGGATTTAGTGTCAGTACTCAGTGTTAGCAAAGCTGCTGCAGCTCAGTTTTGCAGCCTTTCTGCTCAGTACTCACATGTGCAGCATGTTATTTTGAATGAAACAGCTTTATGTGAAATTGTTCATAGACAGAGTTGTCTTTAGGGGCTGCATTTCACATGGCATGGACTATTTTTTGTCCATACACAACAGTCTATTCAAATGTACAATGTGAGTCACCAAAAAACAATATTTCTGAAGTCGCACAGTGTATGTCTGGCTTTCGAGGACATTTAACTAAGGCTCAACCAGCCAAACAAAAGACTTCAACACAAAATGTGAGCTCCTCAGATGCATTAGCCTTGGATGTGATTCCTGCTGTCACTGTGCTAAGGCATCCAAGGAGCTCACATATTGTGTTGAAGTCATGAGCTCCTTGGATGCATTAGCCTCAGATGTGATTCCTGCTGTCTCTGTGCTCCAGAGACTGTTGTTGACAGAAACTGATGATGATCAAAACTATGAAACTTACTTGACTACAGAAGCACCTTTCTGACATGGAATAAAACCCACTGTTCTGTACTGCAGTGTTATTCGATTCAAAGTAATAATGCAGCATAGTAGTGAATGCACTTCTTTAAAATCAACTAGATTTCAGTTATTTAATTTTAAGGCACATTGCACTCATTTACACTAACAACTATTTAGTTCTAATTAAGTTACTCAATATGGTATTGTAATTAGTATCAGCGGGTATTAAAAATATGTACTCCTACTCGGTTTGAAAAAATGGTATTGATGCATCGCTAGTTTGGGCTACGTCCCTTCATTCTAGTTAAGGGTAATGTTAATGCTACAGCATATAAATATAGAGCATATATACATTTTAGACTATTATATGCTTCCAACTTTGTGGCAACATTTTGAGGAA